AGCATAAAAAACGACATGTTCATAAATAAAAAACTTTTATTCTCTATGTAAAGAGATCAAAATCGATTTTTGAAATTCACTATTAGTTCTCGACATATCGCCATAAAAGTTCGATCTAAAAAGTCACGTGATATCTATAAACCACAAAGAACAAAAAGAATCGGGGATTTGCCGACCGTGCGTTAAAAACTCCCATCATCAATTGGGGATTACCGTACACGGTTATTCAGTGTCAAAATGTCTTGTCAAGCGTACGGTTGTTCTGTCCGACAAGGTTATGACAAAAGTCTACATAGTTTTCCCAATCCCACAAAAAAAGAAAGAAGTGTATCAGACATGGTTGTACAACCTTAAACTAACGGCAAATAGTTGCATCTATAGCAAGCACAAGTTGGTGTGTGAAGACCATTTTGAACAACCTTGTTCCGAGGGAGATTCGATGGTAATTAAACGTTTTTAATAACAAAATAAAACTCAAGTTTAAAACAAAATTACTAAATTACAAATGGAATGCAACAATAAGAGAATAAAGAAGGGCAATCAATGAACAAAAGACAAACCCGGGAACAGATAAAACACAAAACAACAAACAATAGACAAATAACACTGAAAACTAAAAATAAACGAGAAACATGGATCCCGAAAAACGGGGGCTACGTCAGAGGGTGAACAGAACTTGCTTCTTGCATGACACTCGCCGTGAAAACAATTTTATATGAAGACAAGCTTTTGTTTTTGAAATTTCCTACATGAGGCATTTGCCTTAATGAAGTTACAGCCCTGTAATAAAAGGGAGGTAAATATTCCTGAGACAATATACCTCAAGTTAAATGAAACCCATTTTCAGACATTTCAAGTACATTAATATTTATACATTGTATTATTAAAAGATTTGGGAAGTTTTTCCCGAAAAAAAAATGAAAAAAGAAGAATTTTGGAAGAATCTGGTGCAATCTCATACTTAAGAATAGCATTTATTATAAAATGGCTTAAAAGACCTGCCGAGTTATTTATTTTCAATACATCGTAAGTCAGGTTATTTATTTTCAAACTACCCCAGAACAAACCATTTATTTTTGTTATTATCAAGGCTGAGTTATTTATTTTCAAAATCCTCCTTTTGCAGTTTAAAGTTACTCTCTATCTATTATAGTTTTCAAGATAATAGGCAAAATGAAAAAAAATGGTAAAATTTGTCATTTAAGGGCAATAACTCCTATAAGAAGTCGTCTGACAGTCTTGACGTATATTGTCAACTGGTAGAGCTCAACATTCTGAAGACTTTTGTTTCTGTAAGATTTTCTCTTTTTATAACGGTTTTCAAAATAATAGACATAACTTGTATTTTACCCCTATGTTCTATTTTTAGCTATGTCGGCTATGATTGGCAGGCGGGGTCATTGGACTCATTTTTAGCTCACCTGGCCCGAAGGGCCAAGTGAGCTTTTCTCATCACTTGGCGTCCGTCGTCGTCATTAACTTTTTACATTTTGAACTTCTTCTAGAGAACCACTGAATGGAATGAAACCAAACATGGCATGAATGTTCCTTATGAGGTAGTGACCAAGTGTTGTTACTTTGTAGCCGATTCATCATCCAAGATGGCCGCCAGCGGGGGGGGCTTCATTTAACATAGGACCCTATGGACAATACATACAAAATTGAAAACAACACGTTTAATAATTTCATGCGTCCGAAGCGCTTTTCTGGAATGTCATCCAAGATGGCCGCCAGCGGGGGACTTAGTTTAACATAGGACCCTATGGGAAATACATATAAATGTCTTCTTTTAGGGAACCACTAAATGAAATGAATAAAACATGGCATGAATGTTCCTTATGAGGTGCTGACCAAGTGTTGTAACTTTGTAGGCGATCTATCATCCAAGATGGCCGCCAGCTGGGGACTTCGTTTAACATAGGACCCTATGGACAATACATACAAATGTCTTCTTCTAGAGAACCACTGAATGGAATGAAACCAAGCATTGCATGAATATTCTTTATGAGGTGCTGACCAAGTGTTGTTAGTATGTAGCTGATCCACCATACAAGATGGCCGCCAACTGGGGGACTTCGTTTAACATAGGACCCTATGAACAATACATACAAATGTCTTCTTTTAGAGAACCACTGAATGGAATGAAACCAAACATGGCATGAATGTTCCTTATGAGGTGCTGACCAAGTGTTGTTACTTTGAAGCCGATCCATTATCCAAGATAGCCGCCAGAGAGGGACTTAATTTAACATAGGACCCTATGGGAAATACATACCAATGTCTTCTTTTAGAGAACCACTTAATGGAATGAAATAAAACATGGCATGAATGTTCCTTATGAGGTGCTGGTCAATTGTTGTAACTTTGTAGGTGATCAATCATCCAAGATGGCCACCAGTGGGGACTTAGTTTAACATAGGACCACATGGGAAATACATACAAACGTTTTCTTTTAGAGAACCACTGAATGGAATGAAACCAAACATGGCATGAATGTTCCAAATGAGGTGCTGACCAATTGTTGTTACTTTGTAGCCAATCAATCATCCAAGATGGCTGCCAGTTGGGAACTTAGTTTAACAAAGGACCCTATGTGAAATACATACAAAAGTCTTCTTTTGAAGAACCACTGAATGGAATGAAACCAAACATGGTAGGAATGTTCCTTATGAGGTGCTGACCAAGTGTAGTTACTTTGTAGCAAATCCATCAACCAAGATGGCTGCCAATGGGGGACTTAGTTTAACAAAGGACCACATGGGAAATATATACAAATGTTTTCTTCTAGAAAACCACTTAATTGATTGAAACCAAACATTGTATGAATATTTCTTTTGAGGTGCTGACCAAGTGTTGTTACTTTGTAGCTGATTTGTCATTGTCCTTATAAAGTCATTTTCTACAATTTCAATGAATTTATTGGTAATTTCTGTAAACTTTACAAAAGTCTCCTGCTTTTGATTAAATTACGGGGCCAATGTCAAACTAAATTTGGCCTCAATCATTATTAGGGTATCTGTTATGATTTTAATCTATTTATACAAGATTTCCAAAACCAAAGTAGAATCAGGTGAGCGACACAGGCTCTTGAGAGCCTCTAGTTTAAAATAGATACCCAATGATGATTGTGGCCAACTTTGGTTAAATTTGGCCCAGTAGTTTCAGAGGAAAAGATTTTTGTAAAAGTTAACAGACGACGACGGACCCCAAGTGAGCTAAAAAAAGGAGATGAAGTGTTAAAAAAATTCTCTATTATATCAAGCAATGGAATGACTTTGGAAAAAAAATTGTCAAATTCCTGACTTGGTACAGGCATTAAGATTATCATTGATCCATGTGAATGAGGTCAAGGTCAGATAGACCCTGTAGGACGCATATGTACGTCTTACAGTTGATCCATACACCAAACAGTTTACATATTGCTTACAGTATCTGAAAACAGACCTAACGTAAGAAAATTTATCTATGACCAATGAACCATGAAAATGAGATCAAAATCAGATTAAAACTGCCAGACGTACATGTACACATACCATCATTCAAAGCCAAGTACCATTTATTAAAGGTATGATTGCTTATTCACTCATGCAAACTTGACCTTAGTTGGTTTAAGCTAGGATTTTGAGAGCTTAAGTCACTTTTGTGTGATAATAAAACTAACTGAAAAAACATGTTAAATGTGTGCTTTCTTTTTCATCATTTCACTAGTTAACATAAGTTTAAAATATAACAATACAGATTAAAACAAAACAGCTGATTTTCACTTGTTTTCCGTTGATTGATAGCGTTTGATTTTATCAGTTTTTATGGGCTTCCCCTATTTGAATATGCCCCTTGGAGTTCAGTACTTTTGTTATACTTTTTTATGCTTTAGAAGATACATATCATATGTTTTTGATTTGTTTGTTAGGGAGCTACCATTCGATTTTTATGGGGGGGGGGGGGGGGGGGGGGGGGGGGGCTAGGATGAAAAATTTTGTCCTGCTTTTTTATTTTTCACTCTATTCAAGCCTGCCTTTTTTTTTAGTTTATCCTGACTTTTTTTTACATAAATTGTCATCCTGCCTTTTTTTTTGCAAAGTGTCTCATCCTCAAAACTCCTGTCCTGCCTATTTTTTTCTAACTTCATCCTTGCCTCCCCATAAAAATCAAATGGTAGCTCCCTTATGCTGTGTTAAAGTTGAAATTGCTACTTATTGCATATATAAACTGTTGACACAGTGGTATGTCTGGTTTGTTTTTAATTATTTAGTTTTTTTCATTGGAATAAAATTATCATATTTGAGTGTTCACCTACTTCTCAAATCTGAGTATTTGACACAGTAGAAGTGAAAAAGATCCTTGGATGCATGTTTAGTTATTCTAATATCAAAAGTGTGGACAGGCAAAGACAGTATATGTCTAAATTTAACATTTAAACAGAATTCAAGTAAGACAATGCTTTTTATAAGTTCATATAGTTTTCTTTTTGTAAACTACTATTTGATCACAAATTATGACACCTGTTTTAACCGTTGATTAGCTTGGGTAAAATGTAATAAACATGTTACCAGGTAAAATTTCTTTAATTTTTTTTGTATATTTTTACAAATTTAGGTGACCAAATTGATAACAAATACATCCCTGGCGTACACATTTTGGGGTTTAAGTGTTGAACTTTAAACGTAGCTGTTTATACCCAAGCTAGGTTGGATTCGAGTAGACTACCGCATTACTTTTCTTCAAAACCATTTAACTTATCAGTGTTCCATCTCCACCTTTAAAAACAAAATCATCAAACAGGCAAGAATTTCAAACCAATTCTTAAACAGATTTTCACAATGCTCCAGTTGATTTTTATCACTAACAGTAGCCATTCCATAAAAATTATGGTGTGAAATTTCATGCCTTTAGGACAGACTTTCAACGCACTGTTATCAACAGTATCTTTATTTGTTGTCATGTTGTCAATAAAGAGCACATATCTACCTCCCAGCCACTATATAGAAATAAAATGAAAATAATTTTTTTCAAAAGTTTATTAGTAAAGGTAAGAAAAATAGTAAATTTTCAGTAAAATTGAATAGTCTAAAATTTATAACAGTCAACTTTAAATATCACATAATCTTTTGAACTGAGATTCTGATTTCTGAACTATGTAATGTACCGGTAACATGTATTAAAAAACAATTCTGAAAATTACACAAATATATTTACTTTACAACAAAATATATAAACCACCACGGTTAATTTCTTTGTAATCTAATATTCAATTTGCTATATCTTTAAAATTAGTGATAAGATTGGTCAGAATTTTGACACATTGGTTTTGAAATCAAGTGTATAAAATTTTGTAAGTTTGAGGAAGTTCATGGAACACAATTATTTCTAAAAAAAAACAATATTTAACTCAAATTTTTGTTGTTGATAAATTTTTAGACAATTAAAGTCTCATGGAAGTCCTTTAAATGACAGAAAGTCACAGTGGTTGCTTTCTGATTTCTAGTCTAATTTCTACCTTACATGCATTCCAAAAATATTGATTTTCAACTTTTTTACTGACAACTTCGTTTCCAGTAATTTCTTATTTTTTTCCATTTTATACAAAAATAAATGTCAACATTCAAATGAAACAAAACTGAGACCATATATAAGATGTGTTGTATTTCTTGTGTTGCTGAGTATATTTACAACTCTTTAATATTTACTGTGATACATTAATATGAAAATTACATATAAAAAAAATTAAAATCATTAAAGATATATATAAAAAAAAAATTTAAAATACCTTGTAAAATATATGGAGATATATTCATTACACAAAAATACCTGGATGGATATTTATCACATTAAAAATACCTGGACGGATATTAATCACATAAAAATAGCTATTTGGATGGATTTCATTCATCTTAAAATTTAAAATGACATTTCTAGGAAAAAAAATCAAAATCAGTAATGTGGTTTAATTTTCTGTAAAATCTGACATGAAAAGTAAACAGTTTCGATTGTTAATTATTGATCAAAGCGCTCACATTTCTAATGTTTCTAGATCTGCTCCATCATACATTGATACTGTGTCAGGATCTACAGTGGTTGTCTGTCGGTCATAGAGAAGATAAGGAGATTTACTACTAGATGGTGCTGGATGTCCACTGGGTTGATCAGCTAGAGCCCACCGAGCGGCATTCTTGGACAATGCTTGTGGCACAGGGGCACCATATCCAGAGGATCCTGGTTTAGGTGGTGAATCAGTTCTAGGAAATTTCCAGCCAGGTTTTGACATGACATCAATATCAGCAGAGAGATTGGCCTCAATAATTTCAGATGGATGCGGAGCAATTTTGAAACCAGAAGTTGGGACCAGAGGTTCAAATGAAGACATCATATGACGTTTCTCATTTTTCCATTCATCTTTTGGAGGGAATTCCTGCAATAATGAAACAGCCTTTTTATTTTTGTTTTAGAGATTAAAAAAGTATGTAAAGAATTGTTCAGGAAATCTGTTATCAACACCTCCACCTAAAATAAACTGACAAAAATATAATAGATCTGTGTGATGCACTCATGATAACCAGCTGGAATCTAAAAAATGCCAAAAAACAAAATTTCATTGGGGTTATATTAGTTGATGTGAGAAGTTATCATTCGTCACTGAAAAAGTATTAAAAAAAATACTGAACTCCAATGAAGTCAGAAGTGGGGGAGTCCATAAAACTGACAAAATCAAGTGCTCTACTATATCAACCAACAGACTGTTGGAAAACAACTGTCATATTACTGTCTTGGTACAGGTAGTTTCAGAAAAAAATAGTGGATTTAGCCTTGTTTTATAGCTAGCTAAACCTCCCACTTGTATCTTGTAAAGTTACAATGCAGCATAATTACAAAAGTTCTATTTTTTCCAACTAAGTCCCATAACAAAAGTGTAATCCATCAAATATAGTGATCATCTTTCTACCATTCTCAAATATTTCTGAAAGGTTGAAAGAAAAACAATAAAAGTAGATCTATAAAAAACTTCACTAGTTGTAAAATTATTGATCTATTCCCTGATTATAAATATAATATATGAAAAAGAAACACATTTAATAGTTATAAATTGTTGGAAATAATTACTGACTATTTTGATGTGTAGACTTGGGACAATTTAAAGCTTGACAGATGCTATAGAAACAAGTCTATTGTTGTAGACTGGGGACAGTATAAAGCTTGACAGATGGTATAAACACTTGTCTATTGTTGTAGACTGTGGACAGTATAAAGCTTGACAGATGGTATAAACACTTGTCTATTGTTGTAGACTGTGGACAGTATAAAGCTTGACAGATGCTATAAACACGTGTCTATTGTTGTAGACTGTAGACAGTATAAAGCTTGACAGATGGTATAAACACTTGTCTATTGTTGTAGACTGTGGACAGTATAAAGCTTGACAGATGCTATAAACACGTGTCTATTGTTGTAGACTGTAGACAGTATAAAGCTTGACAGATGGTATAAACACTTGTCTATTGTTGTAGACTGTGGACAGTATACAGCTTGACAGATGGTATAAAAACTTGTCTATTGTTGAAGACTGTGGACAGTATAAAGCTTGACAGATGGTATAAACACCTGTCTATTGTTGTAGACTGTGGACAGTATAAAGCTTGACAGATGGTATAAACACTTGTCTATTGTTGTAGACTGTGGACAGTATAAAGCTTGACAGATGCTATGGAAACTTGTCTATTGTTGAAGACTGTGGACAGTAAACAACTTGACAGATGGTATAAAAACTTGTCTATTGTTGTAGACTGTGGACAGTATACAGCTTGAAAGATGGTATAAAAACTTGTCTATTGTTGTAGACTGTGGACAGTATACAGCTTGACAGATGGTAGAAACACTTCCCTATTGTTGTAGACTAGGGACAGTATACAGCTTGACAGATGGTATAAACACTTGTCTATTGTTGTAGACTAGGGACAGTATACAGCTTGACAGATGGTATAAACACTTGTCTATTGTTGTAGACTGTGGACAGTATAAAGCTTGACAGATGGTATAAACACTTGTCTATTGTTGAAGACTGTGGACAGTATACAGCTTGACAGATGGTATAAACACTTGTCTATTGTTGTAGACTGTGGACAGTATAAAGCTTGACAGATGGTATAAACACTTGTCTATTGTTGTAGACTGTGGACAGTATAAAGCTTGACAGATGGTATAAACACTTGTCTATTGTTGTAGACTGTGGACAGTATACAGCTTGACAGATGGTATAAACACTTGTCTATTGTTGTAGACTGTGGACAGTATACAGCTTGACAGATGGTATAAACACTTGTCTATTGTTGTAGACTGTGGACAGTATAAAGCTTGACAGATGCTATAAACACGTGTCTATTGTTGTAGACTGTAGACAGTATAAAGCTTGACAGATGGTATAAACACTTGTCTATTGTTGTAGACTGTGGACAGTATAAAGCTTGACAGATGCTATAAACACGTGTCTATTGTTGTAGACTGTAGACAGTATAAAGCTTGACAGATGGTTGTAGACTGTGGACAGTATACAGCTTGACAGATGGTATAAAAACTTGTCTATTGTTGAAGACTGTGGACAGTATACAGCTTGACAGATGGTATAAACACCTGTCTATTGTTGTAGACTGTGGACAGTATAAAGCTTAACAGATGGTATAAACACTTGTCTATTGTTGTAGACTGTGGACAGTATAAAGCTTGACAGATGCTATGGAAACTTGTCTATTGTTGAAGACTGTGGACAGTATACAACTTGACAGATGGTATAAACACTTCCCTATTGTTGTAGACTAGGGACAGTATACAGCTTGACAGATGGTATAAACACTTGTCTATTTTTGTAGACTAGGGACAGTATACAGCTTGACAGATGGTATAAACACTTGTCTATTGTTGTAGACTGTGGACAGTATAAAGCTTGACAGATGGTATAAACACTTGTCTATTGTTGTAGACTGTGGACAGTATAAAGCTTGACAGATGGTATAAACACTTGTCTATTGTTGTAGACTGTGGACAGTATAAAGCTTGACAGATGGTATAAACACTTGTCTATTGTTGTAGACTGTGGACAGTATACAGCTTGACAGATGGTATAAACACTTGTCTATTGTTGTAGACTGTGGACAGTATACAGCTTGACAGATGGTATAAACGCTTGTCTATTGTTGTAGACTGTGGACAGTATACAGCTTGACAGATGGTATAAACACTTGTCTATTGTTGTAGACTGTGGACAGTATACAGCTTGACAGATGGTATAAACACTTGTCTATTGTTGTAGACTGTGGACAGTATACAGCTTGACAGATGGTATAAACACCTGTCTATTGTTGTAGACTGTGGACAGTATACAGCTTGACAGATGGTATAAACACTTGTCTATTGTTGTAGACTGTGGACAGTATACAGCTTGACAGATGGTATAAACACTTGTCTATTGTTGTAGACTGTGGACAGTATACAGCTTGACAGATGGTATAAACACTTGTCTATTGTTGTAGACTGTGGACAGTATACAGCTTGACAGATGGTATAAACACCTGTCTATTGTTGTAGACTGTGGACAGTATACAGCTTGACAGATGGTATAAACACCTGTCTATTGTTGTAGACTGTGACAGTATAAAGCTTGACAGATGGTATAAACACTTGTCTATTGTTGAAGAATGGGACAGTATACAGCTTGACAGATGGTATAAACACTTGTCTATTGTTGTAGACTGTGGACAGTATAAAGCTTGACAGATGGTATAAACACTTGTCTATTGTTGTAGACTGTGGACAGTATAAAGCTTGACAGATGGTATAAACACTTGTCTATTGTTGTAGACTGTGGACAGTATAAAGCTTGACAGATGGTATAAACACTTGTCTATTGTTGAAGACTGTGGACAGTATACAGCTTGACAGATGGTATAAACACTTGTCTATTGTTGTAGACTGTGGACAGTATACAGCTTGACAGATGGTATAAACACTTGTCTATTGTTGTAGACTGTGGACAGTATAAAGCTTGACAGATGGTATAAAAACTAGTTTATTGTTGTAGACTGTAGACAGTATAAAGCTTGACAGATGGTATAAACACTTGTCTATTGTTGTAGACTAGGGACAGTATACAGCTTGACAGATGGTATAAACACTTGTCTATTGTTGTAGACTGTAGACAGTATACAGCTTGACAGATGGTATAAACACTTGTCTATTGTTGAAGACTGTGGACAGTATAAAGCTTGACAGATGGTATAAAAACTAGTTTATTGTTGTAGACTGTAGACAGTATAAAGCTTGACAGATGGTATAAACACTTGTCTATTGTTGTAGACTAGGGACAGTATACAGCTTGACAGATGGTATAAACACTTGTCTATTGTTGTAGACTGTGGACAGTATACAGCTTGACAGATGGTATAAACACTTGTCTATTGTTGTAGACTGTGGACAGTATAAAGCTTGACAGATGGTATAAACACTTGTCTATTGTTGTAGACTGTGGACAGTATACAGCTTGACAGATGGTATAAACACTTGTCTATTGTTGAAGACTGTGGACAGTATAAAGCTTGACAGATGGTATAAAAACTAGTTTATTGTTGTAGACTGTAGACAGTATAAAGCTTGACAGATGGTATAAACACTTGTCTATTGTTGTAGACTGGGGACAGTATAAAGCTTGACAGATGGTATAAACACTTGTCTATTGTTGAAGACTGTGGACAGTATAAAGCTTGACAGATGGTATAAAAAGTTGTCTATTGTTTTAAACTCAACGTTCACCTCTAGATGTCTTGAAATGTCTTTAAAAAGGGGGGAACCAGCATAATATATTTTTTTTTTATATTTTTAGCAATATTCATGTCAAATTGTGATTTTAGTATGATGAAATAAAGGTTATTAATAAAAACGAGATGTAAAGAGAGCTATTAATAAACAATGATACACCAACTATAAGTATTAGATAAACAGGAAATTGATAAGCAATGTAATTAAAAACATATGAATAGAGTATAGCATGCTCACACATGAAGCTTGATATCAAATTTCAGTAGGCTCTGACCAATATTTCAAACATGTCCATAATGTGTAAGAAAATATACTTATTTGGTAAACAGGAAGTTGCTGATCGATAGATGTGAAAAGGCATCAAATGGTAAAGCATGCTCACATAAATCTTGATATCAAATTTCAGGAAGCCATTATTGTAGATCCTGATAAAATTGGACGAAGGGACAGAAGTAAACTGGTGTACCTCATCCATAGGAACAAGGCATAAAAAAGTAAGTTGTTGTTAAAAAATTCAATTATCAATGTAGATTTTATTTTCTTCAAATTAAATTTTTAGGCCAAAAAGAATCACCACATGATAGGTATAGGCATTGCTACCTGGAGATATTCATTGATACTGGAAGATATCCAAACAAAATGTCTCTGGAAACAATCCCGATTTTTCTGTACATATGCTAAAATGTAGAAAAGAGTCTCATTGATATATACTAGTAACCATACATCTTCTTTCATTCAAACTTATCCTTTGTCTTTTGTTTACCCTTTGTCTTTTTTTAATCTTTTGGGAAAGTATTGATGTTTAAAACTCAAAACTAATTCAGATTTTTCTATACTAAAATATAGAAAAGGGTCTCATTGACCTATATCCTACATCTTCTTTCATTTATAACGTTTACCCTGTGTCTTTTGTTTATCATTTGAGAAAGTGTTAATGATAAAAACTCTCAAAACTTATATTTTTTTTAAAACTCCAAAAATCTTACCATGACATCTGATATTTGATCTGGATCTGCAAAATCTATAAATAAAAAAAAAACAATAATTTGGAATCAACAAAAACAATGTCCATGATTCAATATCTTTAATATGAAATATAAGCCTAGCTCAGAGTAGCATGGGCATATAAAGCTTCTGAAAATCATTACATGAGATTTGGAGATTCAAAGATATTGTATATCAAAATTTTTAATATAACATCAAAAGTTTTGTTTATCTTTTTTAAAATGTAACTTATACAGACATCTATAAGTATAAAAAAAACTTATCATAGATACCAGGCTTATTATTTTGTACGCCAGACACTTGTTTTATCTTTGAAAGTCTCATCAGTGACGCTTGAAAAAAAATAATCAAAAGGCCAAATACATAACAAAGTTGAAGAGCATTGGGGCCAAAAATTCAGAAGGTTTTGCCAAAGACAGCTATTATATATAGGTAATCTATTCCTGTGTGGAAAATTAGCAGTATTTAGAAAAATTCAAAGTTTTGTAAACAGTTCGTCTATATATATGACAATTTCAATAATTCATGTAAATATAAGTATAATACACATACCAAATATAGGGTTTCTACCTGGCAATTCATCAGAATCATCATCCATATAATCTTCAAAAGAGTCTGCGGACCCAAATTGGTTGCTCGCTTCATCACTTTGGCATAAGATGTACTTCTGAACCCAAGGTATGTGACTACTGAAAGTAAATAGTTTATATTATTTTATAACTTAAAAATCTTTCATAGAGTTTTTTTAATAGCTAGCAGAAATGTTATGGATTTTTTTCTTAACATCTGAAATTTCTTTGAATTTTTGTTGCATCACTCTCTATTTAGTACATGTATAGAAATAAGGAGATGTGGTATGATTGCCAATGGGATAACTATCCATACAAACAAAAGGGCAAAGGTGTAAACAATTACAGGTCACCATACTTCTTTCAACAATGAGCTAAACCCAAACTAAGCTATATAAGGCACAAGGATGACAAAACCATACATCAACCAACAACCACTGAATAACAGACTCCTGAATTGTGACAGGCACATAAAGAAGGTAAGGGAATTTAAGTACTTTTGTGAGCCATCAACCTCCAAAAACCTGAGACAGTGGTGTAATAACGCTACGTAGGAGGAGGGTTGAGTGCTCACAAACATGTTGAATACTGCAGCATTATGTACCAAGGTCAGGATCATATAATTGGGGTCTTCCATATTTGGTTTTGTTTATTGTTTTATCATAAATTCAGATATCTTTTTTTCTAGTTCGAATTGTTTTACATTTTGTCATGCATGGGCCCTACACAGCTTTTGCTCATTGATGTTCATACAGTTACCCAAAGCTGCTTACATCTATGTCATTTGGTCTCATGTGGATAGTTGCTTACATCTATGTCCTTTGGTCTCATGTGGATAGTTGCTTACATCTATGTCCTTTGGTCTCAGGTGGGTAGTTGCTTACATCTATGTCCTTTGGTTTCAGGTGGATAGTTGCTTACATCTATGTCCTTTGGTCTCATGTGGATAGCTGCTTACATCTATGTCCTTTGGTCTCATGTGGATAGTTGCTTACATCTATGTCCTTTGGTCTCACGTGGATAGTTGCTTACATCTATGTCTATTGGTCTCAGGTGGATAGTTGATCACATCTATGTTCTTTGGTCTCAGGTGGATAGTTCCTTACATCTATGTCCTTTGGTCTCAGGTGGAAAGTGGTCTCAGATGGATAGTTGCTTACATCTATGTCCTTTGGTCTCAGGTGGATAGTTGCTTACATCTATGTCCTTTGGTCACAGGTGGATAGTTGCTTACATCTATGTCCTTTGGTCTCAGGTGGATAGTTGTCTCATTGGTAATCCTACCACAACTTGTTTTTATATACTATGGATTCTTTTATTTTTATTGGTACCTACAAACAGCCCTGAGATGATATGAAGCAGAGAAACATCCTTGATTTTGAAAGACCATTGATAATTAGTTTATCGCTGTTTTCCTAGGCAATGTCAATTACGTAGGCTCATGACGTCATACATTCACTTGTTCTCGACTGAGAAAACTCATATCATTTGAGTAGTGTGATATGAAAAATAATTACAAAAAAAGGTCACAGCAAAATTTTTAGAAATAGCTTTAATCATTGATACAGGTATTTGATTTTGAGTCTGCATTCAAGACTATAATTTGAACCTCTTTCAACACTCAAATTCGAAAATGACTATCCCACTAAAAATAATGAATCCACAGTAGACTGACATGTCAAACACTATAATATATACACCTCTTGCTTTTACTGCTGGTAGAGAATTCATTACACAAATTAAATGAAACTACAAATGTACACACAAAAATATGGGAGGTAACTCCTGATATTAACAAAAAGACAATACTTACTCTCTTCTCTTCCATCTGTAAACAAGTACGATCACTACGATAATCAACAAGCTTATCATGATTAGGGTAATCATCTATTGGAGGTTACTCATGTAATCAATAAAGAGACAATACTTACTCTCTTCTCTTCCATCTGTAAACTAGGAACAGTATAATCACTACAATAATCAACAAGCTTATCATGATCAGGGCAATCATCCATGGCCGCAACAAACAGTTTGGATAATCCTCAGGACAAGCACACTTATAATAGTCGATGTAGTCATAACACACAAATGGATCTTGACAAGGGGAGCTAATGCACTCGTTGATATTCTCTTCACAATGGATACCAGTCCAACCAGAGGCACATATGCAGTTGTAGTTGATATCAAAACTTTCAATAGCCCTACGGTAGTGTTCACATGGATAGGATATACTCTTGTTCTTAGCTGAAACATAAACATTGAATTCAAGACCATGAATAAATATGTTATATGTGATATCAATTGTTATTCTATGTTGTCAAGGAGAACATGTGCTGTCACAAAAGTTCCATTATATTAGGAAATTAATTAATTTTGGAATGCCTAACATTTTTTGTCTTCCGATCAAAATCCTTTAATCTGATGTAATATGTATGTAATGTAAGAAATAAATTAGCATTCTAAGGGTATGGCATATGCAATAATATATTCTCCCTTGGAAGGAAAATTGGATGAGTTTACAGAAACTAATCTCAAACTTAATCTGTAATTTCTTATAATACCACAGTATATCCAATATGTTTTATATCATAGCAGTAGGCTAACTGATATTTTCCATGCTCAAGTGCCATCTCTTTCACTATGAATTAATCATATTGAATAAAACTAAAAACTCTTGTATGAATAGATACCATATAACTAATCAAATGATTCAGGCATTCCAGGAAAAGTGTGGAAAACAAATACCAAAAAATGTCCAAGTGCCACAATTTTTGTTCAAACCAACGGAAATTCAAGTTTAATCTATTACTTTTTATCATAAGACTATATATTAAAAACCGAATCAATTGATCCAAGCATTACAGAAAAATGGGTAACAAAATATAAATCCAAGAGTCACAAATCATTCACCTTGAGCTAAACAGGAATTTAATCTTTAAAGTATTAAGATATGACTATATACCAAATATCTATAGACTTATTTTAATGCATAACAGAAAAATAACAGCAAAATTGTGTGACAGATTGATGGAGTGCAAACCTTAAACTTTTCTGGTAGGGGACTAATAAGAAATGAAACTTGAATTATTATTACCAAAGAAATTGTAGAAACGTTTGCATATTATTGCTAAAGAAATGAAACCTTTCAGTCTTTAATAGGAGAAATTTAAAGGTCCCATTGAATATACTTCACAAAGAACAATACCTATTGTATTTATACAATGGGACAGGTGAACTTGCAAAATATTAAATAGCCTGACAAAGAGAAACTCATTCTGGGGAAAGGTTTCATTTCATTTGCATTAATATTTGTTAAACCTACGTTCACATTCTCCTTCATTGCGACATGGTGACTCCAGCACTGTAAACTGTATGGTGACAAGACGTGACAAAGCACCATTAGCATCTGAGAAGTATACTTTTGCTTCATCATAGCCCGAGAATGAATAATTCTGTACGTATGTCAATTTCATGTAGTTCCATTCATGTTCATTTACTGGCTTCAACAGGCCGAGATCACATGGGAACATCATATCATCCTGTAAAAAGAAAATAACTCTTTAAGAATTTGGTGCATCTGAAGCTCCATTCAGAAGATACTGTAAATCTAGAAATATGAAGAATATTAAAAATTTAGATAGAAAAATAAGAATGCATACATTTATCATTTTGAATTTCAACAGCTGCAGATAATGCAAGATAAAATCATGGATTTCTGTTTATATTGTAGTACTATTATGCTATCAAAACTAGATGTTTTTTATCAGCCAGGTTGAATCTTGTTAATTTTCTTCCTAGAAGGAAACACCAAAACACAATCAAATAAAAGCCCTTCAATAGACAAGAACAATTCAGTGCAGCTTTGATACTCAATACCAGTTATAATAATTTAGTGAAACTAAATCTGTTATTACAGCTCTGTATGCAAATACATATTCCAATTTCATTATTTTTTTCAATCTCTACTGAAAGGAACTTACAGTTCTTGCTGTTACATTTGGGCATGAACTTGCAATGGTGGGTAACATTGTTGTATTGTCTGTGATAATCAAAGTTCCTACAACTGGTTCCTGGACATTAAGCTGTGGTTTATCCCCTGATTCAATATCATAAGCTCCTATTAAAGCATACCAGGATGGTGACCATATAGGCTCATTCCAATCATTCTTTTGTTCCAGATAAACCTGTAATAGATAAATCCAATCTTTTACAATAACATAAAACTAGAACTGTGGTTAAACACAGAAAAGGAAACCCTTACCTCACAAGTGACTATATACTACATATTGCAATATTGAGGTGATTGAATTAACTTATCTCCCTGTAGCATGTAGGGCAGGAATTATTTATTCCTTAAATTAAGGAATTTTAAAGTGAATGCATATCCTCAGGAAATGTTCTATACTGTGTACAGTTTCACCAATTTCCATCTAGCCATTTAAGAGGAGTTGCACTTACAAGGCACATGGACAGACAGACCAACAGAGTTTGGTTTAAACCCTATGTAAGGTCCTTGAGTTATCATTAGGGAAACACCTTTTCTCCATTTATTTGGATTTATATCTAGTAGCTATCATCTTACATCACAGTACCCAAATTGAACCCATTTAGCAAAAATAGCAGCGAAAATCTTACAAATTGTTTTAGAGACTAAACAATTTGTATTTTTATGATTTGACATTATGCATGTCTTTCAACATAGCTAAATATATCTAAATATAAACAAAACATTCACAGTATATATCAACAGATGAGGTATTCACTAGAAAAAGTAAAATCTTCGGAAACGTAACCATGCGATGTCCACAAAAAGTCAACTTGTAAAAATGAGCAATTAAAATATGTTACAATCATCAATTTCTTATAAAAATGAAAAGTAAGCATGGACTACTGTCAAAATGTTCTTAATATTTGGAGAAATAAATAAAACATCAGTTATTTGATTTTTACAGATGTGAATTTAAGCATGGATGCAATTTGGGTTCTCTTCATTAAAGAATCATGGAGGGTTTGGAGGTCAGTTCAAACCCATTTTTCTATGATTCAATATGGATTCAAAATTAAATTGGTGGAACCATATAGTAAATAAACATACATCTACAAAATCAACACAGAATGGAAACTTTTGTCCTGATCATAAATAAACGTAGATGAAAAAACTGTCAAAATAGGTGCAATTTGGGTACACTCACATTAGGTGTATTGACTTCAAAATTGTTCAACTTACTTAAGTAGAGGATAATAATTAACCTTCAAGGTCAAATGCAGTACATTATTATAAAATTGTAACCTGTAGTTAAAGATTCCTTGTGAATCTGGGCTATGAAGAGATTGTTAAATTACTGGTTTTTCAATAATAGAGCCTGTACAAAGTCAGCATCCTGTAATTCAAGGATTGTCTTTGGTTGCTGTCTGTCATATCTATAGTTGCATGATTGACAATCAAACCATATCTCCTTATTTCATACTAATATTTACATAACAAAACAGCTGTAAAGTAACCTGGTAAGCACACTAGGTTACTGAGGGGAGACAACTTACTATAACTGGTTCCGTATGATCTGCTGGTAGTTGTGATTCTCCTACCAAAGTTAGGAAAATGACTGGTGGGTCTACTATATCTGTTACATTGACAGTCAGCCATACTGTTACATTATTTGGTGGAATAGTAACTGGATCAGATTGAACTTCCTGTAAAATGACTGGGAATGTCTCAATACCCATACAGTCCTGACAAGGTGTGAACAGCAGGCTGCAGAGAAATAAAAAACATAATCAAATACTGAATTACCCTAACAGTTCTCACAAGAGCGTGCAGCAGATTGCAAGGAATACACTAACACCAGCATTGATTTTTTTTACAAATAAAATTACTTTAAAAATTTTTGTGGTCTATCACATGACCCCATATTATTTTGTAATAATAATTTTCCGCTTTTCGAAGTATAGAGGAAAATTATTGTACAAACGGTTCTTTCATATATACATGTATGGACACGTGATAATAACTGTAGTATCATGTGACTGGTCATTTTTCGCGGGTTAATTTCCCATTTAGACCATTCTCTCGCCAACTTCGAACTGGTCAAGTTCTAATATTATGTTGACTCATATTATTGTTTGCTTTTTCATATTTTGTACTATATAGGTATATTTTTTACCAGTATACATTTTTGTTGTATTTTGTTTATGTAAACATAAGCCAATTTTCAGTACTGTCCAATGTACACCTCTCGAGACAATCTTCCGAGCATTAGGGTTTGGACACAGGTTCCGATATCAACTGAGGTAACTTGGTTGTTGGTTTTTCCTGGCTGGCAGGTTCGTTTAAGACAGAGTATAACTTTTCAACTCGTATTGGTAGTTTCAATATTGTTTATATATATAAATATTATTTTCATGAAATTAGTATGTGTATTAAAAATAGATTATAATAAAATCCAGTGTCCTCCTAGTCTTGTGGGCTATCGGCAATTGTAAAATATGTTTAAGATATTTTTGCCATATATTAGTATAGTGTGTACTATGTTATATCTTTGATTTTTAAAACTCAAATGTCAGCATTAGGAGAGTAGCTTGATATTAGTTTAATGGAGAACTTGAGGGGGGGAGGGGGTCTCAAACTTAAAGATTATGTGAATACCCATCTTGAATTTAAATTCAAAATGAAGAAGTTAAGTTATGATTTTTCAAATGTCTAAGAATTGTATTTTCAATCTTATACTGTCAGTATCATCATTAAATGAACTTAAATTCTATCAACAGACAGGACTGGTGTTCCCATGGTATAATTAGTGTGTGAACTTACATTCCATCAACAGACAAGATTGGTGTTCCCATGATATAATTAGTGTATGAACTTACATTCCATCAACAGACAAGATTGGTGTTGACATGGTATAATTAGTGTATGAACTTACATCCCATCAACAGACAAGATTGGTCTTCCCATGGTATAATTAGTGTGTGAACTTACTTTCCATCAACAGACAAGATTGGTGTTCCCATGGTATAATTAGTGTATGAACTTACATCCCATCAACAGAAAAGATTGGTGTTCCCATGGTATAATTAGTGTGTGAACTTACATTCCATCAACAGACAAGACTGATGTTCCCATGGAATAATTAGTGTGTGAACTTACATTCCATCAACAGACAAGACTGATGTTCCCATGGAATAATTAGTGTGTGAACTTACATTCCATCAACAGACAAGATTGATGTTCCCATGGTATAATTAGTGTGTGAACTTACATTCCATCAACAGATAGGATTGGTGTTCCCATGGTATAGTTAGTGTAGTTACCAACCAGATAGAACTCAATTGTATCACCCTCATCATCTGTAGCTTCCAACTGGTACTGTATTGTACCTAAAAAATACAAATCACACATAGCTATAGTAGCTACCAACCTTGTATTGTATTGTACCTTAAAAAATCAAATCACACATAGATATAGTAGCTACCAAATGGAACTGTATTGAAAATCACACATAGCTATAGTAGCTACCAATTGGTACTTTATTGTACCTTACAATATACAAATCACACATAGCTATAGAAACTACAAATTTTCAACCAAAAAATTAGAGAAACTTTTTTTTTATCTGATATAAAATTCAAGAAACAAATAATTGGATACAGTAAATTTAGAAGTTTTTATAAGTTTTATAATCGCAAATATAGCAATGGGATAGGTTGTTCAAAAATAGAGGTGCAAAAAATTATTGTCCTTTCCTACCTGCATCTTCTGACATGAAGATAACATCTGGCACTGTAAGTTTGGGTTCTGAATTTGTAATGGTTGCTTTGGCATTAGACAGAGAAAACATTGTCTCATGACGGAAGTACGGTTCATTGACTACACCTTCTGTTAAATCTCTCCAAGTGTTGCATACCTGAAACATGGCAGAAAATATACAAAATTACACCTATGGTTAAATCCAGGAATTTATTACTACTGTACAAATAGGTGGCAAAATCTTATTAGTATAAATCAGATGAAACCTATCAAAAGAAAAAATATTTTAAAATTCTAGAGTAAAATACAGATATTACTCTTGAAAGTGTATTTGACTGTGTATAAATAATGAGATGGTGTGTGATTATTCAATTGTGATTGTATTTGCATATATATGATAACATTCCAACAAAGATCCTATGAAAGCAAGTAGCAAATGTACAGGACAATGTCCAGCCTTCAGTAATAGGTAAAATCTGACACATGGCAAGTAATAGTGAGCAAAGAATATATTAAATTGTCCAGAAATAAATTTTTGACAATCTGAACCAATGCAAATATAAAACAGTCAATTGTTTATATATTTAATCTATTTGACTTGTTCAATTTCCATAATCACCAAAAAGAAGATTTTTACAAAAGAGTGAAATGTTGAAGAAACATGTCCTTAGAGATGAGTAAAAAAAAAATCCTTCAAAACAAAACGACAAAAATATAGAAGTGTACACCACAGGCATTGGGTACATTCTACTGTTTCCACACAGCACCAAAGATAAACTTTGTAAGCAGATTATAGAAAAAGTGTATAGTCAAAAATAAATAAAAATAAATAAAAATAAATAAATACCTTGACAGTGACAGTACTGTCATTATGGAAGACCTCAGTATCTGTTTCATTACATGTTCTACTAGACTCTTCCCAAACTTGTCTCACTGAAACATATAATTCAAAAATATTTCAAAAATACAATCTACAAATAAATAAACATGACTGAAATTGTCACCTGACGCCTTTTAATGTGATTGCCCATTTAAAAGATGATTTTTACCCATTTTTGCTCTTTTTTTTGGCAGAAACCATAAATGATTGAGAGAAACTATATTGGAAAATAAGATCTACAAAGTAAAATTGAGAATGGAAATGGGGTATGTGTCAAAGAGACAACAACCCGACCAAAGAGCAGAAAACAGCTGAAGCCCACCAATGGGTCTTCAACACAGCGAGAAAATTCCGCACCTGGAGGAAGGCTTCAGCTGGCACCTAAACAACAATGTGCATTAGTTCAGTGAAAATGGACGTCATACTAAACTCCAAAACAGATACTGTTATATTCTGACTTTTTCTCAGATTTCGTTCTCTGCAATTTTCAAGGCAAATTCTAATTACAATATCAATAGAATACTTTTTTCCATGCAACTTCGATTGATTGTACCAATTTTCCTGTCATTGCACAGCACAAGCAAAAGCAAATAATGATGAGGCCCCTCATGGGGGTGTCCAAGTAATCACATAATCACAAATGTTTTGCCAATATAATCACATAATCATTATTTTTTTAAACAAGGTAATCAAATAATCAAAAATACAGTCCCAGATTATCAATTAATCAAATAATCATGAAATATTTGGTCTGGTAATCAAATAATCACTATAAAAACGTCCACATAATCACATAATCAAAAACCCCATGAGGAGGCTCAATGATATAATTCTTTTTTTCATAAGTAAAAATACAAAGACAAATCATCTATATATAATATCAAACAAACAAATGGCTAACAGTGAAATATTTCATTTTCATATGCAAACAGATACATGGTATGATCATGTTTAATGCTATTTCAGCAAACAATAGCAGAACGTGAAGAACAGATCATGTATTCCAAATGTTTTTAAAGAGAGTAAAAAAATAAAATACCAACAAAATGACATCTCTTCCCCTAACCAAAATGAATCCAAAATACTAGAGATAGTGAGACAGTACTATAAAATCATTTGTTATTTTACCTGGATTCCAGTGTGTCAATATGGTCCTATTGCCTGAATCATGGGGTCCTGGTCCAGCAGCATCACTGTATGTCATCAGAATAGGTCCAGGCATCATAATATGTCCCACAGATACAAAGGCAAAGGCAAATTCACTTCCATAGAGCCTAAAACAGAAAAATATCTACATGAATTCTGTGGCAACAAAACATCTTATTCTTCCAGGATGGAAGTTTGTACGGACATGTTACATTGTAATTGTATACACAATATATCAACAATGCTGTATAAGCATAACATATCACGTCACATCTGTCTAAACAAGAACGATCGATTCTTGCCCAATTGAAAGGTGGGATTCTTCCAATACGCATTGAAACTGGAAAGTTCTGTAACGAGGCGCTACCAGACTGAAGATGTGTATTGTGTGAAAAACATGAGGTCAAAGAATAAAAAACCACCTTTTATTAAACTGTCCAAGCTATGATAAACTAAGACACAAATATCTACCTATGGCCGCATTAAATAATTTAAGTGATGATAGTGAAACACTATCAAATTCCAACAACAAAATTTATAAATTCAGCATTCGTTCATTGAAAAAACTACTGTTAGGTCTTAATTCTATTTTTCTATTTTGTAAACTTTTTTGTTTTTGGAATATATGATACAAAATTGCTAAGGAGACATACGGGTCCAATGGGCCAGGTGTAAATATCAAATTGCTATATATATATACTTGTATAAATGTATGTAATGATACACATGTCACTATAATAAGTAATTACTTACTAACTTACTTACTTTCTTACTTACTGTAACCTATAATTTTGGTTGAAATTCCCAAAGGCACAGAATTAATTCAAAAACTGCCTAAATGGGTTGATTGCTAGCTTGCCTCGAGAAGGATTTTTAGGGTTTGATCCAAAGAAACTGGTAAGAAGAAGAGAACAATAATTTGTTCGGGTAGGATGAAAATTCAGCTTGGGAACTGTTACAAAATCTTGCTCAGGTAGCAATACACAGTTAGGAAAAAACTTAAAATTGACACTCATAATTTTTAACCACCCTCTTTCCTTTGGTTTCTTACAAATAAGGCTTGATGTTTGTGTTATGTATGTGCATATGTATGGAAACAGCATCTTCTATTGATTTGATTTCCAATAGTTAAAATGGTGATATATAATCTCTTTTTGGTGTAACCATGGCAACAATCTGCATTTATTTGATTCAAAATATTGCAAAAAGGGAGGTGAAAATGTCACAAAAGTCCCCAAAATTTGGTCCAAAGAAGAATTTCAATCCATTACAGTGGTACCTTTTCTGAAACCATAGACATTTATCTGTAAAGAGGTCCAAAAAATTCATATGCATTTCACCTCATTTTTCCATCAAATTGAATTGAAAAGTTTGAGGGTCAAATCTTTGTTGAAAAACACTACAATAATTTTTTTGACCTATGGGCAGTACGGATGTGGAAATACGGACTGTCAAACAGAAAAATGGCCTATAAAACATGCAAAAAACAATCTTGATGTTCATATAAACCCACTTGGAAGGCTATATTATTCTTCAGCTATCTAAAAATCAATTTTATTGTACAAAAACTTTCATATTTAAAAAATTCACCATGGCCAAAATGCAGAACTAAACTTCTTACTGTGTATTGCTACCCTCAGCCTGTGGGTCTAGTACAAAGCAGGTCTCATATTCATATCCCATTAACATGTTCTTGCCCTGAATAAATGTTTCTTTCTTGTCACTGGACTTTAAACAGCTTATCATCATCATCATTTATGTTAATCCTTCTAAACAAATCATGTATTCTGCCCTTATTAAAAGGTACTTTGGGATGGTAAACATTGCCTACACCACATTCAGCTATTTCATATATATTTTATATATAGAAATGTCTTATATAGGTTGATCTAGAGTACTAATATAACACCAACTTTGAAATAAAGAGCTGTGTCATGAGCACATGATATGCCCGTCTTTTTTTCAAAGAATAAAGTTCCATGACACCTCAAATTCATATAAAAAATTTATAAAAAACTAAAGGGAGGTTATTTTAATAGATATAAAACAGTCACCAAAGTTTCATGAAAACTGCTCAAAGCATTTTTGAGTTATTTTCCGAAAACTGGAAAATCCCCCTGTTTTAATGAATAAAACCCATTACTCGGAAAGGTAAAATCTAAAATTCATAAAAATCGAAAGGGAGCTCACATCAATAGATATAAACAATTCACCAAAGTTTCATGCAAAATGGTTAATGGTTAAAGTGTTTTTGTGTTATTTTCCGACATGTTGATGACGGACGAACAACAGTATACCATAATACGTCCGTAAACGGGTGTATAAAAACGATCTTATAATACAAAATTTACATGAATGTGAAAACGAATTAACTATGCCTGGTATTGATCCTTTAAAGAACCAAGGACATAAACTAAAAACCTCAGAATTTACTTTTTATTGCATACATCTTTTTATCTCACAATCATACCTTCCTAACAGAATTCTGTCCACTAAATCAGTGGTAGTAGATGGATCAACAATATAAGGTACAAAATCTGTTGAAGCTGCAGATTCATAGCTTGCTGTTAACTCAGATTGAGTGAGTTTTGTAAATGTTGTACTGTGTCCAGAAGTCAAATCTACAAAAATCAACACATAAGTGGTGGTAATAGTGATATAGCTATATACCTTCAATAACAAAATGTATTTTCTGACATATACATGAATGCTATAGTTGATATTAAAAGTTGGAATATCGTCCATCGTGATGGTCCAAGGACACAGTTATTGTCCTTTGGTTTTCGTTGTCTACGAATATAGTCCCTAGTGTGAACAGTGTATAACTTGCATTTTTTTTTTATACACTTTCCCAATTTATTTCTTGATATGTTATGCATGAAATATTAAGTAAAGGGATGAAATTACATGTTAAAAAAATTTGGGTGCTGAATCTTTATGTTTAGTAGTGATTTGGTCCAGTTAAAAAAGGTCAAAAATTAGAATGTCTGAAGCTGTCAAACCTAATTTTAGCCCCCCTTAACACAGAATTGTCAATATTTTGAGTTAGAGCTGGAAGAAGTTTCTATAATTTTGATATTATTTGTATCAATAGTAGTACACTACACTGTAAAAATCTTTTAGAGATAGAGCAGGTGCGTTTTTTTTAATTTGAATTTATTGTCTAAATGAAATGCACTACGAAAAAACTGTGTTCTCGGGCCTGATGATTGAAAAATGTACAATAAAAGAAGAATGTGTCTGAGGACACGGATACCCAGCACAAGCTTCAAACAAATGAATATCGGATGGACGGACAGATGGAAAGACAGACAGTCAAGGGTTACACTTAATGCCCCCATCACCTATGGCAGGGGCATAAAAATGCAAGATAAATTAATGCGATTTCAGAAAAATGCTGCATAAAATTTATGCTATCAAAATTAAAAGCCAAGTTGTTTTTTTTGGTGACACCTATCTGATTGCAATTTTCAGGATAATAAAAACATCACAAAAATTTCCATATTGACAGCATATCCTAATTTTTGGTTGTAGAATAAAACAGAAATTTTTAACCCCTTTCCTCTGTAAATTTATTGACTTCCAAACTTGCCATGAATTGTGGGATCAAATTATTATTATTTTACTTGAATAGTATATCTGTTACCTGCATACATCTTTAGATATTGTGATTTGAATTCTTGTATCAATGGACATTTAATAAAAGGAAATTGTCTTACATGATCCAATCTTTCTGCTGTAATTTTAATATAGGAAAGTAAGATTTGAATATGTCTGTTCTTTGCTCTTTTGGAATTACATTTTTAGTTTAAGCCAATTTCTTGTAATGCATGAATAAATCAAGAATGCAAAAAACATATTTCTAGAGAATGGACTTCAAAACTTGTCATGTATTTTTAGAAGTTTGAATTGTAACAACAAGTAATTATTTTGTCCTCTTTCATCTTCAATGTACTTACTACTTGGTGTTACAATAATCAGATCATCTCCGACAGCTCTCTTTCTCCTTCTACCAGAACCTGGGGTGACTGTTATCGTAATAGCCAATCCATTGAGTGATGTTTCTAGATCAGTGTTGGCATTGGTTATTATGACACTACCCATTGTCTTGTTAGTACATCTCATGGCAGCATTACATAACCTCATCATCATAAACACAGTACGTCCTGGCTCCATATTGAATGCATTATTGGCACTGGAGAGACGGTCTGATTCAGACAAACTTGTATTTTGCACAGGGTTTAATTCAGATAATCTCCTTATGTTCATTCCATTGATTTTCACCCATCCATCTTCAACCATGATCGTCCCAGAAACATTGTATCCTACCCAAGTACATGGGAAAATATCATCCTTTTCTTCATCTGTTCCAAAACACAAGTCTGAAAATTTTCATAAAAATTAAAGTACAGGAATTTTTTTCAGTAAGTCTAGGCTGTAAAAAAATGAAATAAGGGTTTTACATAAAGAAGTATGCTTAAGATCAGTGTGCTGTCATGTGCTTGTCTGCCTATGAATATTTCTATATCTGTTTACATCAGGTCATACGACCATTGGCAGCCTTCAGAGGTCTGCTTAATAGTTAATTAAATGTCGTCTAGTCGGAAATAGGCATGAAATGCTCAAACATTATCATAAGTCCATGCATTGTTTATTGTTTCTTTTTAACTTTTTTTAATATTGAAATATGTATTAGTATGTTATAAATCCAATATAAGAATTTGAATCAAATCGTGGAACATGAATTTAGACAGCTAATGCCCTTTAACATACATTTGGAAATATTTATACAAGATTCAAAATTCAAGATATGAATATGTTGATGAGACACTAAATTGAATTTGGCTTATATCAGTGCATGTATTATGTTAAATGGTATACCTACCATATCTGTTGACCGAGTCATCATGACTAAGTGTAAATGAAACTCCTAGTTTAGTTGGATCAGTACTCTGAAGAGCATCTTTTGGAGTGACATCAGCTGATAACTGGGTAGCACCAGGTATAGTGGTATTTACATCATCTACTGGATCCTCAAGAAGTACAATAACACCTGTCAAGTAAATCAGAGGTTTGATATTTATTGGAATCAGATCTAAACTTGACCTGACAAAATTAACATTTTCAGACAGCCATGAATGCATGCATGCATTATTGTTGCTGACCTACTTCTTTTAGAAAAAAATTGTTACTTTTTTGTATCCGACCTTATTTGTTTATCTTTTTTTTCTAATTTGCCACTTTTCAATTCTGATTTTTTTTCCAATCTTTATCCCTTTTTTCTAAATTGCAACTTTTGGATATCTGACCTACTTCTTTCATCTTATTTTCATTATCCAAAATAGTCACTTTTTGGTGTCTGACCTTCGTTCAATTATCTTAACTTTCTATTACAATTGATATTTTTTTTATTTGACCTACTTCATATTACTATAAATATTTTCTGTAGACTTGTGACATTCATTCAGATAAATCAGAAATTGTCTAAAATATAAATACTTGTACTGCACATGAACTCTAAAAATTCTTTGGCAAAATGTTGAACTGCCAGGGTCCTATAAAATCAAAATAACATTATCATGGTTATATACCTTTAGTATCATTGTAGATCACTACATGTCCAGCACCGTTCTCACATATCAGAGATACATAGTATGTGGTATTGTGTTCCAAGATGCCTTCAAATGTACTGTTAATGGCAAATTGATTGGTGCCTATAGACTCAAATTCCTGTAACTCATGTCCACCAACTGTGGTACCTATGGCCCACCAATTTTCCTACAAAATAAGAATAGACAAGATGGTTCAATAATGATATCACTGCTATAAATATTTGGTAAACAGGTAGCTGATAAACAATGGATTTGACTGACTACACAGAATTGGTTTTGCTCATTGTTGAAAGCTGTACAGTGACCTATATTTACCTACATCTAGGATATTTGGACTGTGTCAGACAGTTGGCAATCATATCACATTTCCTTACTTCTAAATGGATGTAAAAATGCATCACACAGGTAAGGATGCTTAAAAATTAGTTGGTTTACAGTAATTCATTGTTTCAATGTCATAAATCAAGGCCATCGTTTTTATATCAGGCATTAGTAATACGAACCACTACATCACTCTCTTCATCAAAACATCTCCAGAATGACTTGATGGTGCTGTTGGATCCCTGATATCTGACAGGAGTGAACTCCCCTTGATCTACATCAATATAAATATCACTGCCCATCACATCAGGATCATATATTGGTGGTGTATCGTCAATGTAAAATCCATCTGAAGACACAACTGTAGTAACACCAGAACTAAGCACAGCTTTCACTGAAATAAATGAAATTTACATATAAAAAAATCAAGCCTTTGTTCTCTTTCTTTTAAAAGGCAGTTTAAAAAATCAAGGTTGCACTGTAATTTTTCTTACTCTTATTGAAAGATTGCTTGATTTATTCTGTCTAAAGCTAAAGATTTTTTAGGGCACGCCTTTTTGGAAAAAACATTTGTGTGCAATTCATAAAGGATATTAACATTGCATGCATCATCATACCATATATAAATATACACATCATCTAGCACTATTTTCACAAAAAAAAATTTACGACAAAAAAATGATCACAAGTTATACTGAAATGTTCATGACTCTAAGAGTATTTTTTGTTAATATTTTTTTTTAAATTGATCGCTGACCTTTGGGAAAAAAACTGATATAAAAAAGCAATAAATGCAAACTGTCCTCTAAATATCGGTAAGTAATGAGCAAATTTTGTTGATGCCTCAAGGTGTTAAGTCAAATTCTGTTATTTGGGCCTAGTTGCATGACTTCTTATCAATGAGGTATTGTTTTGACTGGCATTAGATATTACTATATATAATAAGGTGAACATGCAGAAAATTTATGTTAAATGCCACAATTTAAGTACAGTGAATATATGCTTATTTATATAACTCAAAATTTGGTTACTATGATGAATGCATCTATCCCATCAAACTTGAGGGAAAGGATACAACAGATACAGTTAAGTCTGCTTCATATCTTGACTTACATCTAGAAATTGACAATAAGGGCTGGTTGAAACAAAACTTTACGACAAATGGGAAAATTTCAGCTTCCCAATTGTGAACTTTCCATTTTTATGTAGCAAAATTCAAACAGCACCTGCATACAGAGTATATATCTCCCAGTTGATACAATATTCCATGGCTTGTATTTCCTATCATAATTTCCTTGATAGAGGGTTGCTGCTATCAAGGAAGCTATTAAACCAAGAGTTTCAAGTGGTGAAGTTGAAGTCATCCCTTCGTAAATTTTACGGACACCATCACCGTCGATCGTTATAGAATATCAGTTTCACAGATGATAGTGAATATGTTCCAATTGTTGTAACCTCAATCCCCTCCCCTTTCCCTGAATGTGACCTACCGAATTAGACTTATTACTGGTTTTGTACTAACATAAGCAACATGATGGGTGCCACATGTGGAGCAGGATCTGCTTACCCTTCTGGAGCACCTGAGATCACCCCCAGTTTTTGGTGGGGTTCATGTTGCTCAATCTTTAGTTTTCTATGTCGTGTTTTGCATACTGTTGTTTGGCTGTTTGTCTGTTGGTCTTTTTCTTTTTTAGAAATGGTTTTGTCAGTTTATTTTTAAATTATCAATTTGAATGTCCCTTTGGTATCTTTCGCCTCTCTCTTATTTATATATGGATGACAGAAAGTGGTTTTTACCTGTGAAATAATAATCTATTGGTTTAGTCTCATTGTCTTCAATTCTTGTAGCTGGCAGAGTAAAGTTGTCAAGCATAAACTGGTATAACACATGTTCTTCAGCATCACAGGTTGAATTACAATTGTAACGTGAACAAAAGTTATAACATGGGAGACATGGTGATATCATTTCTCTATAAGGAACAGCCTCTGTACCTAGTATTGTAGTTCCAATACCAATTTCATACTTAATTATTGGATTTTCACCTCCACGGAATGGAGCACCATATCTGCAATATGCACTTGGCTCTGGTGGCAAAACTACATTTCTGAAGAATGCCTTGGTGGAATAGGGATTAAAACTGTCAACAACTGGTGGTAAATAATTGTTTTTAGGGAATACATGGAAGATGAGGTCTGTGTCTGTACTGAGATCACGTATGCCACATACTTTACTCCATAATACACCATCCACATACAAATAGAAGCACAATGCTGGCTGTAAAGTATAAAGGAATTAATTAAAATTTTACAAAACGTATTAAAGCCAATAGTTATTAGGGAAAAGGATATCACTTAAAATGTTGTAAAATAATTTATAAAATTCATTTATTGAGAACAATATTAGTATGTAATACAAATAGTGCGCTAGATATCTACATACTTCATGTGCATTAAATAACTTCTTTAAATTTGGAAACAGCAAGCAAACATTTTTAGGCATGGTCAAACAGCACTACACACCATGCTCTGCCTCACTTTCATTTTGCCAAGTTAAGTCAACTGTTAAATTTGAATACAAGACATTATAACTCCAATATAAAACATTTCTTAAAAGTTTTAAATCTATTCATAGCATTAACTATAAGAATAATGTAAAACAAATATGTGTCCATAGTACACGGATGCCCCACTCGCACATCATTCTCTATGTTCAGTGGTCCATGAAATTGGGGTCAAAACTCTTACTTTGGCATTAAAATTAGAAAGATCATATCATAGGAAATATGTGTACTACGTTTCAAGTTGATTGGACTTCAACTTCATCAAAAACTACCTTGACCAAAAACTTTAACCTGAATCGGGACAGATGGACTAACGGACGGACGAACGGACATACAGACCGAAAAACATAATATCCCTAGGTGGGGCATAAAAAGAAAACTATTTACTAATGGTAATCATTTCCAACATTTTTACAAACTTACATTCACAGCTTCATCAGCTTCGAAGTCAACAACAATCCTATAATTATGGAAATCAGCTGATGGGTCAAAAGTTATGACATCTTCTACCACTTGTGGGGGTAATGTATCATTGAAGATTCTACACCATGTTACAACATGTGGGTCATTACCTATAAACAGAATTTTCAAGATTATTTTTTACTGTTCTTTGGAAAAATCATGGCGCCATTAAATGGTACATGTCAAATAAAAGTATAAAATACGAATCTGCTTGCATGTCAGAATGCAAACAATAAATTATCTATATATGAGATTTTGTCACATAAAAATATGACACTTCTTCAGATTAAACCTCTTATGTTTAGATTGTATGATTGTATTTCAGAATAGAAGTACTCGGAGCAAAGCTCACAAAATAAACCAAAATAAGCAGGAAGTGTGCAGGTATGGGTAAAAAAGCAGTATGTACCCTGTTAAAATGTTTCCAATTGACAAAAAAGGGGGGTGAATTCAGTTAAATTATTCCATGAAATTTCATGGATCAGGATTTAAAACTGTAGGAGTTAATTATCCAACAAATCCATCAATCATGAATTGCCCTTAAAAAAGACAGTCACAGCCTTGCACATTTACTATTCTTTTAATTCACTGATAAAATAGACATCTATAAAAAAGTTATCTTGGTGCAAAAGATAATAAATAAGTATATTTTACCTGCAAAAATTTCAATACCACACGAAGCTCGGGCAGGCTGTGTTGATAAATCAATAGGTGAGGTGACAGCGCCACCTGTAGGGTTTTCAACTACCTGGTATGGAGATGATGTGCTATTATCAACAACAGGAACAGCTTCAGTTGTTGGTATGACTATTGAATCGTTACCAAACTTTTCAGCTAAATATGCCGTACAGTTACAGGCAGTGCATGTCTAAAAATGGAGAATAATATTAAACATATAATTATTTTGGTAAGGATATGATCTCATCTTAAATATGGAGAGTTATATGGGATAAAAAACTATGGTGCACTAGAAAGGTCTTATCAAGGCAATTTGGGTTTGAATGATTGAATTGGAACCATTTTCAAAATATATAACAATTCATTTTTTAAGGGGGTGGGTTTAAAAATATTCTTAAAGAAATTATTATTTGACCTTCAGGTAAAAGGTCAGCCTCAGAGGTCATATTCTATATTACATAATTAACAAATCCTGTTGAAGTGGTGTACCAATGTGACATATGTCAAAAGCCGACGTTAAAAGATAAAAAGTTATGTACTAACTGTTGGAATAGGATTCTCAAAACAGCAATAACAGACAGTGACAGACCAGTCAGCCTCCGGAACATGATCGTATGGCATAATTTCCCCTTCTGGTCCGTCCCATAACATTATAGAAGTTGCAGCCATACCTTCACCACTGGCAGCCTTTATTTCAAACTGTAATATTAAATTTGTTGTTTTTGTTAAATGAGTTAGCTTCTTTAAACAAAGAATTTTATTATATCGATAAATTTACCGTATATTGTTAAACTCAAAATTAAAAAAATACAACTACAATTTAAAAGCATTCTCATTTTTTTCCCAGAAGTTTTACTGAAAAGTTATTCTATTTTTGCTGAGTCTAGGTTTTAGCTTTAATAGTAACTACTGAGCCACAGACTCTTTATTCTGAAAAACTTGAGGGTATTAACCATTCTACTGTTAAGTAGTACTTAACTTACCTCCCATTCTCCTCCATTTTGATAGTCAGCTTTTCTGTAGTATCCTCCGGAATACATAGTGTTCAAATTTGTATCTCGTGCCAACTTGATCCATAATTCATCATCAAAAATTTCCTTTCCAACATTTTCTGTACGCATCTTAATGGGCCAGTCCTGTCCTTCGGGATCTCTGAATCCTATTTGCTGTAAGATTTTCCAGTTGCTATCGTTGACAATTGACACTGGACGAGTTGGACATGCCTGACCAAATGGAGTTGCCAAATGCAGAATAGATCCTGAAAAATATTTTATGCAATCTTTTTTGACTATGCAGACTTTGGCAAATACACGAAAATACAATTTTTTCTCAATCCACGAAAAAAAATGAATCCACAGTTCAGGTAGTCATTAGAAATAAGATTTGGTATGAGTGCCAATGAGACAATGTACATGTATGTTATGCCCTGCAAGTCAGGTCTATTTGGCTGTGAGGGATGTATGAATACTCAGCCAAGTCTAGTTGGAATAGGGATATTAAATATAATGACTCATTTAGCTATAGTGCCTCGCTCTGCATGTAAAACAACCCTTGCAACAAAACTCTTTGACAGGTTGGTATGTGCCCTGTTGCAAGGCATAACTTCTGCCTTTCTCCAAAATACCCTAATTGTTTAGTGACTGCATGGTCTGTCTTACTGTAAGATGAATATTTAGTTTTGTTGAAAAACATCCAGCATAAAAAAAGTGTCTTTTATATATATACTGTAAATTCAGAAATTGTTGCGTGCATTTATTATTGTGATTTTGTCATTTCGGACTAAAATATGATTTTAATTTTTGCGATATTGAGAAAAATCCTGTTTAGTTCATATAAAAAATTTCAAAATGCGAGTTTAAATTATTGCAATTTTAACCTTGTCTCATTTTTCGCAATAATAAAAACATTGCAATAATTTATGAATTTACAGTATTTCTTTTAACCAGTTTTTCAAGGGATTATTGTCTTATGTATACCCCTTATACTAATATATTTTTGAAAATATCACAGTTATCCATCATTTTTAACAAACTAACCTTTGGCACTGCTGGGAGAACTAAACCAAACACGATCTTTCTTGAAATCCCAGCCATCAACAACTTTTCCAGGAGTTGGTTTGGTCATATCTACTAATATTGGTACTGATTCATCTGTTATGGAGAGGCCTGCTCCGTTTGTTATGATAAACTTGACAACTAGTGGTTCTGATTTCTATAAATGATATAAATATCATAAAATCAACTTTTTACTTTCAGTCTATAAAGTATCATACAACACTACCTTGTTAAAAATAAGTGTTCACACAGCTTTGCAGCAGGATCTGCTTACACTTCCAGAGCATATGAGATCCCCCTGTTTTTTGTGGGGTTATTGTTGCTCAGTCTTTACTTTTCTATGTTGTGTTTTTTGTGCTGCTGTTTGTCTTTTGGTCTTTTTACTTTTTTTGCCATGGCATTGTTAGTTTTTTTTCAACTTCTGAGTTTATATGTCCTTTCGGTATCTTTTGCCTCTCTTGTATAAATACAAATATTTCCATAAGTAAATATTTGAAATATTCAATCTTTTGATTTAGACATTGAAGTGCAGAAAACAGATATTTTCTGGCAATTTTCTATGCCCACAACTTTTGAAAAATCAAGAGAAAAAAAGATGATCACACACTGAACTAGAGGCTCCAAGGAGCCTGTGTCGCTCACCTGATATTTTTATTTACAATTGATGCATGAAATAATGCAACCGTTATACATTTGCTTTAGTTTCAGAGATATAAGTCAAAAACTGCATTTTCCCCCTAAGTTTCCCTACTATTTTTAGCCATGTCTGACATGTTGGTTGGCAGGCAGGGTCATCGGACACATTTTTTAAACTAGATACCCTAGTGATGATTGTGGCCAAGTTTGGTTAAATTTGTCTCAGTTGTTTCAGGAGAGAAGATTTTTGTAAAAGGTTACAAAAATTTACGAATAATTATTAAATTTGACTTTAAAGGGCAATAACTCCTTATGGGGTCAATTGACTTATTTGTAGATCTTACTTTGCTGAACATTATTGCTGTTTACAGTTTATCTCTAACTCTAATAATATTCAAGATAATAACGAAAAACTGCAAAATTTCCTTAAAATTACTAATTCAGGGGCAGCAACCCAACAACAGGTTGTATGATTCATCTGAAAATTTCAGGGCAGATAGATTTTAACCTGATGAACATTTTTACCCAATGTCAGATTTGCTCTAAATGCTTTAGTTTCAGAGATATAAGCCAAAAACTGCATTTTACCACTATGTTCTATTTTAAGCCATGTCGGCCATCTTGGTTGGCAGGCGGGGTCATCAGACACATTTTTTAAACTTAGATACCCTAGTGATGATTGTGGCCAAGTTTGGTTAAATTTGGCCAAGTAGTTTCAGAGGAGAAGATTTTTGAAAAGTTAACGGATGACGACGACAGACGACGGACGCCAAGTGATGAGAAAAGCTCACTTGGCCCTTTGGGCCACGTGAGCTAAAAAGGGCTTTGGAAAAAAAGATTTATTTAATAGTTGGCTTGTTGTTTAGGTATCTCCATTAGTTTTTTTGGGTCTGAATTATTTCATGTCTTCATGTCAGGATCTTTTATAGTTGAATATACGTTATGCTTTTTTCTCATTGTTGAAGGCCATAATAATTGCTTACGACCATGTCATTTGAACTCTGGTAGATAGTTGTCTCATTGGCAATCATACCTCATCTCCTAATTTTTAACGGTGACTTCTCTCGATAGTTAATTTGTGTCTTTTGTCTTTTAAGTAGTTTTTCTGTGAAATATTACAATCTTATGAGTCGAGCTCATTCTAACTGATCTTAAGTTGAGTCGGTACACCATTGTCCCAGGTAAGGGGAGGGTTTATCTCATGTTTAAAGCCATCACATTCTTTAAGATCATGATCCTAGTCAGGAGCCTGTAATTCAATAGTAATTGTTGGTTGTTGTCTGCCATATTTCATTTTTGCTTATTGTTTAAGCATAAATCTGGCCATAAGTTTTATAGGAGTAAATGTTTCATATTTTGTCATGCTGCCATAGCTTACTATACAGTATGGATTTTGATAATAGTATGGATTTTGATATTACTATGGATTCGTTATTATTCGTGGGATACGAATTTTCGTAGGTTTTGTGAATACAGGTGAACTTAATTAAAATTGAATTTAAATGTTCAACAAATTACGTATTTTATTTTCTATTGGCTAGTATGCACACTTTGGCAAACCACGAAATTAAATATCCGTTTTTTATTTTTACTTAATCCATGAAAATTGGTACCTACGAAAATAACTGAATCCACAGTAGTTGAAGGCCATATAGTGACCTATAGTTGTTTACATCCAATTACAGCATAATATTGATGTAAAAAATATTTATTTAACTTTAGAATTTATTAACATATTCCTATGAATCAAACCTGTTTAAAAAGCAATGTTTCATAGTACATGAAAAACTTACATTAAGAGTTAGATCTATGAAACTATAATCTGTATAATTATTTGACAAGATAATCCAGCTAACGACCATTTCAGACTCAGCAACCTCTGAACATGATTTATTTCTCCAGATAGATACTTCATATGTGGCTATATCAGAAACATCGTCACCATATCCCTCCCAATACACATACACTGAGGTATTGGCTCGATTGTAAGTCACAGGCTGAAATGTAAACAAAAAGTTTTTATTCAGAAACAGTTCAACGGATTTGTATTAAAATAAGTTTTTACTGAGCATATCAGAAGAAAGATGTTTTAATGTGAATCAACTTTTAAATAAAAGAAGAATGTGTCTGAGGACACGAATGCCCCACTCAAGCTTGCTTATAATATGTGAAAATACTTTTGGGATGGACGGACAGTCAAGGGTAACACTTAATGTCCCCTTTGCCTAGCGGCTTGGGCATCAAAAACAGCAATCTTTCAGAGAACTGATACAATTTAGAACATCAAGTCAATGATTTTTTTTACATAAATTTATTTTTAACTAAACAAATGGAATAAAAAGTAAAATATGTTTTAGTACTTTGCTCATGTCCATACTCTCTGCATGAATATTTCAAAACTAGTTTAATTTTAATAGAACTTCCAAATAATAGGCCCAATATATTTTGTTGAATATATGATGTCTTGTAAAAAGAAGGGTTTTCAATAGAATCATTCATGTTTGTTTATTCCATTGTTCTTCTCATGTCATTACAATATTAAGTCGTCTTATGTTATATAACAGGGCACATCTAGCATAAATCTAAAACAAATTTTTGTATAGCGCAGCAGGTTTGAAAAGCATCATACTGTGATGCTTACATCCAAGGTTATATCTATAGTGTTAATTCCAAATCAAGAAAGTAATTTAACGATTCCCAATTAATTTGGAAATCTCATATACAAAATAAATGTGCATCTACTTTGATATAAGCATATAGCCATAAAAATAAATACCATATCATAATAGGGTCCAGTTTTTATCCTGCCCCTGTCCGGTTGTGTGGTGTCAACAGTAAATTCATGCATGACCATACCACAAGCTCCAGATTTATCAGTACCTATTTAAGAGAAAATAAACAAGTTAAATTTGAAGTAAACTGTTGACATAGATTATGTCTCCCCAGCATCAGGCTAAACTTACCCATAGCATAAAAGGTAGCTTGATGTGCAAGACTAGAATGATCCATAGCATACACATAATAGGTAACTCCCTGTGTCAGACAAGACTTACCTAAAGCATACACATAATAGGTAGCTCCCTGTGTCAGACAAGGCTTACCCATAGCATACACATAATAGGTAGCTCCCTGTGTCAGACAAGACTTACCTAAAGCATACACATAATAGGTAACTCCCTGTGTCAGACAAGACTTACCTAAAGCATACACATAATAGGTAGCTCCCTGTGTCAGACAAGACTTACCCATAGCATACACATAATAGGTATCTCCCTGTGTCAGATTGAGACCTGTCATTGTGGTGACCGTGTACTTGTTGATATTGGTAACATCATAATCTGTAAACAATAGCTTCTTCTCTTCATCTGTAGCTGATCCACCATCAATCTGTGCAGAATGCAAGATGTTAAAATAAAGTCTTAAAAGTGGATGAGATGGAGGAATTAACCATGAGACATGCTGTAGATTCATTCATTTTCTTGGGTACCAAATTTTGCATTTTCGTGGATATTTGATTTTGTGGTTTTACTAAAGTCTTACATGCAAGCCCAAAGAAAATTTGCAATTCATTGAACGTTTAAATTTGTGGTTCACCTGCACCTCTTTTAACAAAATCCACGAAAATTGGTACCCCACAAATAATATGAATCCACAGTAGAAACTACAGTTATATAACTAATAGTATGAATCCACAGTAGAAACTATAGTTATATAACTAATAGTATGAATCCACAGTAGAAACTATAGTTATATAACTAATAGTATGAATCCACAGTAGAAACTATAGCTATATAACTAATAGTATGAATCCACAGTAGAAACTACAGTTATATAACTAATAGTATGAATCCACAGTAGAAACTATAGCTATATAACTAATAGTATGAATCCACAGTAGAAACTACAGTTATATAACTAATAGTATGAATCCACAGTAGAAACTATAGTTATATAACATATAGTATGAATCCACAGTAGAAACTATAATTATATAACATATAGTATGAATTCACTGTGGAAACTACAGTTATATAACTAATAGTATGAATCCACAGTAGAAACTATAGTTATATAACTAATAGTATGAATCCACAGTAGAAACTATAGTTATATAACTAATAGTATGAATCCACAGTAGAAACTATAGTTATATTACATATAGTATGAATCCACAGTAGAAACTATAATCATATAACATATAGTATGAATCCACAGTAGAAACTACAGTTATATAACTAATAGTATGAATCCACAGTAGAAACTATAGTTATATAACTAATAGTATGAATCCACAGTAGAAACTATAGTTATATAACTAATAGTATGAATCCACAGTAGAAACTATAGCTATATAACTAATAGTATGAATCCACAGTAGAAACTATAGTTATATAACAAATAGTATGAATCCACAGTAGAAACTATAGTTATATAACTAATAGTATATACCTAGTTGTTTATGTCAATGTTTCTGCTACTTTCACTAAACATCATTCTAGATTACTAAGATTTTATAAAGATACGAAATTTTGGGTCGGCTTGACATAATGTATGGAAACTTGTTTCTTCTTAAAGAATGTATGTTGACATGTGGAACATTGGGTTGGTGTCTCATTGGGATATTTCCCGCTATTTCATTTCTTTTCCTTGATAAAAGAGATAATAATGTATAACTTACATATGCTTTACAATTAGTGTGGAACATTGGGTTGGTGTCTCATTGGGATATTTCCCGCTATTTCATTTCTTTTCCGTGATAAAAGAGATAATAATGTATAACTTACATATGCTTTACAGTTAGTGTTATTGGCATCAGAGTTGTTTGACAAAGCCACGTAGTACATCAAGATATCTAACTTGGAACTAAATCCTTCAAACTGAATATCTAAATAGGTGTATGTTGGAATGTATTTCTCCATCACAATAATCCCAGCTGTAATACAAACAAAATTCAATATGAGTAATGATATTTTTCATAACAATTTATGACAAATTCTGATTTTCATACTTTTATTTGATAACAATATGATCATGTGGAAACAATATGATCACATAATGTTAATTTCATGAATATTTTCTGGTCTAATGACATTATGGATGTCATTAGGCGGATTCAGGGGTTGGTTGTAGAGGCCCTATGCCCTCTTTGATTGGAAAAATATATATAATTTTTTAGCATAGAATCTCTTGAAATTTTTTTGGCCTCACTACGCTCTGCAGTATTTATACGGTTTTCTGGAATAACGCCCCCTTTCAAAAATCCTGGATTCACCCCTGGGAATTCTGTACTCTCTATCAAGGTATACACTTACCTGTAACTCCTCCATCAAATCCAACCTGGAAACCATTTGAAGTGACTGTTGCTATAGAGTATGAAGCACTGTATGCCTTCACTGTAAAGTAGTAGATACCAGTTAATGGGGTCAACTCAAGATCATAGAAAATGACAGTTTTGTTTAGAAATACATCTGTAAATGGAACAACATCATCCCTGGTCTTGGGAAATCTTCTGTCTGTTCCCACGGCAACCTCATAGTAAACTACTTCCTGGTTAGGATTTTGTGCCTCTAACTGTGCCTCATCCACTTTCAATCCAGGGTTTCCTACAAAAGTTTCAGTAAGTTAAATTCTTCCCTCAACACTGTGCAATAGAAGAAATATCTCGATTATTTGATTTTTCTTTCTTTCTTTCAGCCATAAAACCCTAATTAAGTTATCCAATATTTCTGTTTAATGCAATTTTTAGAGCTATGAAGAATTCTATAACACTTCTATTTCATGAAACTATTAGCACTTTACTTAATTTAATCATAACAAGCATTTTTGACTATAGTACTATAAAAATAAAGATCTGCGCCATGAGCACATGATACGCCCATCGCTTTTGCAAAGAACAAAGTTCCATAACTCCTCAATGTCATATCAGAAATTTATAAAAAACTAAAGGGAGGTTATTATAATAGATATAAACCAGTCACCAAAGTTTATGAAAACTACTCAAAGCATTTTTGAGTTATTGTCCCAATACTGGAAAATCCCCCTTCTTTAATGAATAAAACCCCATAACTCGGAAACGTAAAATCTAAAATTCATAAAAATCTAAAGGGAGGTTATCTTAATAGATATAAACCAGTCACCAAAGTTTCATGAAAACTACTCAAAGCACTTTTGAGTTTTTCTCCGAAATTTGGAAAATTACCCTTTTTTAAAGAATAAAATCCAATAACTTGGAAACTTAACACCTAAAATTTATAAAAATCGAAAGGGAGCTTATCTCGATCAATAGATATAAACAATTCACCAAAGTTTCATGAAAACTGCACAAAGCATTTTTAAGTTATTGTCCGAAAACTGGAAAATCACCCTTCTTTAATGAACAAAACCCAATAAATCGGATATGTAAAATCTAAAATTCATAAAAATGGAAAGGGAGCTCACACCAATAAATATAAACAATTCACCACAAGTTTTTGCAAATTGGTGAAAGAGTCTTTGAGTTACTATTAAAAAACTGGAAAATCCCCCTTTTTTAATGTTACATCCTATTACCATAACTCGGAAATGTAAAATCTAAAATTTATAAAAATCGAAAGGGAGCTTATGTTAATAGATATAAACAATTCACTAAAGTTTTATACAAATTGGTTAAAGCGTTTCTTGTCTGACATGTTGACGACGGCTGGACTGACAGACCGACGAACGGACAGACAACTGTAATCCATAATAGGTCCCGTAAACCTAAAAGGTATAATAAGGAGATGAGGTATGATTGCCAATATGAAATGACTGTCGATTAATGGCCAAAAGAACAGAGATGTGAACAATTACAGGTCACTATACAGCCATCAACAATGAGCAATACACATACCCTATAGTATGCTGTAGAAATCCCAGGAATTGACTGCTTTCATTTAAGGTGCTGGTTTTGTAAAATCTAATATACTTGCAACACTGATGTCAATAAAGTGGATTCAATGTCCTCTCAGTCACATACAAATGTTAGTAATATTAAAGGAATGTTTCTTTCCTCTAAATTTCTATAAGTCATGTGGTTTTGTTACATCCTATTACTAGTAAAAACCACAAAATCGTTGCATTTCTTTGAAAACATTAATTCACTGCTTGCTCAAGTCTTTAAGAAAACAACATTTTCTATTCCACAAAATACAACAAATTAAAGTATTACCTGATAAAACATCTACTTGTGTAATGGCATCAGCAGGTAAACCAAATCCATCCCAGTTTGCATAGATAATTTTATTTGATGGTAAGTAGTTAATGTCATAGCCTCTAACATCTCCATCAAACACCTTTCCTGGTAATAGTGGATTTTTCTCAATAGTGACACCATCTGATCTTAGAATGTAAGTGTAGTTCAATTTATTGGTCACCTGTACTAAAGAGTAGTACATTTTTCCATTTTCCAATCCCAATCCATCAGTCATGCCATCAGTATTCACTTAAAATGACAAGAAGTTTCATAATTTAAATTTGTCATAGACCTCAACTAACATAAAATGGAATTGATGTAAAAAGTGAATACCAGGAAGATTTTAAAGTTACTTACTTAGTAAAACTCAACATAATAATCATGTTCCTATGTGGCAATGGGGAGAAAACATCCATATGCATAATTCTTCACTTAAAATTCATTTGGCAATCATTAACTGGAGGAGCCTGTGTTGCTGACCTAGATCTATATGCATCTTTAACAATGGACACTCTCCAACATTGTAGACTAAAATATAATTCATGACTAAAAACTCTTTTTTGTTGATCTTGTTTTGCTGATAATTTTTCCTGTTAAGAGTTTCTCTTCATCTTCTACAGTTTTTACTCAAAACACATGAAAAGGGGAGATTGTCATTTAAAGGCAATAACTCCTATAAGAAGACAACTGACAATTTCATCTATGCTGACCTATCTTCAGACGGCCATGTGGGATAATTTTTAGATCTTGTCTTGCTGATCAATTTTTCTTTTCAAAGTTTTTCTCTATCTTTTATATTTTTCAAGATAATAGGTAAAACTGAATAAAATAAACAGCTGCGCCATGAGCGCATGATACGCCCGTCGTCTTGTGTGTGAATTTTTATGCAATAAGCATAAATAGTTTCTGACATACGGCGTGACATGCAAAAACCCCCTTTTTTTTTTTACAAAAAACTCAATATCTCTAAAATAAAATTTTGAATCAAAACCAAAAAGTATACAGATCTTAAGATAAATATAACTAAGAAGTGTGTAAAATTTTAAGCAATAATCATAAATCGTTTTTGAGATACGGCGCGACATGTGAAAACCCCCCTTTTAATAAAAAAAAAATCAATATCTCAAAAATAAAATTTTGAATCAAAACCAAAAAGTATACAGATCTTTAGATTAATATAACTAAGAAGTGTGTAAAATTTTAAGCAATAATCATAAATCGTTTTTGAGATACGGCGCGACATGTGAAAAACCCCTCCCCCTTTTTTTACAAAATACTCAATAACTCAAAAATAAAATTTTGAATCATCACCAAAAAGTATACAGATCTTAAGGTTAATATAACAAAGAAGTGTGTAAAGTTTTAAGCAATAATCATAAACTGTTTTTGAGATACAGCTCAACATGTGAAAAACCCCTCCCCCTTTTTTAACAAAATACTCAATATCTCTAAAATAAAATTTTGAATCATCACCAAAAAGTATACAGATCTTAAGATTAATATAACTAAGAAGTATGTAAAGTTTTAAGCAATAATCATAAATTGTTTTTGAGATACGGCGCGACATGTGAAAAAAAAACACACCTGTTTTAGTTACTAAGTCCCGTAACTCAAAAAGTTTTAATCTTATTTTCACCAAAAAGTATACAGATCGTTTGACCATCATAAGAAACAACTATATTAAGTTTCATGATATTTGGATAAGTCATTCTCAAGTTACGATGCGACATGTTTACGCCTGACAGACAGACGGACGGACGGACGCCGGACATTTGTATACCATAATACGTCCTGTCAAAAATTTGACGGGCGTATAAAAATTGGTAAAATTTGTCAATTAAGGGCAATAACTCCTATACGAAGTCATCTGAGAGCTTTGAAGTAAACAAACAGTTGGTTGATCTCAACATTCTGGACATTTCTGCTTGTGTCAGCTTTTCACTATCTATAGCAGTATTCAAGGTGCATTTTACCCTTGTTCTCTTTTAACCATGTCAGCCATGTTAGTTGGCAGACAGGATCATTGAAAGCACTTATTTATCTAGATAACCCAATGATGATTATGGTCAAGTTTGGTTCCAACTGGCCCAGTAGTTTCAGAGGAGAAGGTTTTTGTAAAGTTAACTGGCAACGGAAGACAATGACAGAAGACAGACGCCAAGTGATGGGAAAAGATCACACTGGCCATTTGGGTCACTGGTGAGCTAAAAAAAACAACAACTTACAATTCATTTGCAGCCAGTCTTGAATAACAAGACCGTCAAGCCTTTGGATCTTCCATTCATAGTTACTGACTGGACATGGATCACCTGACATATCCCATGATGCCCTGTAAGTGTGGTCAGATGACTGGAACTGACTATAGAAAAAGACATACTGTTACAGATTATTGTCAAAAATTAAAGACTTCTAAAATTTCATCATGAAAATACAAAAAACACGGAATATTTCAATGGTAGCTTTCATATTTCATTTTTTGCTGTCTGCAAACCTTCGAAATTATTGAAATGATATACTGTGTAACAACATATAGTTCAGACTCAGAAAGTGTGCAGATTTGAAATACAGTACATGTAGTTACTTGTAATTTATTGACTAATAACACTCATGCTGTTTGAAAGTACAATCTCCCTCATGAAAGGTTTCAAAGAAATAGTAATGGTGATAAAAGATTTGAAATAATTTTTTATACCAATTCATGCAAACATGATTCAAATTGTCCTTAATACTTTTTCTTTTAAAGGTTGACAATATGATTAGGTAGACTAAAACCATTTATCATCTATTACTAAGTTCTGCAATACATCAGAGACTTTGAAGTAGCTTTGTCAACGTATATTTGTTCCTCCTAACAGAAGTTCCTGTATCTACTTACACATCTCCAACAGAATTCTCCAATACATCAGCAACCCCTACATGACTGAGAGGAGCCATTCCCTGACTGAGGTATGACATATAGAGTCCATTGGATGTCGCAACACTTGTCAGGTCAGCTCCATTGATTCCTTTCACAGAAACATAAACCTAAAATATATCATTTACAAAATAATGGATACAATTAAATAAAGATAAAGAACAATAATGTCATTACTTTGTATAAAATATATTAGATGAGACAGGAAAGTTTTTTGCCTTTACAACTTTCAACTATTAAAATGAGGGTTAACATTTGAGTATCCCAAAGAGATCCCAGAGATGTTGGCTTGCACTCCCCACTCATGAAGTTTTGAAATCTGAAAGTGATTTAAGACTGTAAAGATTTAATATGAAATATCATCTTTTCTCCTTACAACACGAGACGATTACCTTTTATTCCTCTATTTACACTCCATTATATAAATAAAAAATACCATGCACATATAGTAAGTTTAAAAGACTTAAAAATAATTTCAAACTTACCACTCTATAACCAACAAGACTGAGACCACCTATAGTATAGTATCTGACTCCATCTTCTAAATCTATGTCAAACTTACCACTTTATATCCTAGAAGATTGAGACCACCTATTGTATAGTATCTGACTCCATCTTCTAAATCTATGTCAAACTTTCCACTCTATAACCAACAAGATTGAGACCACCTATTGTATAATATCCGACTCTGTCTCCTAAATCTATGTCAGATTTACCACTCTATAACCAACAAGATTGAGACCACCTATTCTAAATCTATGTCAAACTTACCACTTTATATCCTAGGATCTGACGCCATCTTCTAAATCTATGTCAAACTTACCACTCTATATCCTAGAAAATTGAAACCACCTATTGTATGATATCTGACGCCATCTTCTAAATCTATGTCAAACTTACCACTTTATGTCCTAGTAGATTGAGACCACCTATTGTATAAAATCTGACGTCATTTCTAAATCTATGTCAAACTTACCACTTTATATCCTAGTAGATTGAGACCACCTAATGTATAATATCTGAAGCCATCTTCTAAATCTATGTCAAACTTACCACTTTATATCCTAGAAGATTGAGACTACCTATTGTATTATATATATGACACCATCTTCTAAATCTATGTAAAACTTACCACTTTATATTCTAGTAGATTGAGACCACCTATTGTATAAAATCTGACATCATTTCTAAATCTATGTCAAACTTACCACTTTATATCATAGAAGATTGAGACCACCTAATGTATAATATCTGACGCCATCTTCTAAATCTATGTCAAACTTACCATTCTATAACCAACAAGGTTGAGACTACCTATTGTATAGGATCTGACTCTCTCTTCTAAATCTATGTCAAACCTATCACTTTATATCCTAGAAGATTGAGACCACCTACTGTATAATATCTGACACCATCTTCTAAATCTATGTCAAACTTACCACTTTATATCCTAGTAGATTGAGACCACCTATTGTATAAAATCTGACGTCATTTCTAAATTATGTCAAACTTACCACTTTATATCCCAGTAGATTGAGACCACCTATTGTATTAAATCTGACGTCATTTCTAAATCTGTGAAACTTACCACTTTATACCCTAGAAGATTGAGACCACCTACTATATAATATCTGAAGCCATCTTCTAAATCTATGTCAAACTTACCACTTTATATCCTAGAAGATTGAGACCACCTATTATATTATATATATGACACCATCTTCTAAATCTATGTAAAACTTACCACTTTATATCCTAGTAGATTGAGACCACCTATTGTATAAAATCTGACGTCGTTTCTAAATCTATGTCAAACTTACCACTTTATATCATAGAAGATTGAGACCACCTATAGTATAATATCTGATGCCATCTTCTAAATCTATGTCAAACTTACCATTCTATATCCAACAAGGTTGGGACCACCTATTGTATAGGATCTGACTCTCTCTTCTAAATCTATGTCAAACCTATCACTTTATATCCTAGAAGATTTAGACCACCTATTGTATAATATCTGACGCCATCTTCTAAATCTTTTCAAACTTACCACTCTATAACCAACAAGATTGAGACCACCAATGGTATAGTATCTGACACCATCTTCTAAATCTATGTCAAAGAAAGGTTTGATTTGTCCACCACCAGGTGTTGTTCCAAGAGCTATCTGGTACCTATGATTTATAACAAAGACATGATGCATAATACACTGCTTCAGAAAATAAGGCATTTTGGGTAATATTTTCAAAAGTTTACACCAAATCATTGTAACTGGCTAAAAACATCCTAAATAATGGATATTTGACCAATGACAAAGATTCCGTTTTCATTATGGTGTGCAAATAATGATGTGATGAACTATTGTGTTCTATCATTGCATTTTGTATTTTTTGGGGATAAAATCTATTCTGTAATTCATAGTTTTAGGCAAATACTATATCTGTTTTTGTAAAGTTTATTCTGGGCATTACACAAGATCAAGTCTTCCAGCAATGTTTCAGATGTTGCTGTATGAAGTTTAGCAGTTTTATGCTGATGGGATGTTAAGCAGATATCAATCACATAAAACTATGAAGTAAAGTAACCAATACTAGTGTGTAGGATGTCATTTCTTATCAGCAGTTATAATACCTAATAATTATGATGCATGTAGATATGTAGTACTACTTCCATAGTCTTCCATGAAAAAGTTCATGGATGAAATTGATGGCTTCATAAAATATTTTTAGAAACCTAAAAGTATCTTGTCTTTTTTTTTGAAAGAGAAAAGGCAACATGTTTTAGTAGTCATGTCAGCATGCAGTATTGTTACAGGCATTATAACAGACACAGATACCCTAGCAGTGTTAGCACAGTCATGGAGCTATAGCTGTATTTGATTATGCATCTGGAGGTTAGCTTAAAAGATACATGAATAACACATTCTTTGTTATAGTTATGCTGAGTGTCAATATAGAAACGCAACAACCCTTTTTATGAATGACAATCAAATTTAAAATACATACCAAATTAAGCACAACATCTGTTTTTCTCGTTTATGCAATAAACCATTGATTGTAAGAGAAATCATTTTACATATAAGTGCCATCTGCTAAATTTCTCCTACTTTTAAAGTTCATGCAGTAAGTTAATGAACTTAAAGGAATTGTAGATTTTTTATGTTGTTGATTGGAGTCATTTGCTAGGATTCAGAGAGCTTTTTTCAAGTATAGCAAGGACTATCCCCTGACCATCAGCAGTTTTCAATAACTTTTTTTTCACACTGACCTTAATACACCAGATTCTGGATCTTGGAATGCTTGCCACGTGGCTGACACTGAGGTCATAGACTCAGAACAAGTGGCATCCAGCAAATCACATTCTGCAAAAAATATAAAAATATACTCTATCAATATATAATATGTGTATATAAAATCATTTTGTAAATGATATTTACATTTATGGTAAAGTAGTATATTTCTAAATGATAAGTTACTGTAATAAGTGAATGTTTGAAATATATTATAGACAAAGCAGGAGTATATTCAAGATTGACCTTATCAAGAAAATGATTATTTGAAACTGTAAAATCAAAGATTCATGTCAGGAAGTATTGAAATACATTGATGGTTATTGCATATCTAAATCATTTGAGATCCAAAATGATCAGCTTGAATATCAGTCCCCTAAAACAACCTTTAACTTATGATTGTAGAAAATTTATTTAAGGCATAAAATATGAGACCATAACAAGGCAAAGACAGCTTTGTATTAATGTACTTTTTAAAAGGAAACTTGAGAGAACCCAGATTATAAGTCAATCAACAATGTAAAAAACACATACAATATTCTCTTTATATTCAACCTGTCTAAAGTGAACACATGTCTTATCCAAATAAAATTTTCAACCTTAAATGGTTAACATTAGACAGGTTTCGCTGTAATATGTTCTTACCATCATCAGTGTCACATTTCTTGGCATTCATAGCTAACGTCATCTCAGTGTTGGTGACATCTACCCTGTATGTAGTGTGTAAGTCAATGACTTTACCATAGGTTGGCGGAGTTGAGTCTATACCAATCTCAGAAGAGAAACCATAGGACTCCATGTCAACATAGTTTACTGCAGTCACTGTCACATAGTATTTATCACCGTGATGTAACTTGTCACCAAGACCTAAACAATAAGTAGTATTTCTTATTTATTGTTACAGTAAAGTTAAATACAAGACAATAACACTTTGTAAATTTTGTGTGTCTGAAGCACTTATCTGGATTTACCTTCATCAGAAACGCTCAAACCTAAAATTTTGAATGCAATGGATTTATAAGACTGAATACTGTGGATTCATTTATTTTCGTGGGAACCAATTTTCGCAGATTGATGAAACCTGCATTTTTGTAAATATTTGATTTCATGGTTTTGCAAAAGTCTGCATCCAACCCTATAGAAAATTTGCAATTCATTGAATATTTAAATTCGTGATTCACCTGTACCCACGAAATCCACAAAAAATTGGTATCCAACGAATAATAATGAATCCACAGTACCTAAGGACCTATATGACCAAAAAGGGACCTCAAAAGAATAGCCAAATTTATTAAAGTTCAACTTGAAAAATATTATTTGATCCTATTTGACTTCCCATTGCTATGGATAAGAACTCACCTTGGATTGAATATTGACTTATATATCCTGGGACCTCTGTTCCATTGAATATATCATTAGAACCTTGTTGACCTCCCATTGTTCTGGATAAGAACTCACCTTGGATTGAATATTGACTTATATATCCTGGGACCTCTGTTCCATTGTAGATATTATTTGAACCTTGTTGACTTCCCATTGTTATGATGTATTTCTGGATGGGGCTCTGTTTGTCCAGGAAGCCATGCCATGTACACAGTATAGGAGCATTCAACTGTAAACAACAAAGATAAAACATATATTATTATATAAATAAGTAGTCTCCCCCTTATATATGAGTCCACCCTGTCTGAAGCATTAAAATGATTTTATGATCTTTTTTTATTGTGTTGTTGGGTTACTGTCCCAATAAAATGTATATTCAACATCACCATTTATTTATAATTACATGTGGGGTTTTCCTGGGGTTTAAATTCATATCAATACCTTTTTATCTAAGTCATATTGATAGATGTTGAAATGACTTGTATTGATTGCAGTGCAGGCAACTTGCAATATAATCAGGACAGGAGACATAGCCTTGCCCTGAAGAATTTTTTTTAATATTTTTAAATAATAAAACTAGAGGTATACTCACCACAACATAATCAGGACAGGAGGGACAGGAGACAAAGCATTACCCTGGTGCAGTTTTGTCAACAACAGGACCAGAGTTATACTCACCCCAACATAATCAGGACAGGAGGGACAGGAGACATAGTCTTCCCCTGGTGCAGTTTTGTCAACAATAGAAAAGGACCAGAGTTATACTCACCCCAATATAATCAGGACAGGAGGGACAGGAAACATAGTCTTCCCCTGGTGCAGTTTTGTCAACAATAGGACCAGAGTTATACTCACCCAAACATAATCAGGACAGGAGGGACAGGAGACATAGTCTTCCCCTGGTGCAGTTTTGTCAACAATAGAATAGGACCAGATTTATACTCACCCCAATATAATCAGGACAGGAGGGACAGGAAAAATAGTCTTCCCCTGGTGCAGTTTTGTCAACAATAGGACCAGAGTTATACTCTCCCTAACATAATCAGGACAGGAGGGACAGGAGACATAGTCTTCCCCTGGTGCAGTTTTGTCAACAATAGGACCAAAGTCATACTCACCCCAACATAATCAGGAAAGGAGACAACTTTCTCCTGGTGGAGTTTGTCAATTATCAATATAGAGTTTCACTAAACACAACATAATCAGGACTATCATGTGGAGTTTTGTCAATAATTAAACAAAAGTTATATTTACCACAACATAATCAGGACAGGAGACAAAGCCTTCCACTGGTGGGATTTTGTCAATAATAAGACTAAAGTTACACTAACACCAACATAATCAGAACAAAAGACAAAGCTTTCTTCTGGTGGAGTTTAGTCAATAATAAAACTAGAGTTGTACTTACCCCAACATAATCAGGACAGGAGACATAGCCTAGTCCTGGTGGAGTTTTGTCAATAATTACTGAGCCTGTAGCTACTTCAGATACTAGACCAGCTTTGTTTTCTGCCCAGATGCTGATGATATTTGGCTTTCCTAAAATGTATACAGTAAAGTTTGTACTCTGAATTCCAGGGGACTGCTAGTTCTATTTTGGTCATAAACATTGTTCATCATAAAAAAACAAGGTTTCGTGCAGTTTTTATAATCTCCCTTGTTTGAGCAACATGCGCAAAATTATTGATTAGACTGTAGATTATTGAACTGTGAATTATCAACATTTACAAACAATCTTTCATAAATGGATCATGATGCAAATTTTGAGTAGACATATTACTACATACCTGTATCAACAGCAGTAATAAAAGCCAATGGTAGAGTACTAAAATCCATGGATGAAATCTCTACCTCAACCATTGACGCTATGTCCTCAGCAAATGGATATGTTCCTACTGAATACCATCCACGTTCTATACCACTCTCTGTGTCATTGTATGTCCACTGGGCAGTCAGTGAGTCAGTTGTTGTCTGGTACAGAGAATTACCGCTAGTGATGTCCTGATCTGATGGGATCTTGTCTGTTAACCTATCAAAATACAATTATACCGTAAGTTGTCAAAATAGTGGGTAGTCAGTAAGTCAGTTGTTGTCTGATTTGATGAGATCTTGTCGGTTAATCTATAGTTATGTGTTGTCAATATTAAAACCAGTACAGTTTATAAATTGAAAATAATATTCCAACTGTGTAAATTGCACGAGACATGAGTGAGAACAACCATCTATGTCAGTAACTTCGAGGGGAGAAAGGGGAACTAAATTGATTATTTCATGTTGTTTTAGAAGTAGAATGCTTAAATTCTTTAGTTATAAAAATCTGGTAAAAGGAGCAGATTGTCTTAATGATCAAATTAAGATCACTCAATATATAACTTATTTTACTTACCTGTCAATAATGATCAAAGGTGGTGAAACATCAACTGTAAAACCATCAGATGATGACTGCACAACATTTCCGCTGTTAGTGATTCCTCTGACAGAGGCATAATACATGGTCTCAGGCTTCATTGGTAATGTGGCATGGGCATGTCCAGAACTTGTTACTCCTGCAAGTCAGAAAAGATTGAATATAAATCTTTCTAAAAGTTTGTTCAAAGGAGTAGTCCCAGTAAGACCCCTTTTTGGCCCCAAAATATAGCAGTTTTACAAAATTGCTAAAATGTAAATTTTTAGCTATTTATTGGAAAGAAGAATACTTCTGTTACATAAATATGAGCTGTTTTTGACAATTCAATGCACATGTATCGGGTACTAGCATCATTAAGTCATGCTAAATTACTGAAATCTTCGAAATTTTTGCATTTTGGTTAATTTTTAGACGGTTTCCGTCTGAAATGGAAGTGGCCGCATTTGTGTTCATTCTTAATATTTAAATGTAAGTTGTATTTGATGATAATTCATAACATATATAAAGGTTGAGAATGAACACGGATACGGCCACTTTCATTTTTGACAAAAACCATCTAAAAAGTGACATATTATGTCATATTTGATAGATTTTTCATATTTAAGCTTGAATTTGAGCGTCTTTAATGACTAAGTCAGTTCAAACCTTTCACATAAACTAATTGAATCGACTGAAGTAGACACTTATGTGTTTAAAAAGTGTCCAAAATCTTTCATCAGATGAACTTGAATTTTGAGGCCAAAATCGGCCCTTACCGGACCTACTCCTTTTAATATGACCTTTTCCAATGTAGATGCAGGGACCTAATGCTTTATTTGAACCTTATAAGTTCTAATAACATACTGGTATGATATATCACATCTCATCAAGCAATTTGATAGGTTACCAAGACAGAGGATATGAAGATCAGAATGGTAATTAATGTTGAAATCAGTACACTCCAGTATAATATAATTGTTATGGGCTCATATTCACTGTGAAGATTTGGATAACATGCATGTATTGACCAGAAACAAACAATAATTTCTCTATTTATCAAGGATAGTTTTTCAATTACAAAAGTGAAATTGGTCATAATCAATCATAATCTATACTTTTTGGTCACCATTTTCAAACTTCAAATGATTTGATGAAGCTCCTCAAGTTATAGACAAATAAATGGAGAATGTGTCCATGGGACACAAATGATGTCCCTGCTTGCATATAACGTTATAAAGGGGCACAACTCCAGAACGGTAAAAGTGACATCACCCAAATTTGAACTTGATCTGTGTTTTGTGGTAATAAGCATTAAGTATAGGTTTCATAACATTTGGTTGAGGCAAACTAAAGTTAGAGAATGGAAACCAATTTTGGGACATACGGACAGACAAGGGTAACACTTGATGCCGCCTACGGTGACAGCTGGGGCATAAAAACCAAAACTTTTGCTTTTTTCAGCTTTTTCTACTCCTGGGTCAAGATGTTATGCAGACATATAATAAATGATCATTTCCATATACTACTAAGCCTATCTGGTACTGACGATAGAAGATAACATGATTCAAATTGAGCCAGTCATAGTAATACATACCGTCTCCTGCTACATTTTCTTCCTCTGAATGTATAATACCCTCACTCATGAATGGCTGTACCTCTTCTCCTCCTGGTGAGGTACCAACAGCCCACTCATACATCATCACACCATGAAGGTGACTTTCAAATCCATCAAAGGTCACAGTTACAGTGGTGGTATCAACTGTATAGTCTACATCCACGCCTAATGCTGGTGTGTTTTCATCTGTTCCATCAGCTCCATCGACAACAAGGCCTATATACAACAATATTGATTTATCCCTACCATTAATCATACTGTTATCATTATATGCTATGATCAATATATGCTTTAGTGTTTATGTCAACAATGCATGTTTAATACATTTATAGATTACTATTTTGTATGGGTTTATCTCTTTGTTGAAAACCCTACAGTGACATATAGATGCTAACATGTGCATCACATGGATACTCTAAACCAATTTATTTTCATGGATACTTTATTTGGCGTTTCGCTGTTTCTAGACCACTTTGCGGCGATTAAATTCGGAGATATTCAAATTTTCTTGATGTATTTGAATTAGAAAAGATCCAAGTTTTACATATTCTTGGCGATTTATATTCACGTTATTTTTCTACTCGCAAAGTCGTGAAAATTGGTTGGTTTTCATTGGTAATAATAACTGACTATTAGGTCTGGATTTTGCTCATTGTTGAAGGCCATACATTGACATATTGTTCCTATATGTGTGGCACATGGACTCTGCTGGATAGTTGATTCATTGGCAATAATAACTGACTATAAGGTATGCAGGTTTTGCTCTTAGTTGAAAGTAGTACCATGACCTATTGTTACTGACATGAACATCATTTGGACTAGTACTGTCGTGAATAGTTGTCTTATTGGTAATCATGCCACATCTCCTCATTTTTATAAAATTAATGAACTGAATATTTTTCTCAATAATTTAACATATAAAGTCAAACCTACTGTAAATTTCACCTGCAGTCATACCCATGAATTTTCCTATTATACTCTTTGAAGTATATTTTTCAGACGAAGAAAATTAAGTCAAGAGACTACTTAGACAAACTTAGATTATTTTACATCAGGATTTGTGGATTTTTCTCTTTTTTCACTACATATATTACCTGCTCTGTCTTCTTCAACAACCACTATAGGAGTAGATGACAAAGATGAGCTGAGTAGTTGTGCTCCATTTTTGGCCTTTAGACTGATGTAATACACAGGCTCGTAGGTAGTAAGGTTGGTGATATCTAGACTAAGACCTTGTATATATGCATCATTCTCTGCATCATATAATGTCCATCCTAGTTTGTCTGTCCCACCTTTAATGAAGAACAAACCATCAATCATGTAAGGGGTGAAACATTTGCATCATCTTAGCATTTATTTTAACAGGAATTCAAACTCTTGTGCAAGTCTTGAAAAAGTTTTGTAAATTTTGCATGAAAAATATCATATATTATTCAACTGTTGCAGCTACAAATGAATTTCACATATATCAACATCTACCCCAAAGAAAATATGAAAAACTCTCCAAGGACAACAAAAAACTCTGCAGTTACTGTTAACCTTAAGGAGTTGCTGTTAACCTGAAAGAGCAAGTCAAAAGTTTTATATTCATTTAAAAAAAAATATGATCAGGTAAAAATAATCAAGGTTTTACTCCTCAGTCATTTAAATTCAACAACAAAACTGAATTTAACCAGCTATTTCAACAATATGAATAGATTAAATCAGTTCCAAGAAAAAAATAAATGTAAAAATATTTACCAGGTGAAGTTCCGACAGCAACCTCAAACCCTATAATTCCAGACTCAGGGTCAACAGCCAACCAGGCTGCCTTGATCCCTTTTGTATTGGCCTGATACACATACCCTCCAACCTCCTCTTCTTGACCAGAGATTAATGTTCCTACTCTTAACCACTTTACCTATTAAGAATAATCAAATATCCATAGTAAAAAAATCAGAATATTAAATTGTAAAGTAGTTAATTTTTCCAGGGTTTAGATTTCGCGATTTTAAAAGACAAACCAGTTTATGCAGTTATTTCAAATGCTTTTTTTCTAGTGATGGAAAAGATATACTATTTGCACTTTTGAAAAATTTCTTCTTTTCTGAATTTTTCAGAACAATACATAGTTAAGTGTTAGAAGCTTAGACAAGTGATCATTCTTAAATGAGAATTCATTTATATTTTATTCAAATACAAATTTGTCATTATAAAAGTATGAACTTACAGAAGGTGGTGAAGTATCCACTCTAACACTATCTGTTTCAAATACTGACATATGTCCTGCTTTGTTAAGGGATCCCACTCTGATACTGTAAGCGGCCCCAAGGTTCAGGGACATTCCTGTGTGAGTGTAGGATGTCCTTGTTGGGTCACCGACTAGATCCATCCAGTTACCTTTAATAACTGAAACAAAAACAGCATATACATTTACTCATGAAAAATGAAATAACTCTCACTCACCAAGTTTTTTTTTTCAGAAGTCTCCTTCCAAAAAAAAAAAAAAAAAAGGGTCCCCCTTTCAAAAATTTCTGATTATCAAACTCATCTGTGATTTGATGAATGGAAAATTTTGTCCAAATTGTAGAAGATAGCTCCAATCATCCTAGCAACGGTAAAAAGTAATAGAAAAATACAAATATCTTTTGTAAATGGACAGTCCCTTTGTGTTTTAAAACTTAACATAACTGCCTTCTCCCATGCTAATTTTTGAAAACAATCGCTATGTCAGATTTGTCATCCCATCATATTTTATCCCAGAAGAGCTAAGGATATTTGAATGGAAGGTTATAAAATAAACCATTATTTTCACCATCAAAATAGGAAAATGCTCGACACTTAAATAGTATCTGAAGAAGAAAATATAATGAATCTTTTGGTACCAAACCATGCTATATTTACCATGGTTCAACAACTTTTTTAAATTCATAAATAATGACAACTTTTTCAAGTTGCTGTATTTTCAAAATGAGGCTGACGACCATAATTTTTTCAAAGCCTATTTTATTCTGTATTATGTGTGAAATATCTTTAAGTATTTTAAATTTTTCCTCCTTAGAATTGAATAGAGGTATTTGTCTTTTAGGTGGATTGGAAAGACTTCAGCTATTTGGGCTAATCTCTATCCTGGTAGCCTACTACATGTACACAATTAATAATGATTTGAAAAAGTTATTCATACACCTTATTATTATTTATTCCAATCCAGAAAAGTTCAGGAATTACACAACTTTTGCATGACATCACAATTCAGTTGAAGCTTCCTGGGGCCTTGTTCAAACAATGTATTGTGCATCAAAATTTTCATAGAGACATATCTAAACCATTGTAAACACTTCAAACAAACCATTTTCATGACTTTACTTTTTATTTAAAAAATTGGATCATGAACTATCAAAGTCTCATAATGGTCACTTTCTAAACTGTTCTTTCCCTCAGCTCATCAGTGATGACCTTTGTTTTTGCGACACTAATTGACACAAACATAAAGTTGTCTAAGGAACTATTTTTTCTAGATTGGACAATAGTTGTATAAACTTCTTTTTGTGCCCTTGAAGCTGTAAACCATTTAACTTACTTGGGACGAGTTGTCTCTTGCTACCCTGGTACTTCTCATAGATCTGTATTCTATAGTAATCCAGTCCAGATTCATTGTCTTCAAATTTGAAATTTGTACTCAAGGAAGTGGCATCAGACTACAAAAGATAAATTAATATAACAATGAAATGAAAAATAAAAGTTTTATGCATAAGACAGAGACTTAGACTTCTTTATTTTCACCTTATGGCATCAATATAGAAAATTAATATACTAGAAAATGTGTTTATGATGGTATATGATACTAAACCCCTGGCGGGAGGGATTGTACTTGATTTTCATATGATGAAGACATAGTCTTTCAGTCTGTTTAATTGGGGTTTGGAGCTGGCATGTCAGTAGCTGCTTGTAGTCCTTTGTTCATTTGTGTATCGTTGTTGTTTTGCTTAGTTTCTTTTGTTGCCTGTTCTGGCGTGGGGCTCAGGCTTCATTTGGACTGAGTTTTACTGTGTGTGTTGCTGTGTGTTTCTTTTTCTACATCGACTAGAGGTATAGGGGGAGGGTTGGGTCTCACAAAGCATGTTTAACCCTGCCGCATTTTTGCGACTGTTCCAAGTCAGGAGCCTCTGGCCTTTGTTAGTCTTGTATGTTTTTTAATTTTAGTTCATTTATATGTTTTGGAGTTTGGTGTGGCGTCTGTTTTCGCTGGGCTGGTGCACAATTTTATTTAGGGGCCAGCTGAGGACCACCTCTGGGTGCGGGATTTTCTCGCTGCATTGAAGACCCATTGGTGGCCTTCGGCTGTTGTCTGCTCTTTGGTCGGGTTGTTGTCTCTTTGACATATTCCCCATTTCCATTCTCAATTTTATTATGAGAAATAGATGCTCTCTGTTCCAAAAAATATGGGAAAAAGTTCAGGTTTCAATAGATTCTAAACAGAAAATTTTTATACAAGTCTTCATTTTCTAATATAGGTCATGACCTGCCAAAATTACTTCTTAGGATTGATAACTTTTTCATGTCAATATGTAGCAGTTTCACAATAGAATTCCCCTTTCTAAAATTAACCTCCTACCTGGAAGTCAATATCATCACCCTGTGTCAATCCATCTCCAATGTAACTCAGGGCTGGAGGAGTTAAGTCCACAATATATGTATCAGTTTCATTTACGATGGAATTCAAAGCTCCGTTTGTTGTTTTTAGTTCAATCTTTATTCTATCTCTGTGTGCCAAGTGGAAATTAAGCCACCTAGCACTGGTGGAATCGTTATTGAACATCACCCATTCTCTAATCACTGTGAAGTCATTAGACATGTTTCTGAAAGAAATTTTTACTTGAACATAACATCTTAATAGTTTTTTCTAACTATGCAATTTAAACATTACAAAACTTAATTACTTCTAAAAAAATTCATGCAGGTCAAATACATGGAGTAGTCCAACTTACTAAACAAATAAAATACTAAGCAAAATAAAGATTTCAGTATAACCTTTCCTTTCAGTATTGAATTTACAAAGAAATTGTAAGAATAGACAAACCTGATAAACATACATACAGTGATTTATAGTTGTTAACTTCTATGTCATTTGGTCTCTGGTGAAGAATATTCTCAATGGCAATCATACCACATCATCTTATTATATATAAACACACTTACTGAGCACTGGACACCTGTACATCATACTGTTTGATAGTTGATTCTGGGTCGTAGTAATCCTTCCACTGTGCTTCTACTTTAGCCTGACTTGAAGTGTAGTCTAAGTCATTAAAATTATCCAGCAACCCATCAATAACTTCCCCAGGTACAGATGGAGTTAAATCAACCAAAACTAGTAATATAAATATTGAACATACATTGGAAAAGTCTCTAATCACTGAACACTATTCTTAACACAGTTGTACATTATCAAGGCAGTATAGAATATAGGAAACTGCCTTTTCTTTTTTTACTTGTTTTATTTTCTTTTTAATTTTTTTTTTAGGAGGGCATAATCTATAGACCAAAAATTACAATCCATACAGTTGTACAATATCATGTAAACAAAAAATTAACAATAAAATGATAGCAAGTCCTTTTAACCACTTTTCAAAAAAACAAAATATAATGTTTGAGTGTTAGTTTTGAATGCCATTGTTTAGCATTATTGGCTATATAATGGTGGCCAGTTTTTATTAATGATAGAAGGAGGAAGCCTCAGCGCTCAGAGAGAGCTATTGACCATTGACAGGAAAAATGGTAATCCTGGTCAGTTAAAAATGGAGTCGAACACAGTGTTGTCAGGCTAGTGATCACTGAAAATGAACTACCGGTACTTAAACCTCTCAACCACTTAGTCCTACAAAATAATAACATCTATGACTGATTCAACTAGTTGATGACATATACAAACAGCAAAAGTTATTCTGAATTTTTCCTGAAATACATGTATTGTGTACACTTTTAGTACCTGTACATTTGTTATTAGTAATTTAATTTACCTCCATTTGAAATTGCTGAAATATTCAATTGTCTGGCTGCTCCATTAAATGCCCAGACTGTTGTATAGTAAATCCTGCCATGTTCAAGATATGATGCTTGTTGTAGAAGAACGCAAGCCTCGTGTAACTTCCTGCTTACTTGTGTCAAGTTAGAGACGTCAGTAACATTTTCTAATGGTTCAGAACCTACACTAACCATGTAGAACGAAATTCCAGATTCAGGATCAAAGAAGCCTTGCCAGTTGGCACATATCTGTCAAAGAAATTTTTTTTTTTTTTAAATAAACATAAAAAGTTTTTTTATTCAAATGTGTAGAAAAAGTATTGTATTGACTTGTTTTAACTCATGATTTCAGACTTTATTTTTTTTCTATACAGGTGTGAACTCATTTTCTTTCAACTGGTCTGCTAAATTTGAATTTACCTAGAGCTATAGCTTAGCAAAACAGCCTAATTCTGTGATTTCAACCTTATTAAACTGAATTCAAACTGAGCAATTTTGGTTTTAACACTTGATAGTTTTTTAAAGAGCATTTCATAAAGCTTAACTAGAATTGGCCATTTCAAAGAAAACAGGTTAACACTTAAAGGTGTTTGGATGTAAACATAAATGAGTCCACATGGACTTATTAAGTTTTGATTAAGAAAAAAGGTGCCTATTACATTGTAATCTTACATAAAAATAAAAAGATGTGGTATGATTGCCAATGAGACAACTCTCCACTAGAGACCAAATGTAATGGTTTGTTACCCAACTTTTACAAATATTCAACTGCTCCACCGATTTTCTTTTAACTAAGTTAAGATCAGTGAATAATAATTGCAAAATGAGAAGAATAGATAAATATTTCAACATTTTGAAGTGCAATTTTGTGAGCAATTTTGATTTATTGAGGTCATTCATCTTACTGCGTTTATTTTTGAAGAATCAAAACTATTCTGAATTGCTTACCACATCTTGTTCTTTAGTGAACAAAAGATCAACATCATAAGTCTGTCCATCATAAACTTTGCCAGCAATTGGAGGGGTTGGGTCCACAATGATTGGCTGGTCTGCTGCTTTTATTGTTCTGAGGTCCACTGTAATCAAAATTTAACTTTATATACAAATTATGCTGAGGGTTATTCGAAGATAAGTTAGGGTTTGGACATCATATTATACTTTACACATGGGTCATGGGGCTTATGAATTTTCTCACTATATTATACACTTAAAATTCCTTATAAAATTGTAGAAGGGATTGGTTAGGTAAAAAAGGTCCCTTCAACACTATCATTCTTTTTTCTTGAAAAGCCTGGAGAAAAATGTTTCAATTATTTGGTGTCCTGTTATGGTGCTTTTTCATTCATCCCTTAATATATGCAAGGATTGAGCAGAGCTTTTCATATGATTATTTATCTAATCCATACACTTACAAAGACTGTAAAAGTATATACATGTACAACATATCATAAAATAACGAAAATCTAAAACAGATTTAAACTACTGTATATGTTCTTAACAAAACTAATGATGGAAAAATTAACCCAAAAAGAGAATCTGATAACAGTATCTTTTAAATTAGCAGTACTTACCATTATTAATAGCTTTGTTTTTTACCCATATTGGTATACCAGCTGTAATGGACACAGTAATTGTTACAAAATCAGTGAAATCTAGTCTCGTCCAGGGAAGTTCATAACAGTCTCTTTGGGTTAGTCCAAGACAGCAATCATTATATAATATACCTGATTCAGGATCACTGAAAAACATAAAGATATATAGATTAATACATAACAGTCTCTTTGGACAAGACAAAGGCAGCAATCATTATGCAATACACCCGATTCAGGATCAATGAAAACATAAATATATATAGATTAATACATACTTTTTAGCAAGTGTTATACAAACATGAAAAGTTTTATCAATGTTCATCAAACCATTTAGGAGAAGCTGTGCTGACGAGAGACTATTATCACCCATTGCAATATTGAACTAAGGAAGTACACTTATCCCCCCCTGGAACATGTAGACCTGGGATTATATTCCTTTAAGCACATTCTCAGGTTGTGTTCTACAACTGTTTGCAGTCTCAACAATATCTTTCCATCCATTAAGGAGGACAAGGCACATGGACAGACAGGACAATCCCTAAATACCCTCCCTTGTCATGATAGTGTTAATAAAACTTTAGGGAAGGGATTTTGAAGAATAAAAATATATGGTAGGTAGAAAACCCCTAAACACAGTATTTTATTTATTTTGGCCTGATTCTTCAACTGTTTTATCTTTAAATATCTGATCATAAAACATATAGTAATGCTTTATGGGTGTTAATCTTCTGATGACATGTTACATTCATATTCAGGATAATAACATGTCAATGTCAAATAAAATTAACCTGCTCATATCTGACAGAAACCCTTAGTCAAATTTTAAATCTGTAAGGCTACAGTCCACAAGAGGACATGTCACCCTTTTCTGACATTGAATCAACCAGTTATTGCTCATAATTTTACTTCTCTGAGAAGCAGCAAATGCAAATTCATGTATGTAGAAGTCTTCTGTCTGACTCAGCTGCAAATATTTTATTCTAGAGGACAGCATGCTACCTTTACGCCACCGAGGGTTTTTTTATACTTACGATGAATTGTGTCTGTAGGTCAGGTTATACTGAAATTCATCATACTGAATGTTATACAGCTCATATATAATTGGAGGTGAATTATCAACGATGTAAGGAGTTGTGTGGCACACAGTTGTAGCAAAAGGACCTCCATATTTAGCCCCATTTATAGCTCTTACTGTAATAAAATACTGGTCATCTGAAAATATAACAGGTCTTAATTACTATTTTCTGGTCCATTCAGAACTGAGTATATGCTGTGGTGGCCTCCTAAAATCCTTTTGACAAACAGAACAATCTAATTATAGTAACAAATATTCACCTATATAACAGTGCAATCAGTGAACCTTAACTTGGATCCTGGCCCACTGCTACACAGTAGAACCAGGTGGTTAGCAACATGTATTCCTTTATTCGATGTTAGAAAGATGCATTCTGAAATAGCATCAATTATTGACACATGGCAGGAAATTTTATTTCGGCACAAATAATTTAATTTGTTGAAAATTATTTTAATATTCATGCCAATTATGTTACACATACCTGGGAGCTGCTCATAAGGTGCTGGGAGTGGACTAATCATAGCACTATGTGTCCACTGAGATATATCAAACAAATGAGAATGTGGATCATAATGTTCATGGATTGTTTCTGCACAGATTTCAGTTCCAACAGTAACAGAGATAAATAAAACTCCTGTCTGCTTGTCATTAAATCCATCCCAGTTTGCTAAAACATCAAAATATAATTATCATCAATACAAACTATATGTGTCGGAACAACACGAATGGCCCTGCTCGCAATTAAAGCTTGAAGCCATTTTTAGGAGTGGAAATTAGTCCAAAGTCATTTCAACAAAAATCAGCAGAGCAGAACCAAACGTTAACTTGATCAGTAACTCATCATAGTAGACTTACATACTAAAAATCAGCTCAATATGTGAAGGTGTTAAGAAAAAAGTCTGTATAACTATTTGTTGGGGAATGACGGAATGACAGATAAGGGTAACACTATATGGCACAGACCTAAGTGGGCGGGCCATAAAATGTTTTACTGCGAGCTTTACTCAATAATGATACTCCTTCTATAAGAATTTGGTAAGAAAATAAATGAGAGATTATTTATTGCCAATTCGGGAAGTGAATCTTACCATTATGCTGTCAAAACTTTTAACAGCAAAAGGATGAGAAATGAATATGAAAAATCCCCAGGTATAGTATGCTCAAATGATGATGATGGATGGCTGTTTAACGTCCAGTGTCAAATTAATATTCATATTCAGGACGAGAACATGTTAATGTAACATGAATATTTACCCTGCTCTGAACTAGACTGAAATGCTGAGCCGGATTTTTAATGTGCTAGTTCACAAGGTAACAGTCCACAGGAAGACCTGTCACCTTCCCCAGACACATTATTCTGACTCCGAGCCGACCATACTTTGCTCTTACTTCTTAATGCTGTGTGCTTAGCAGAAAAGCAGCAAATACCAATTTTAAAGTCTTTGGTTCGAACCCACGACCTCCTGCACTCAAGGCCAACAAGCTACCATGAGAACACAGAGGCAGTTATGCTCAGATGAAGCCTGATGCCATATTTCACTATAATTTCAGGGTGTTCCAATCAATAGCTATTGAGAATCAAAGTGTTTTTGGGCACTCAAAGGTAAAGATTATATTCAATGGGATTTAAATATTAAACACTAGAAGGCAATACATGGCGATAATTGTAGTTGGTTCAACTATAATTATTAACAAATGAAGATAACTTTAACAACGATGTCATTGATATTTTTAGAACAGATGCTACAGCTAGATTCATGCACCATGCATAATTTGTGTAATTTTGGTTATGCACATCATGTTTATGGATAGTTTGTAAAGATTGTTGTGCTCAATGCACTGTTTTGCTTCTTTTTTTTTATCTCAAAAGTAGTAAAGAAGTTTGGAAAATTGATAAATATCAAGCCAGCCATATGAGAGTTTTGATTGCATGAATGCAACCTTAACACCAAATATGTGATGAAAATTTCATACATGGTCACTATGTGTAAGAATATATAAGATTTCGGTAATCAGGAAGTTGATGACTGATGAATCTGAATCACACAGTATAGCATGCTCACATGAAGCCTAATACCAAATTTCAGTTATTTATAGCAGTTGATTTCGTTAATACATTTATAACAAATTAAAGCCACAGTGTTGCATATGTCTTCATGTTTGCACAAAAGAAGCCAAATAAATCTGTTTTCGTATCTAGATTTTTGAAATTATTACACATTTTTAAAGGAGAATTTAACATTACTTGTCGTTGATGTTCAAATGCTAGACATTCAATAAAAAACTGAATTTCATCTTCAATTGAATTTAAAGAACAAAATTTACAAATTCTTTTTATCTTTGTCAATCTTTTTATATACAGTCTGCTCAATAGCTAATTTATAAGCACTTATTCTTATTTACGTGAGATGTTATTTAGTTGGAAAATGAAAATATTTTAAAAATGGACTTTTCAAGGAAACAACTTTAAAATGAAAACGAAATGTTCACAGTACTGTAGATAGATCTTGATGTTCCTGTGTCAGTTTCCTATTACTACTTCAGCCTTTGAGATATAAGTCAAATACTGTGGTTTTATCCCTATGTTCATTTTTTTCTTGTATTAAAGTTGTGCTTTTAAAGAAAAGGTGAAACATAAAAAAACACAATACACATATTTTTTGTTGTCAAATTGTTAATATTCAGATATATTTAAGACATTCAGAAAATGCCTTTTTGTCTAACCTGAGATATAATTATTTGCTCTTGTATACAGCATATCATTCATAAATATTGGTCCATTGAAAACTGATAATGAATCTGGCCCATCTTGTATTACTCTGCAAAATAAAGAAACAAATGGATGATTTTACGTTGTACGACAAAGAAGTTCCTGACCCTTAAAATGCTTTAGGTTTCTTAAACTGACTGTAAAAACACTTTGAAGATTGAATGAATTCTATACCAATGAAGCCCTCTAGATGTCACTTGGTTTTTGTGTAGTTAGGTTGCTGTCTCTTTTTCTTCACATTGCTATTGGGATGAAGCAGAGCTTTCTGTGGGACAGTTTTATGAATAAAAGGGGGTGTGGTTTTACATTAGAAACATAAAAAATCAGAAAAGATATCTACTGTTCAAAATGCAGTCTTAAAGCATGGATAGTATTTCTATAAATTTCTGTTTAGCTTTGGAAAATTCTCAACAAACTGTGTAAAACAGGCCTTGCTAGTTCTACAAAAAAAAAAGTGAAAACAAATTGATATTTGAACTTTTAAAATTTATAGTATATGATATTTGTTATAAATCTTTAAACCTTGAACCTCTTTGATCTGTCAGTATACATTGCCACAAAATACTTTTTTTTCTAGACAGGGCTTACTTACAAAAATAGGAATACATTAGTGAATTCACAGTATGCCTTGTCTAGAACAAAAAAACTCTGTCCTTATATGTACTGATAGATCTAAGAGGTTTAAAGATGCACACTTGTATATCAATTTTTGTGACTTTTTCTTTGACGGAACTCCTTGCGATCCCTGTAAAGATAGAGTACATAGTTTTATTTATATATCATTGTATCATATTCCCTTGAAAATTGCATCAGACAGAACAATATTATATACCTGTGATTTTTAATTGCTGAATTTTCACCTCTACACCACATAAGGAAGTCTTGTCTATCACTTGGTATTATTTTTGTACTGCAATCTACCCATTCCAAATAGTCGATCGTGTTGTTGTATATTGGACCTTAAATACAATATTATGTATGATTATGTTTTAATTTATAAGTTGATGAAAGTCAGTTGGCTGTGGCATATCTATGCCATATCTTGCAACTAAAAGTTAATTGACAATGGTATAAACCATATGTTGCCACTAAAAGTCAATTGACAATGGTATACGCCATATACTGCCACTAAAAGTCAATTGACAATGGTATACGCCATATACTGCAACTAAAAGTCATTTGGCAATGGTATATGCCATATGTTGCCACTAAAATTCAATTGACAATGGTATACACCATTTATTGCAACTAAAAGTCATTTGGCAATGGTAAATGCCATATGTTGCCACTAAAAGTCAATTGTCAATGGTATACACCATATACTGCCACTAAAAGTCAATTGACAATGGTATACACCATATACTGCCACTAAAAGTCAATTGACAATGGTATATGCTATATACTGCCACTAAAAGTCAATTGACAATGGTATACGCCATATACTGCAACTAAAAGCCATTTGGCAATGGTAAATGCCATATGTTGCCACTTAAATTCAATTGTAAATGGTATACGCCATATACTGCCACTAATAAACAATTGGCAATGGTATATACCATATGTTGCCACTAAAAGTCAATTGTCAATGGTATATGCCATATACTGCCACTAAAAGTAATATTACAGGAGATTTCCCGATTTCCAAATTCCAATGATTAAATCATATTAAACAAAACTAAAAATAATCTTTCCTTCTATCTAAATGCATGTAATTTTCTTATGTCATTCTGTTAAATAAGGACCAATTTTTTAAAATCTTTTCAGCTTTTACCTTTATTAATTGAACCGAGACAGGTGTTGTCTTTCATGTGGCGATATACAAATAACCACAAGAGTTTCCGTGTTTATATACACTGGAAGGTAGATAGGACATTCGATAACAAATCACGTGATAAGATCAGCTTCAGTAAACGGAACAGGTGTAGGTGACATCGCAGATACTCCATAAAGGAGTTGTCACGTACTTGACAAACTAAGTCGGCACCTATTATTTTCTTAAAGAAATCAGTGGGACGGGAATATGCTAATTTTTTCGTTGGAGTTCCTATCAATAAGATAAGATATTTTATTTCCAATTATGGGCCCCAAAGGGCATAAACATTACAACATCAATAATTTTTCATAACACAATACAAACAATGAGATAAAAAAAAAGATTAATGAGAACTATTTAAGTTCTTAAAGAATACGTAGATAAAGAATCTATAGTATGTTTTTTTTTAATACTAATGCATTTAATGCAAGTGTGGTTGATATAGATAAGAAACAAGCAGCCCAAAAAGAAAAAAAGAAAAATAGATATCCATATATGTATAGTACACAATAAGTTGGATCAATTAAACATATAATAATTAGCCAAAAAGAAAGTAGAAATTAAGCATGTCCATGACTCATCCTGTGTCAGCAGCAAATAGGAAAGTATTATGGTTTCCTAAAGGCAGCTGACACGAGGGGGGCGATACCTTATGGGCCATAGGCATGTAAAATGTGTGTAAATGTCTCTTTCCTACCTGTATCAAAAGCAAACAAGGAAGCATCATAGGTAACTTGAATGCAGTTGATACCAGGGGACGATGCCTCAAGGATATAAGAGAACATTTGAATAAATAATATATCTTAACAATTCTTTTTTTTTTAATCGGCTGGTATGTTTGTGATATTCAGGTGAATATAATTTTCTATGTCCAATCAAATGTATATACACACATAGATTTCCTTTAACTAATCTTCACTAAGGAAGATGTTTGTATATAAAATTACATATTATTTTAAGTAAATCAACATTTTCTACACTAAATAACCAGATAATTTTGTTTTGATTAAAACAAGAATTATTTTGCAATAGACTAGCTAACATACAATTTCTATCATCCTCAAATTTGTTACAATCAAATAGAAAATGAGCCTCATCTTCTACAGTATTGGAAGAACATTTATTACATATTCTGTTAATTCAGGGAATACCCTGATATCTACCTAATTCTATTTGTAATCTATGAGAAGATACACGTAATTTAGTAAAACTTCTTCTAAGTTCAAAATTCTTGATCAATGTTAGATATTTTTCAAAATCAAAATTTGTTTTATATAACAAATATAAGGTAGGTTTTCAATTTACTGTCTGAAAATTTATCTATTTGTTTTTTTCCAACAGCTAATAAACAATATTGATAGCTTGGTTTGTATATATTTCTTAAATTTGTATAAGGACTCACAAAATGGAGCAGTTATGGCATTTGTATAGTCAATACCAAGTATTTTAAAAATAACATTTATTGAACCATACCATGATGTTATATTCATGTGATGTAGTGTTTTTGATTGTGTATATGCCTCTTTTAATAGAGGAAAATTATTACCTAAATTCTCTAATCTATATATACCAGTACAATAACATTCCTTTTATAATATTAAAATATATTGGAAATCTTCCAAGTTCAGATAACACTGCAGCATTTGTTGTTTTCTTGTGTACCCCAAGTATAAATTTAAAAAATTTTATATGAAGTTTCTCACAGGGTAAACCTGAATATAATTTTTCAAAAGATATATCTTCCTTCTTGCATTTAGAGGAAAGAGAATTAAACATCCTCCATATTTCGCTACCATATAATTAAAAAGGTTTTACAGTGTGGTCAAAAACATGAATACTTGTTTTTACATCACGATTAAGTGATAAAAGATCCTTCCTTAATTTGAAATAAGCTTCCAAGGATTTTTGTATAGTTCATTTTGAGCATAACTGAATGAACCAGATGAGCTTAAATATAAACCTAGGTATTTGTATTTTGAAACACATTCCAGATTTATATTCTGAAATGTGAATATCTGTTTTACATGTCTGCCTGCTTTGTTGAAAATCAGAACCTTTGTCTTATTAGTATTAACATTGAGACACCAATCTTTGCAAATTTATCAAGCATTCCCAGCTTTTCCAGTAGTCCTTCAGCTGATGTAGATAATAAAACAATATCATCCACATACATTAAACAATGTAGACCTTTGTCATTGACATTAACTGGGTCTCTAGTATCTGACAAATATCTGAGCAAATCATTTATGGATATCTTGAATAAATCAGGACTGAGGTTGTCACCTTGTTTGACTCCAATATCTAATGGGAAAAAATCACTTACTTGATTTTGAATTTTGACACATGATTTGCTAATTTCACACATACTTTTAATAATGTTATAAAAATAAGACCCAACTCCAATATCTAGTAGTTTAATCTTGATCCCTGTATGTATAACAGTATCAAAAGCCTTCTGAAAATCAACAAAACAGACAAACAGTCTACCTTCTTTTGAATTACAGTATTTGTTAATAAGACAGTTTAAAATAAACATATGATAAATTTAAAATAAACATGCTTGATCCTTTTTTGGTTGAAACAATGCAGGATGTGCCATTCCATCCCCCCCTGGTATTCGAAAAAATCAGTAATCAGAATATTATTTTGTCATCTGTTTGACCACATTATATTTTTTCTCATAAAATTGGGGATCAAAATATTTTTTAGGAAAAAACCATAACCCCTCTTTTGAAGTTAAATGGTCAATCCCTTAGTGTACTGATATGAATAGTCATTTACTGGAATTGTTTGGAAAAAAATATTTATTGATGCTAAAGTAAAATATTTTAATAAAATAGACAGAAATATGTCGGTGAAATAAAAAGATCAAATCTAATTGAAATTTAAAGTTTCCATGAACTCACTGATCATACACGGGTGATTCTATTCATAAAAAGAGTCCGGTAACAACTAAAAAGTGTCCGTGTATCATCTAAAAAGAGTCCGTGTAACACCCATTAAAGTACTGTTTTTCTATAGGTGTAATACCACCATTGATTTTCCCCTATTAGTCTTTGTTAAATTTGCACTTTTCAAAAAATTGTGCAGAACTTATCTTTGTTTCAAATAAAGAAATACTTGGCATGAGTAAAGTTTGATCCTGTCCAGTACTATAGAAAAAATTTCACATAACATTTCATTGCATATAAGAAAATAACCATCACTGGAAGTTAACCAATCAAATTTTCCCCCTTTTTTAACCTGTGTACAAGCTTTAGTAACCATGTAACCTCAAGTTTCCAAAATATTCTATAGAAACCCCAAATAAAAAAAAAATGGTGCTTTGAAATACCCAAGATATATGTTTATGACCCAGAAATGTTTTACTGCAATGAAATGTAGGATCAATTATCTACAACTGTCAAATTCAAGGGAATATTTTTTTTCGACCTATTTTCGTATGCAACCGGATGTGACGTACTATGATTTGGTGGTATTACACCTAAAGAAGACTTTTTTGTTAAATAAACTGAATGTGACTTTTTTCCTTTGTAATACTGGTTATTTCAAGCATTCCTGTCAAGTTTTGTCATAATCAGTTCAATAGTTTGAGAAAAATCTAGTATAATGTAAGACGACATCTACAGCGATTCGAGCTAAATTTCTTCGAAAAATCCAAACCAAGCCGCATCATGATAGAATATAGTGTGGACCAATAAATGATCAAATATTTATCTCATCTGCCTACAAACAGTTGAATATGATACAAAAGATGACTTTAGGATGATAAATACTACTAATGGACCTCTTTGTCTTCTTTATAAGGTCTCTTTTGGTCCATTTATACCTCTCATTTCCTCAAAATTTCTACTTTATAGGCCAATAAATAAAAATTTTGGGGTAACTTTCACTCATTTATGATACAAATGTTATAATAAATGATTAATTGAAGTATTCAAGCTGAATGAACTATCCGTATAAAAGTTTACTGTCTCCAAGGAGGTTTCCATAAGTCCTTACGTAAAACTTAAATTTACGCCGCGTTCTAGAGAGGGACATAAAAAGCTTCTCTTTTGGTGAATAATTTGTTGTTACTGCTTTAAAAATAATTTCATTTACTTAAAACTATATATTTATTAAAGTATTTCTTAGGAAAAATTTTCTAGTATAGCAGAATATAAGAAAAAAGGAGAAAAAGCTCCCCAAAGCTCTAAGTATGGCTTATTCTGTCAACTAATATTCATGGTAAAGTCCTATTTCAAGGAAATTTTCTCATAAAATGTGTTTTGGAGACTCAATCCACTCAGAATATTTCATTATTAGTAATATTTCACTTAAATAGCAAGAAATTTTAACACATGAGAGTACTCACAAGGTCAAAGGTGCATGTACAGCTTCCCATATTAGGTGTAATACCACCATTGATTTTCCCCTATTAGTCTTTGTTAAATTTGCACTTTTCAAAAAATTGTGCAGAACTTATCTTTGTTTCAAATAAAGAAATACTTGGCATGAGTAAAGTTTGATCCTGTCCAGTACTATAGAAAAAATTTCACATAACATTTCATTGCATATAAGAAAATAACCATCACTGGAAGTTAACCAATCAAATTTTCCCCCTTTTTTAACCTGTGTACAAGCTTCAGTAACCATGTAACCTCAAGTTTCCAAAATATTCTATAGAAACCCCAAATAAAAAAAAAATGGTGCTTTGAAATACCCAAGATATATGTTTATGACCCAGAAATGTTTTACTGCAATGGAATGTAGGATCAATTATCTACAACTGTCAAATTCAAGGGAATATTTTTTTTCGACCTATTTTCGTATGCAACCGGATGTGACGTACTATGATTTGGTGGTATTACACCTATAGCTCTGCTGGGGGCAAAGTCGTACAATGAAGGAAAAAATGTTATAAACAAGAATGTGTCCATAGTACACGGATGCCCCACTCGCACTATCATTTTCTATGTTCAGTGGACCATGAAACTGGGGTCAAAACTCTTATTTGGCATTCAAAATTAAGAAGATCATATCATAGGGAACATGTGTACTAAGTTTCAAGTTGATTGGACTTCAACTTCATCAAAAACTACCTTGACCCAAAACTTTAACCTGAAGCAGGACAGACTGACTGACGGACAGTTTAGTGGACCGTGAAATTGGGATCAAAACTCTTTTTTGGCATTCAAAATTAAGAAGATCATATCATAGGGAACATGTGTACTAAGTTTCAAGTTGATTGGACTTCAACTTCAAAATCTGAGTTTTGTGGTAATAATTATTGTGCATAAGTTTCATAAAATTTGGTTGAGGCAAACTTAAGTTAGAGAACAGAAACAAAAAGTTCAGCATGTTTTCCATTTGTAAAGGGGCATAACTCTAGAACCATTAAAGTGACGCACCCAAAATTCAAACTTGATCTGTGTTTTGTGGTAATAAGCATTGTGTATAAGTTTCATAACATTTGGTTGAGGCAAACTTGTTAGAGAACGGAAACTAAAAATTCAGCAATTTTTCCATTTGTAAAGGGGCATTATTATAGAACGGTTAAAGTGACACCACCAAAATTCAAACTTGATCTGTGTTTTGTGCGTAATAAGCATTGTGAATAAGTTTCATAACATTTGGTTGAGGCAAACTAAAGTTAGAGAACGGAAACCAATTTTGGGACGTATGTTGTACGGACGGACAAGGGTAAAACTTAATGCCCCCTCCCCTACAGCGGGGGCATAAAAATTTTAAAAATCAAAATCAAAAACAATCTACAGTTGTGAATAATACACATCCACTATACCAACTACATATTTGGGTAAAAAGTGTGGATTATACACAAGAAATTACGGTAACATGCATCTTGTACTATAATTGGTATCATAGGTTTGTATAATTTGGGAATGTTGTATCATATACATCCACACCATATTGACTCTTTCAAATCTTGTTATTTGAGCTCCTCTTAAAAGATATCTCACCCTTTTCCTGGAAGTAGTATCCACCATTATACCAGGAGTGGAGATAATCCTCTCAAATTCTAAATTGTTTATGATGAAAGATAACTCACCCGTTTCTGGTGGTGTAGTATCCACCATTATTCCCGGGGTAGAAATAATACTCTCAAATCCTAAAGTGTTTATGATGCGGAAGTTGAAGTAATGTGTCTTATTATGGGTCAGCCATAAAGTATTATAATCAAAACTCAAAATATGTCCAATACCAAGTCTTTCATAGTGCCGGAACATTCCATACTGTGCCAGCTTGTAGTGGTGGCCTTCTATTCCTTCCAGCAGCTCACATGTACCATCCTTGAAGTCATAATTGAAGCTCATACATTTGGTGTTAAGCAAGTCTGCACATTGTTTAGCACAGTCACCAACTGAATGTTCTTTGGTAATCTCCCCTCCTAGTGGTGCAATCAGTCGACCTTCTCTGAAGTCTGTGAACATTTCCATAACTTTATGGTTATGTGGGTCATTACCTAAACAATGAATATTCATAAAGTGATAAGGTACAATATGAAAGGAGTAGGCCCAGTAAGACCCCTTTTTGGCCCAAAAATATAGCTTTTTTACAAATTAGTTAAAAATGCAAACTTTTAGTTATTTTAAGGAAAAAAGAATACTTTAGTCACATAAATATGGGCTGCTTTTAACAATACAATGCACATGCATCAGGTACTAGTATCATTACTTCATGCAAAATTACTAAAATCTTCACAATTTTAGCATTTGTGCTAATTTTTAGACGTTTTTTGTCTAAAATGGAAGTGGCAGCACTTGTGTTTGGTCTTCATATTTAAATATATAATAGTATATTCAGTAGTACTTGAGAAAAGTGTGACAAAATTATTTAATTAGTTTCATTGCCAAACTATCTAGAAATAAGAAGTAGGTAAATCTTGACATTCTGAGTATTTTCTCTATTTACTATAATTAGGTCTTTCCACTTTTCTGTGGAAAGACCTATTGTATTTGTTCTGATTATTATTATTATTTTTTTTTTTTTTTCCTTCCGCCAAATTTTGTTCTTGCGATAAATGTTTGTTTCGCAATATGTCGCTTAGATATTTCTCATATTGTATCGTATAGTTTATGCACTTTTAAATTTCACCCTGCTAAGCCGAACCGTTTTCTTTGCAAGAGTTATCTCCCTATTCACTGTTTATCATCTGTGTGCATCTCCTTCATAACAAAAAAAGATATCGACAAAATTCTTTTTACAAATTGCTCGTTACATTCTCAGGAATTTTTGGCTAATTTGGATAGAAGCGATTCGAAGAAATTTTATAGGAGTTATCTACCTTTACACAATAAATTTGGTGGTATGTGTTTTCAACTAATCAACTGTTAACCGTATAACCCTGGAATGTTTTTATTTGAGACCCCTAGGTCCTAACTTAGAAAATGAGGTCAAGGTCAAAGGTCAAGGTCATGTTCTGAATTTTGTCTTTTGCTTGTTTTTGCATTTTCTCCGATATTTTTAATGTTTTATATAAAAGAACTAGTGCAAAATGTTTGTTATATTGTGATGAAGATATGATACATTTGGTCTGAGACAATCCAGCGAGATCTTATTGGAGTTATTGCCCCTGAAATGTTTTATTTTAAGGTAAATTGATTATTTCTTCATATTGGTACATGATAAAGCCATAAGATCTTTTGCAAAATGTTGGGTGACATATGACCTTGAAAATGTCAAACGGAACTGACCTTGAGTGAACCGGAAGTAGTCATTTTTGCACTTATTTCATGCAAAAGTACATACAAACCATATTTTTTTTGAATGGTCATACATTAATCTATCATTTGAGACCGGAAGTGATATTTTATAAACCGGAAGTAGCATATTATCTCCCTTATTACAGGCATAAGTATATATAAACCATATATTTTTGGAATCAGTGTAAATAAAGCTATCATATGAGACCGGAAGTCACATTTTCTAAACCGGAAGTAGCCAATTATCTCCCTTTTTACAGGCAAAGGTATATATAAACCATATATTTTTGGAATCAGTGTAAATAAAGCTTTCATATGAGACCGGAAGTGACATTTTCTAAACCGGAAGTAGCCAATTATCTCCCTTTTTACAAGCAAAAGTATATATAAACCATATATTTTTGGAATCAGTGTAAATAAAGCTATCATATGAGACCGGAAGTGATATTTTCTAAACCGGAAGTTGACAATTATCTCCCTTATTTCAGGCAAAAGTCTATAGAAACCATATGTTTATTGAATCAGTATGAAGAAACCTATGTATGGACGCCAATAGTAGCTTTGAGTAAACCAGAATTAGCTTCTCATCAATTATTTAGAAAATTGATGTGGAAAGACCTTCAATTGTTCTCTGAACAATTGGTTTTTAATTATTACTGGTTTTTTTTTAGATATTAGACAACAAACACATTTTACCCTTGTATGCTATATAAGCCATGTTGGTTGATTGAATTAAAACATGCAAAGTTTATACTAGATACCTTAAAGATCATAATCAATTATAGTTTGGTTGAAATTGGTCCAGTGGTTTCAGAGGAGAGGATTTTTGTAAAGGTATAAGAGGAGGGAAAACTCAAAGCACAGAAAGTGAGGGCAATAACTCACATGGCCTTTGGGGTCCAGGTGATCTAAGCAAGATTAGCCCCAAAATCATTAATCTTTACAGCAGACAGATTTGAGAATGTGAGAATTAACATGATTTTAGGTTAGGTAGCTTCTTAGCCAAACCATAAAAGCATTGTATGCTCATGTCGGTACTACTTTCCTTGGAAGGAGTTGACTATCAGACATGGAGTCAATAAAAAAAAATAAAGTCAGTCAGTTACCTAATCAATATTACCTTATCAGTGAGAGGAGATAAAGTCAAGTACAACCCCTGTGACTATTAATAAATCAGGACCATGTCTCATAATTTACAATAAGAAATTCAATAAAATGCTCCGCAAGGTGGAACCCTGCAGATGAACAGTTGGGGCAAGTATGGACACAACATTCAAGCTTGATGCAGCTCTGAATTTTGATTGTGATTAAATATTTGACACAGCATAGGTTTCTGACACAGAATGAATGTGGTCTAAGAACTTGAATATTTGAAATTGAATATTTACCTATTATGGTCCAAAACCAAAATCTAAGTACATGGTTAGATTCAGCATATCAAAGAACCCCAAAAATTCATTTTTTGATGAAATCAAATAAAGTGTAATTTTGGATCCTTTGGACCTCAATGTGGACCAATTTGAAAACGGGGCTCAAAAATCCCAAAATCTAAATACACGATTAGATTCAACATATTAAAGAACCCAAACAATTCAATTTTTGTTTAAATCATACAAAAAGTTTAATTTTGGACCCTTTGGACCTTGATGATGACCAATTTGAAAACGAGGCCCAATATTAAAAATATAAATACACGGTTAGATTCGGCATATCAAAGAACCCAAATAATTCAATTTTTGATAAAAAGTTTAATTTTGGACCCTTTGAATCTCAATGTGGACAAATTTAAAAACAGGGCCCACAATCCCAAAATTTAAATACATGGTTAGATTCAGCATATTAAAGAACCCCAAGAACTTAAGACTTTGAATTAAACCCCATTGAAATTGGGCAAGAAATAAGCAATTTCATATACAAAGTATAAGAAAAGAATTGTTTTAGGCCCCTTTTTCATAAACGGTTACGGCCATAACCCCCTAAATCAATTCCAACCTTTTTTGGTATAGAACCTTAAGGTACAATTTCATAGACTCATACTCAAGTTATTGTCCTGAAACCTGAAAATCCTTGTTTTAAGGCCCCTTTTTGGACTCAAATTCCTGAAAGATTTAGGCCATAACCTTGTAAATCAATCCCAACCTTCCTTTTGAGGTATGGAACCTTGTGGTACAATTTCATATAGATTCATACACTTATACACAAGTTATTGTCCTGAAACAAGAAAAATGCTTGCTTTTGGCCCCCTCATTCCTAAACAGTTAGGACAATAACCCCCAAAATCAATCCTAACCTTCTTTTTGTGGCATGTAACCTTGTGGTACAATTTAATAGAGATCCATACACTTATACTCAAGTTATTGTCTGGAAACCAAAAGTCTTTGGACGACGAGAACGACAACAACATCAAACCATTATATGACTGCAAAAATTTTGCTGTAGTATAAAAACTTACTTAGATCTGGTGGTACAAAAGCATTAGCATTTACATTGACAGTATTCCATGGAATTAATTGATCGCCCCACACATCTTTTCCATATCCCAATCCGACTTGTGTCAGAACTATATCAGAGTCTTCGTATACAACAACGAATGCCTTCATCACTGATGGATTACTGGTTGATAAAAAGTCTTCTGTGAATCGGCCACCAGGAAGAGTTACATCATATGTATTTAAAGAACATGTTGCCATGGAGCGCACACCAGCATCATTTTGTGCATACATTGTAAAATACAGAGGGACCCCAGTAGCACTAAGTCTCTGAAAATAAAACATATAAATTAAAAAGCCCCATAAGTGTCGATTGGACTTGGCGTACTAGCTAATGATCTTGCTCATTTAACATCAATCAGTCTCCATTATATCTTGGCCCTTATATATGTAAGACTCAAATCGACGTCCGGTCTCTAATCCAGTCCGTTCCTCAAATCGACGTCTAAATCTGACGTCACAATAATAGTCTATGAAAAAAACATTCCAAATCAACGACTGATTTTATGCCCCTCTAATCGACATCTTTTTTGTTGTTCACGAATCGGCGTCTTATTTTTGGCTTCTCTAATCTACGTCCGTTTTGTGGACGTATCGCAGTGAAATCACAACTTTATTAAAGGATGGGTTGAACCTAAAACTTAAAAAGTTGTTGAAAAATATGAGTCCAAAGCATAATACTTTTCATAAATTTGCTGTACGTTATCATTCTTTCTATTGTTTGAGTCTGTATACTGCCCTCTAGATGTCTTTTGATTATCTTAGTTTTTGGGTTGTTGTCTCATTGTCGTACAATGTATACCCACATGTCAGTTATTTATATGAAAAAGAAAGGAAAGCGATAACGTAGGTCGAGAATATGAACGTCTTTCACCAAAATATTAATATGCATGTACATGTAATATAGAAATAGTAATAGGATGTTGGGTATTGTCTTATTGTCATTTTCTGATGTTTTTCCATTTATTCTGATAACAATATAAGAAAACAGTTTCAAAAAATTGAGAATGGAAATGGGGAATGTGTCAAAGAGACAACAACCCGACCATAGAGCAGACAACAGCTGAAGGCCACCAATGGGTTTTCAATGCAGCGAGAAACTCCCGCACCCGGAGGCGTCCTTCAGCTGGCCCCTAAACAAATAAGTATACTAGTTCAGTGATAATGGACGTCATACTAAACTCGAAATTATACACAGGAAACTAAAATTAAAAATGATACAAGACTTAACAAAAGCCAGAGGCTCCTGACTTGGGACGGGGTTAAACATGTTTTTTGAGATCTCAACCCTCCCCCTATACCTCTAGCCAATGTAGAAAAAACAAAGCACAACAGTATGCACAGTTAAACTCAGTATAAGAGAAGTCAGAGTCCGATGTCAGAATAGGAAACAAAAGAAAATAAACAAAATGACAATAATACATAAATAATAACAGACTACTAGCAGTTACTGACATGCTGTAAGCTATTTCACAAAAAGACAAAACGATACAGATAATATAAACAAACTAAAATCAATTTAAAAATGAATGATTCAATGAAATTAGATGTCGTGATAAGAGTCTCCTCATCGATCGGATGTCGTTTTTGTGATTCATTACGTCGATTAGAGGGTTCAAATATTGAACATTGATTTGAGAACTTGACGTTACATTTGGACGTCGATTTGAGGAACGGATGTCGATTAGAGACCTGACGTCGACCTGAGTCTAACATATATATTAACTGGAAACTTTCTTCTCTAAAATATTTTGTTGATATATCAAATTCGTGAAGAATAAATTTTTTGCGGATTTCATTGGTATAAGCGAACTACCATTTCATATAGCTCAATGAAATGCAAATTACCTAAAAGCTTGTATGCAGAGTTTTACTAAACAACAAAATCATGAATCAATAGAAATAATTTTTTTTTAAATCATTGAAAATTGGTACCCATGAAAATAGGTGAATCCACAGATGTTTAAGATGGCAGTGATCCCTTTTAAAGTTTATAGATTTTCATTACTATCCAGGAATTTAACTGACATAATTTATTCATTTAGATGCTCATATCTGGACCTCAACTTATATCAGTGTTATGCATGCATAAAAAATAGGTTTTCTTGCATATGAGTTAATATCCCAAAGACAAGACAATATAAATGTTTGCATGTGCATCTCAAAAACAAGGCAAAAGAAAAGTATTCATTTTGGAATACAATTTTGATAAAGTAATAAAATTGTGAAAACTTTAAAATAAAAATCTAACATCTGAATACTACATGCAAGCATTTTATAAAAGACTTGCCTCATCAACTGAAGTCTTTGGTCCACCAAGAGTATGCTGGTCCATTACATCTTTTCCTCCTGGTACTGTTCCGACATCAAGGAAATATGCAACATCACTTCTGTCATCCTCAGCACGTACAGCGATTTCAAACATTGGCTCTACATAGTCTCTACCTGCTATCTGTTCTACTTCACAACTTGGTGTGGCCTAAATATTAAAAAAACAATCTCACTAGTAAGGAGATTTCATTTCATTGTTGACTCTGTTGTTAAGTTTAAAATGTTAAGCAGTATTTTTAGTATTTTAAAAAAAAAAAATTCATGGTGACGGGGTGAGGACAATGTCTGGCATTTATCTCACAATTTGTTCTGTTTTCAATTCTTAATTCAATTGTTATGAGAAAACCTACAATCTACATCCTTAAGTTATTTCAATGACAATCAACAGCCCTGAGGCCACTGAATACTTCAAAAACAATCAATAGCTGTTTTAGAAAAAATATTTAACGTCACAGTAACTGAATTGAACTGAGTCCCTGATTTGCATAAAAAGGAACGGAAATCTTTTTAATATATCAACCAGTGTGAATTCAAAATTAAGTTGTGGAATTATATAGTAAATAAGAATACATTTACAAAATAAACACAAAATCCAAACTTTTGCCTGTTTCTTAAATAAAGGAATATGAAAAAAAACTGTCAAAATAAGTGTTGTTAGAATTGGGTGCTCTCACATTAAAGCAACTATCGACATTACATCACCAACATTTCATCCTATTAAATTTTTCAGCAAAACTTTTTAATAGCTTTTCTGTTTCTACAATGTGTCAATTTTTTGTTTTGAGCCAACAGCTGCTATAAAAATGAGCTGTGAGCTATTGTTCACTAGTTCTTCGCCTAAAAATGAGCTGTGAGCTTTTGTTCACTTATTATTCGCCTACTATAAAAATGAGCTGTGAGCTTTTGTTCACTTATTATTCGCCTACTATAAAAATGAGCTGTGAGCTATTGTTCACTAGTTATTCGCCTACTATGAAAATGAGCTGTGAGCTTTTGTTCACTTATTATTCGCCTACTATAAAAATGAGCTGTGAGCTTTTGTTCACTTATTATTCGCCTACTATAAAAATGAGCTGTGAGCTATTGTTCACTAGTTATTCACCTACTATAAAAATGAGCTGTGAGCTTTTGTTCACTAGTTATTCGCCTACTATGAAAATGAGCTGTGAGCTATTGTTCACTAGTTATTCGCCTACTATGAAAATGAGCTGTGAGCTATTGTTCACTAGTTATTCGCCTACTATGAAAATGAGCTGTGAACTATTGTTCACTAGTTATTCGCCTACTATAAAAATGAGCTGTGAGCTATTGTTCACTAGTTATTCGCGTACTATAAAAATGAGCGGTGAGCTATTATTCACTAGTTATTTGCCTACTATGAAACAATCATACAAATATATTCATTACCCTTTTCTTTCTTTTTGCACCAGGTTCATCAGTAAATGGTGATATTTCTGGAGGAGTTTTGTCTTCCTCTTCTTTCCTGTTGTCGATCAGTTTCTTAGTAATTGTTGGAGCTTTGTACGACCATAGTGTAGCCTTAAACAAGGTTTTCTTAACCTTAACAAAACCAAGATTAACCTCTAAGGTCACCAGGGCATACAAGTTCAGCTCAATCGGGGTCAGTTTCAAGTACATAACCAGACTGTAAAGAAAATTTCAAAAACTGTTAAATTTGACAGTTGATCATATAAAGGGGTCAACTTTTGAGGTACGAGCCACATGTATTAAACACTAGCCATGTTTAACATTATTAAAATGCATATTTAAGTCCATTTAAATTTATCTTTATAAAACATTTTTTTCTTTCCCTGTACCTTAGTTGTCCAGAAATTTGCTGCATGATTAAAATAAACTGTTGACACAGAGATATGTCTCGCCTGTTGGTATAAAATTTAGAAAAGAACAATCTGGCAGACAACAACATTGCTTATTAATTCAAAGTTGCTGAACCTTGACCTAGGGCGCAGGGCCTCAAAATAGTAGTCAAACTGATATGTACTGATAGTAATGCAACTTTATTTTAAATATCATTCATCTATCACAAGTAGTTCCTATCAAACTAACTTAAGCAGGAAACTTAACATTGAAAATTGCTAAATAATTCAAAGTCGCTGTACCACAACCTAGGGTAGGGGGCCTCAAAACAGTCGTCAAACTGATATCAACTGATATTAATGCAACTTCATACAAAATATCATTGATCTATCACAAGTAGATCCTATCAAACTAACTTAAGCAGAAAACTTAACATTGAATATTGCTAATAAATTCAAAGTCGCAGAACCTTGACCTAGGAGCAGGACCTCAAAATAGTCATCAAACTGATATGTACCGATAGTAATGCAACTTTATATTAAATATCATTCATCTATCACAAGTAGATCCTATCAAACTAACTTAAGCAGAAAACTTAACAATTGTTGATGCCGTCGCAGTAACTGTCGCTGTCTAAGTCACCGGAAAAGCAATTCCTATGTTTCGCTTTCCGCAACTTTCATCACAGGCAAGACAAAAAACTATTATATGGTGAGATCTTATCCATTGGGAAAAGGTACATAAATGTGTCATCAAAACATTGGACCATGTGCATATATATTTCAGTATACAATGCAACTTTCTCATCTGAATATCAAATTATGCTCTATGCATTTAGTGACACTGTTTTATTTGGTATGCCCCTCCTCTTATTTAATCCTGCACAGTCAAAACATAATTCTTGTATCACTACTTTGTGAAATTAGAACGGAACTTATCTCTAACAACTTATTGGTCTTACTTCCTGAATGAAAATGTCTTAGGAAGGCAAACTAGAGGCTCAAAAAAGCCTGTATTGCTCACCCGAATCTATGTGCATCTTCAGCTATCGCCAATCTCCAACATTATAGACTAGCATATCATTCATGACCAAATTACCATTTTTGTTGATCTTGAATCGATGATTGTTTTTTATGTTTACAGTTTCTGTTTATATACTATAGATTTTTACCCAAAATGCAAAAAATCAATATAAATCATCATTTAGGGGCAACACTTCCTTAAGAAGACATCTAATCATTTAGTCATATTGGTTTTTTTGTGGATCTGATATTGCTATTTACAGATTCTATTTTCTTTCTATCTTTTTTAGTTTTCAGGATAGTTGGCAAAATCATAAAAAGTAGTCAAGGCTGTATAGTGACCTATAGTTGTTATTTTAATCTGTCATTAGTTCTCTGGTGGAGAGTTTTCTCATTGGCAATCATACCACATCTTCTTTTTTTTTTTATAAAATTGGCATGTAAGGTCAATAACTCCTATAAGAAATCTTCCAATGATTTCAGTTATATGGCATTTCTGTAGATCTTGTATTGCTGATCATTTTTGCTGTTTACAGTTCATACCTATAATCATTTTTGATTTAAAAGGCAAAAATATGAAAAAGTGCTAAAAATCATCATTCAAGGGCAATAACTCCTTGGAGGAGTCATCTCATAATTATAATGAAGTAGGTAGATTTTGATATTCTGAGCATTTTTGCTTCTTTATATATACCCTATCTATGATGGTGTTTATTGAATGTAATTTGCTATTTACCCAACATCTATTGGAAATTGGTTGATATAATCTGCCACTTACCCAACCTCTAGAGGGAACTTGTTGGATGTAATTTGCAACTTACCCAACATCTTCAGAGAACATATTGAATGTAATCTGCCACTTACCCAAAATCTAAAGAGAACTTATTGAAAGTAATCTGCAACTTACCCATCATCTAGAGGGAACTTATAGAATGTAATTTGTCACTTACCCAACATCTAAAGAGAACTTATTGAATGTAATCTACTACTTACCCAAAATCTAAAGAGAACTTTATGAATGTAATCTGCCACTTACCCAACATCTAGAGGGAACTTATTGAATGTAATCTCAGCTGTTGTTGGGAAACGCAGGTCCATAATTCTTCCTTCTAAACGAAGTTTTCCATACAGTAAAAATCCAATACCAAGTTCACCATAGACTGTCACACCACCATAAGGTTCTACACCACAAAAAGCCTTCATTTCAAACACCTTGGCACCAATTTCAAACTTCATTCCATAGTATGCTCCAGCTCCAAATGCTGAAATAATATTAAATCTTACATCAAAGTTTATTTTTACAATGGAAATAACATACTTATTCTGACATATTTGATACAGGCACAATAAGTCATAAAGAATGTGGTGGGGTTAAGCATGTTTGTGTTTGCTCAACACCTAACTATGTTAACTTGAATGGTGGCCATACTGAATGCAAGACTGAATCATTAAATATTAATTTGAAATTCAACCTCATATTTCAAAGCAAAATTTCTTCCAAAAAAATCAGGTCAAATCTATTACTATTGTGAGTTTTTTTATTCTACATTTAGTAAGTACACAAAATATCAAGTGAAAGCAATTCCTCTATTATTGGCTGATATGGGCAAATCGTTTAAATTTAAGAGGAAACTTCTTTTAGTTATTTTTTTAAATTGGTCAAGCAAAATATGTGTCAAATGAAAACTATATAATTCTCATTTGTTTACTTTTAATCTTAGGTAGTGTAATCTTTTTCAATAAATTGTTTAATCATGCTCACATCAATTTCCTTAAAATATAGAAGGTCCAGTAACACTTGTGTTTAAATTTCTATAAAAGAATACATTTGAATAATTGATAATGAAGATATCTATAAGGAAATGGTATATTCTTAACCTTACTCATGCAGGATGTCACACATGTACTTTCAATATTAAATAATGAAGACAAATTTGAATAAATCAAATTAAAAAAAAACAGTCTACAGTTGCGTATAATACACATTTCCTCTATCGTGTTTGTTAAAAAAGTGTGTATTATACACAACCAAATACAGTAGTTACTTTACTTGTGATTAACATACTACTACGACTGCTCTACCAAATGGACATGCCAAGGCTCCGTGTTGAAGACCGTACTTTGACCTATAATGGTTTACTTTTATAAATTTTGACTTGGATGGAAAGTTGTCTCATTGCCAATCATACCACATCTTCTTATATCTATGTGACTACTTACAAAACTGCATTGGTATTAGTCCACCAACCATCATGTGAATACTGTAGCTGAATAGTTCTACATCCTGTTTAGGGAAACTAAAGTCACCCTTCAGTGTGAAGTCAAAAGATTCAAACACCTGGTCTCCATTGTTCAGAAGCTTGGTAAGAAACTCAGAATACTGAAGTTATAAAATGGAATATTATTTGTTATTATTTTTTTACATTTTCTGTATCATTATAAAACCTAAAACATTCCATGATTTAACAATAAAAGAACAAAAAAATCTAAACATCATATTATAATTCTGTAACTAAAACTTATAAATAAGTGTAAACAAAAATAATACATCTGTCGATCAGATAACATCCAACTACAATTAGAAATTCAATGGAATCCTTAACATTTTGGAATACGCTCATGGAGAATGTCTGTCGAACGTCTGTATAAAAGTTGTCAAATATTTAGAGGTACTGTGGATTCATTATTAATCGTGGGTTATGAATATTCATGGATTTTGTGGGTATAGTTAAACCATAAATATGCAGACTTTTACAAAGCCATAATAAACAGCTGCGCCATGAGCGCATGATACGCTCTTCGTCTTGTGTGTGAATTTTTATGCAATAAGCATAAATAGTTTCTGACATATGGCGTGACATGCGAAAACCCCCTTTTTTTTTTACAAAAAACTCAATATCTCTAAAATAAAATTTTGAATCAAAACCAAAAAGTATACATATCTTTAGATTAATATAACTAAGAAGTGTGTAAAATTTTAAGCAATAATCATAAATCGTTTTTGAGATACAGCGCGACATGTGAAAACCCCCCCTTTTTAAAAAAAAAAAATCAATATCTCAAAAATAAAATTTTGAATCAAAACCAAAAAGTATACAGATCTTTAGATTAATATAACTAAGAAGTGTGTAAAATTTTAAGCAATAATCATAAATCCTTTTAGAGATACGGCGCGACATGTGAAAAACCCCTCCCCCTTTTTTTACAAAATACTCAATAACTCAAAAATAAAATTTTGAATCATCACCAAAAAGTATACAGATCTTAAGGTTAATATAAATAAGAAGTGTGTAAAGTTTTAAGCAATAATCATAAACTGTTTTTGAGATACGGCGCGTCATGTGAGAAACCCCTCCCCCTTTTTTAACAAAATACTCAATATCTCTAAAATAAAATTTTGAATCATCACCAAAAAGTATACAGATCTTAAGATTAATATAACTAAGAAGTGTGTAAAGTTTTAAGCAATAATCATAAATTGTTTTTGAGATACGGCGCGACATGTGAAAAAACGGACGGACAGACAGACGGACGGACAGACAGAAAGACGGACGGACGCCGGACATTTGTATAACATAATACGTCCCGTCAAAAATTTGACGGGCGTATATAAATTGGTAGCCAGAAATTTAAATGAATCCACAGTATCTATGAATAATAAAATAATATTGATGTGACTGTATGGTAAGTATAATCATCCATTAATTAATAGACAAAAATATCTTATCTGCTAAGTATTTGATCTACATGCCACACATGCCACAGGTATTGTTTACAAACCCAGATAAAGCTGACAAGGAAAGTACTATTCAACTAACAAAACTCTATTTCTTAGCCTTTTAACTTTTATGATTCGAGTGTCACTGGTGAGTCTTTTGTAGACAAAACGTACATCTGGTGTACAAATTATAAGCCTGGTATCTTTGATGAGTATTTTTTTAACAGCCAAGTTTACTGAGTTGTCTAGATCTCTAGATACAGTGCTGGCGGTGTTTTCACAATATTACAGAAGCATGGGTTCAAATCCCGCTGACGGAAGCACAAAAAAGTTTACTGCAAGTTTGCAGATCTAACATTGTTAGTGGGGGGTATTCAAAATTAATCCTTTGTAACTAATGGTGTTATCTCTGTATTTTGATTTAACCCTAAGCAGAATATTTGCACATTCAAACAATTTTTTAGAAATCTAGGCTTGCACAACAAATGACAAATGATTTGCAGAGTGTTAAGTTTGGGACAGTGTAAGAATGTTTTCTTGATTGAACTTCTAGCTTGAATACTATATTGGAACAAGCCGAAACTCTTGGGATAGCATAACTTCAGAATTCCCTCATAATAATCCTCCAAAAAAGTTTAAATTGTGTTCTGTGTTTCAATTATAAATAATATAATCAGGAAATTCCACAGACTTTCCTTGTGACATGTTCAATTTACATTATTGTTTCCTTTCTATTCACAAAACACTGCAAAATCCAGACCTATCCTAGAATATGAATTGTAAAATGCATAATTTCTTTTTCATGGGAACTGTCTATTTGTAAAATAAAATGTGTTAGTAGAAATTATAAGTACTTTTGTACTTGGATGGGAAAATAGAAATGTCATCAAATTTGACAAAAATGCATAGTGATTAGCTGAGAAAAGACAACTTTATATATGATTCATTGTACCTGCATACTGGTAAGGTCCACTGTAAAATCATATAAAAAGGATTATAAACTGGCTGTTTCTGTATTGTCCTTGGTCTAGATTTTTCAAGTCTGTGGCCAGTACAGCTTACCTCAAATCTAAGCCAGGGCCAATACAGAGTCAGTAAATACAACTATTGAATAGACCCATTATCAAAAACATACCAATGCCTTTCCTAAGTCTCTCAGATCTTTCATAAGCTGAGCCACCAATATTGGATCAATATTCTTGAAGTCCATTAAAGTTTCAATGTCACCAACTGTCATATTAGCTAACTTCTCTCCTAAAAGTTTGGCTCCAACTTCCGACAATCCTTGTCCAATAGCATAGGCATCCTTTATACCAGTCACAGCTACATCAAGTTCATTAAAGATTTCTTCACCTACAAAAAGTCAGATTATGTAGACAAATAAATGTGGATTGTGTCCACATGTGGACACAGATGATGCCCCCGCTTCCATATCATATAGTTATAAAGGGACATGACTGAAGAACAGTAAAAGTGACGCTACCCAAATTTGAACTTGATCTGAGTTTTGTGGTAATAAGCATTGTGTGTAAGTCTCATAGCATTTGGTTGAGGTAAATATAAGTTAGAGAACAGAAAATAAAAATTTTGCAATTTTTCCATTTATAAAGGGGCATAACTCTAGAACGGTTTGAGTGACGCCACCAAAATTCAAACTTGATCATTGTTTTGTGGTAATAAGCATTGTGTATAAGTTTCATAACATTTGGTTGAGGCAAGCTTAAGTTAGAGAACGGAAACTAAAAGTTTTGCAATTTTTCCATTTATAAAGGGGCATTACTCTAAAGCGGTTTGAGTGACGCCACCAAAATTCACCCTTGATCTGTATTTTGTGGTAATAAGCATTGTGTATAAATTTCATAACATTTGGTTGTGGCAAACTTAAATTAGAGAACGGAAACTAAAAATTTTGCAATTTTTCCATTTATAAAGGGACATAACTCTAGAATGGTTAGAGTGACGCTACCAAAATTCAAACTTAATCTGTATTTAGTGGTAATAAGCATTGTATGTAAGTTTCATAACATTTGGTTAGGGAAACTTAAGTTAGAGAACGGAAACTAAAAATTTTGCAATTTTTCCATTTATAAAGGGACATAACTTTGAAATGGTTAAAGTGACGACACCAAAATTCAAACTTGATCTGTCTTTTGTGGTAATAAGCATTGTGTAAAAGTTTCATAACATTTGGTTGAGGCAAACTCAAGTTAGAGAATGGAAACCAATATTTGGACGTATGGACGGACATATGTACAGACGTACAGACGAATAAGGGTAAAACTTAATGCCCTCTCTGCTATGGCGGGGGCATAAAATATATTTTAAATTTAAGTTTGAGGAAAATAATATTTAAGCTACTGGACAATGAAAGTTGGGTTTCTGGATTTCAGTTTGTTCTTGTTTCTTGGTACATAATTTCACTTTCAAAACAACTTGGCTATACAATCAATGCTACTTTTTATTGTGGAAGAAGTAGGGAGTCCCTGCATATAGCCACAACCTTCGGCAGGAAAATTGGCAATCCTTTTTAATTAGAATTGTAGTTATTTCATTATTGGTTAGTTGTTTTTTTTGTGTTGCCAATCTTGCTTGGACAGTTTTTCATTTTGGATTATAAAGGACTATTCTAGTTTTCAAATTAATAATTCATTTCATAAACTAAATCCTCCATCTCCCCTCAATTCAAGCTACTATAAAATCAATATAAAGATATTTACCTCCCTGTACTGTAATATTTACCTCCTTTTATTGAAGTATTTACCTCCCTGTACTGTAATATTTACCTCCCTCTATTGAAGTATTAACTCTCTCTTTTGTAATATTTACCTCCCTCTATTGTAGTATTTACCTCCCTGCACTGTAATATAACCTCCCTCTATTGTAGCATTTACCTATTTACCTCTCTGTACTGTAATATCTACCTCCCTCTATTGTAATATTTACCTCTATCTACTGTAATATTTACTTCCCTTTATTGTAATATTTACCTCTCTCTACTGTAATATTTACCTCCCTCTATTGTACTATTTACCTCTTCTACTGTAATATTTACCTTCCTCTACTATAATAGTTACCACCCTCTATTGTAATATTTACCTCCCTCTAATGTAATATTTACATACCTTTAATGTAATATTTACCTCCTTCTACTGTAATATTTACCTCCTTCTACTGAAATATTTACCTCCCTTTATTGTAATATTTACCTCCCTCTGGGTGCTATAAACAGTTTTGTACAAAAAACTAGGAGTTATTCCCCGACTAAAAATAACCATGGAGGGAAATCCCATTTTATTTACTTAATTGGTGAAAAAGTATCCTGTTTTTGTATTTGATTGTAAAAATTAGTTAATTAGCTTTCAATTAAAACATGTTGAATGATTAAAATAATTTTAAAAATTAGATTAAATATACATGTTTTGAGGGGAGACAACACTGTAAACATCCTGTTTTTTTGGCAGTGAAAATTGAAAACTTATTTGCAGCCACTGTAGCTCTTTTCGAAGAAGGAAACTGTACCCTGAAGCGAAATTTTTTTGATAGGCCAGGTAAAAACCTATGAATTTCATACAGTTTTGATTATGTGAAATATGCCTGTATCATGTCTACATGGGTATGCACATGACCTGATTTCAGGTTGTTTATGTTCAGATAAGGCAATTTTTTCCCCATGTTCTCTGAAAAGAACATTTTTATCATATTAAAAGTACACTTTATTTTTATTTCATTATAAACTAGAGAAAATTCTGATTCTAGTGATATCTAGTTTTATACAAGGATCTTTATTAATCATTCCACCACTAAGGGTCACTTATGCATGGTCCCTCAAAATATGACGTCATAGAAAAAAAACTGTTGATTGCACCCTCTACTGTAATATTTAACTTCATCTACTGTAACATTTACTTCCCTTTATTGTAATATTTACCTCCCTTTATTGTAATATTTACCTCCCTTTATTGTTATATTTACCTCCCTGTACTGTAAAGGTTCCACTGAATACTTCTCCACTCACACCAACAGTTGTAAGATTTCCACTACCAAGAGCTTTAACATTTACCTCCCTTTATTGTTATATTTACCTCCCTGTACTGGAAAGGTTCCACTGAATGTTTCTCCACTCACACTAACAGTTGTAGGATTTCCACTACCGAGAGCTTTAACATTTACCTCCCTTTATTGTTATATTTACCTCCCTTTATTGTAATATTTACCTCCCTTTATTGTTATATTTACCTCCCTTTATTGTAATATTTACCTCCCTGTACTGTAAAGGTTCCACTGAATACTTCTCCACTCACACCAACAGTTGTTGGATTTCCACTACCAAGAGCTTTAAGAGCAGACTTCCCACCAGTTTTTTCATCACCATCACCGACATATGTTATGGAATAATCTTTACTATTTTTCTTAAATAACATAACAGATAATCAATTTATTTTGTTAAAGAAAACTATTGAAATATTTCAAAAGACAGAGATGCATTATATTCTACTGAATTGCACAATTGAAAATTGTTTTTAAGGAAGTCAGTTTAACTTGTCAAATGATCTTAGATTTTCCTACATGATCAAATCCCAGAACATTTACATGTAAACTACAGGATCTACTAAAGTGTGTGCACCTTAAGTATTGTTTCTAGATACGTCATTTCAGCAGAAAATTTTGTCTCTTTTTTTTTAATGGTTTAGTTTAATATTTATTCTGGATAGCTTTTCCTTGCAGTATATTTTTCTCTGATAACACAGGAAAGGTAAAAGTCAAATTGGGAGATTCTATTTGAAAGTTTACTGATACAACAGTCCACCACCTTTAAAGGTCCTTTCAACAGATGTCCCTGCTCTTATAATGACAGTTTCATTTATACAAGAGTGTAAGTTTCCTTGTAGTATTACTTTATGCAATTCCACTGCCATTTCAAAGGCACCAGTCCACAGCTGAAAGAGGAGTAGAAAACAGGAGGATTGATGTCCAGTGACAAGTTTTTCATGCATATTCAGAAGAAAATATTAACAATAATTATGTAATAGGTAGGCTCTGCAAAGTGAGGAAACTGGATGAAAGACAGAACTTTTGTATTATACTTACACTGTACTCAATACAAGCAGCAATATAAATGTTCTTCTCTTCATCAGTTGCATTTCTATCTGTCAATATCTGTAGGCCTGTTTTCATGTCGGTGACGTCGACCCTTAGAAAGTCAACAAAGCAGCATCATAAACATGATATAAAATTATCAGAAAACATGCATTTGAGATTTTATTAGTCTTTTGCAAACGAAAATTATTAGTAAATATTCAATATTTACATTCCTTCATTAAAATAGTTTCTAAATTCAAATTTCGATGCATGATATCAAACTATTCTATCAACAAAACATGACAAAAAAAATTTTCATAAAAAATGTTTTAATGTGATGATGTATATTTTTACTTTCAGTCTAAAATATGAAATCTGATTATAAAAATTAAATAATAACAAGAACTGTGAGTGAACTGACAAAGGGAAACTCCAAGCAATATAATTAGTTTATTGAGGTAAGTAAATTCAACAATTAATTATCTACGAACATGGGGATTCCTATATACCCCTCAAAAACTTAGATTAAGGGGAGGTATAAAAACACATACTCTGTTGTTGCACTTCTACGTCTCCTGCGACCTGGACATGTCTTTTTTTTCAGGTCAGATGCTGTCAGTAACTGATAATCTTCACATGTTCCAGGAGAAATGTAGCATGCGGTCAAACCTATAGTGGTCTTGTAAGCTGTAGCTGAACTTGTCGTGTCCAGAGTAAAGTTAAACTTGAATGAGCTAGACAACGATTCAACTTGATCGGTTCCTGTAAAAATCAAATTTTAAAAAATTGAAAGATAATTATTTCCATAGTTCCAGAAAAAACATTCTTGTTTTCAGCTGTTAATTGTCATCATGGTTTTAATAGTTCAATTTGTAAATTTGAAGTCAAAATTTGTTTGTTTACATTTTTGCATTTATTTTTTAGCCATTGAAACTTTTTTTTTAATATATTTGCATACTTAATAAAAAGAAAAACAATAAATCCATGTTTATTTAGGGCTATTTCAGAAATAAATGTATGGGAGGGTTGGACAGCAGTTGATCTTTTTTTGCATGGGTGGTGGTGGTTGGAGCAAATGTAATTGTGTGGGTAGTCGTTCTTCTCCACAACTTAATCATATGGGTGGTTGTAGATTAACATATTAAGATTTAGAAGCTTTTGCACATAAATAACATAAAATATAACTTTTTACAATAGGTGATGAAACAGGAATGAATCTCGGAAATTTTTTATGTTTTTTAAATTTTTTTAATGTGAAGTTATTTCCCCTAAAAGTGGATTTTCTTTAAAATACGTTCTTTGGAGGGGAATTTTGACACAAAAGTGGTGATTTCTGGATTTTTGGCTTGGAAACTCCTAACCCTTTTTACAAAGTTGGAACAGCCATACCCCAGTTGGAATCCACCCTTTATATTTTGATATAAATTATATAAAAGTACAAAAGGAGATCTGAAGATTGAAATTTTTCAGGCTTAGTATCCTAAATCTACAATGGTTGTTATGAAATTCCTTAAGACATACATACTTAAAAAGATATACTAGTTTTTAAGTAGACCATATCAATTTCTCACAGTGCTGTATTGACTTTCATTTTTTTTTTAATTAGATGGGTGGTAGTATCAAACCTCTATTTAATTGTGTGGGTTATGGGTCGCTGAAAAATCTTATTGTATGGGTTATGGGTATTAAAAAAAGTGACTTTCAACCCAACCACACATTTATTTCTGGAATAGCCCTTAGTCAAAAAATATTCCCAAATGACAGATTTTCTAAAATATATGAAACAAATACAAAATTTTACAATAAATCATTTTCTTTTGAACCCTTTATAATATTTAAAATGGTCCCATCACAAAAGTAATACCATCAATTGAAGCCAGTCCTGTTCTTGTCCATGAGTGTCTCTCTAGAGTGTAGTCAATTTGATCAGCACATGAATCCAAAGCAAATGTCAGCTCAGTGTTATGTTTACCAGGCAAGTAGTCCAAATCTAAGCAACATGTGACCCTAAAACAGTCAGCAGCCATCTGACATCTCGTCTGAGCATAAGTGGTGAAGGTTACTCCAGCACAGCCTATAAAAATTACAATAATAGTTATCATTCTTTTTGTACTATTCAGATATCAATTAAAGAAACAAGATTATCAAGAAACAAATAGATTGATTGTTGTTTGATTAACCTCCAGTGGCAAATATTTCATGCATATTTAAGACTTTTACAAAAGCAAATTAACAATCAATAAAATGTGATTTATTCTAGGTCAGTTGACAAAATGAAAGGGAAAATTTGGTCTGCCATTGGAAACTTATGGTGTGGTGCAAACAATTTAACTTGCAACTTCATCAATAGACCACTCAGTTGTCATAAAGGTTCTTTAATCGGCAGAGTGTACACATTTTTTTGCTGTCTCAACATAATATCATAAACTTTTTTTTCAAACTTAGAAACCCTAATTTTCATTTTCTATTCTTGCAAACATTTATATTTTGAAAATGACTACAAAAATAAAATAAATTACACAAAGTTGGTTCTTTACAGTTCTTTCAGTTAATTAGAATGTTCTCCAATTAAGTTCAAATCTGGAGATATTTCAAATAATGGCCATAACTTTTCATTACAGTTTAAACTCTGAAAATGCATATCCATTTTTTTTAGGTAAAATCATTTCATTATGTAGTATTTAATCTAGGTCCAAAAAGGTCTTTACTCCCAATCCATAGCACAACATTTTTTCTCTTCCTCTTCATAAACAGATTTGTATGGGTCAATTGTTTGATAGTGCTAATTTCTTCTTCTTCATGATATTTAACAACATATTGCATCATTTTCTAATTATCTAATTTAAAATCTAAATTATTTAATATAGTTATACTTTGAGCATAAGTTCCTAAAGAAAACAGACTACAAGCTGTTGGGTTCCAGAAATCAAATGTAATTCCTAAAAGAATATAAAATGTAATTATTGTACACGTATAAACATTCTCAATATGAATTATGTTATATGTAATGTCAGTTAACATTATAGCTCATAAAACAAATCTACCTGTGTAAATTCCTCCTCTAAATATATGATCAGGATGAAAAAGCATGAATCTGCCATAAAAAATTGAACTGTGTAATAATAAATTACTATGGGAGAAAATGGTTTAAGAAGTTTAGAAAAAAAAACACTTTATTGTGGAAAGTTCTTTGCAAGACAAATAAGCAGATGAATTAACAGAGGAAGGAATTATCTTTAATTTAATGAGGTTAATTATTCATACTTTATAGGACTGTTTAATTATAAACAACTATCGGAGAAAATGATTTAAGAAGTTAAAAATACAACTCTATTGTGGAAAACATTTTACAGAACAAATTGTAAGATAACATAACAAAGGATTATCTTTATTTTTATGAGGTTTATCATTGATACATACCATAGAAAGGCAAGGTAGGCTCTGAACACTCAGGATAATAAAGTGTATTACTGGTAAATAGAATGTAGTCTTGTAAACAAGACCCTGATCCAGATTCATAACAAAATTTGATAGTTAAATCAACATTCAAGTGTTTCATTGACACAACATGATTTACACGATACATGACTCTCAGAACTCCATAGAGGTTCATGTTTTCTGTTGAGCCTGTAAAAGAAAATGAAAAGTTTTGTCATTTAAACAGTGATGTACTAAAGTACATTCACTATCTTTCAAAGTTTTGAACATATATCTAAAAACATGTATGACATGATTGATTGTTGTTTGCTTAATATCTAATGACATAACTCATGCAAGTCCTTGACAAATTTATAAAAAAAATAAATAAATAAACCGACATATGACATAAGATTATACTCAACAGCAAACAATATAAGTGCAAAAAAAATCTATTTCTACGACTAAGATGGCTGTTTTCATTTCATGATTTTAAAAGTTTATTTTTACGTCGTGAAATGTGTATACTGTATTATTGATGGTGAGACTATAATAAATGATTATTGTATATTGTATTGTATTGCTATTTTCATATGTAAACGTAACATTCTCTAAAGAAAAAAGCAGTTTAAATTGAGAAAATGTCTATCAGATAATTGTTTTCCTCAAACATTTTAATAATTTTGAAATTAACAGCTAGTTATAATGAAACCTGAAATTAATTCATAGTATTTTGACTCGTAAGATATTTTGTGAAATTATCTGCTGGTGCTAAGTAACATACCCCAAACATAATTCAATAACTCCTTTTCAATAATCAGATTTTCTAACTGTATTGTCAGTATGTAGTTACAAGTGTCCAAGGTTACGGCAACATAAAAGTCTCGTTTCAGAACATCAGACTTGGCACAACAGGAAACAGCATTACAATCAGCAGCAATATGACAAAGTAATTCTGATGAAGGTAGAAGAGTTAAATCCCCTGATGATACATTGTTACATTCTGTAATACAATATTTTAAGTATGATATGTATTAGAAAAAGCCAAAGCAAATATTATCATATAAAATACAAAGCTTATGTGAATGCCAACTTCAGAGAATTAAAGAGGCATTAGCTACAAGATATAAAAAAAAAAATATGATTATTTTTTGTTCGATCATTAATGAAAGTGAAAGAGTGAAATAATAATTCGCTTTTAACAACCAGTTTGGTTCAGTTTTGTCAAAATTAGCAAAGAAACATCCCTAATGAATTATTCACTTGCAAGTGAAAAATTCGTCCTCAATGAATCCATATTCATGTGAACTTTGATTCCTATAGCTAAAGATGGGTTACACATGAACTAGGCGTGTTCAGTTATTAAATGGAAAAGAATGTAAACATTGGAAGTGAAACAAGGGTAAACCATTTGGTTGACTGATTCAATCTATAAAAACTCATTCTTATACATGTAAAAACTATTATTAACATATTTTTTTAACCTATAATATGAAATCAAACAGACCTAGAAAAATCCAATTATACGAGTTCCCAATCTATTTATATCTATGTTTATGTTTAAATCGGGTTATATGACCGCCAGCAGTCTTCCGAGGTCACCTCGATGGTTAATTAGATGGCGTCTAGACTAAAATACACACGAAATGCTGATACATACTATCAAGTCTATGCATCGTAAATTGTTTATCTTAGACTTTTTATAATTTGAATATGCATTATAGTATATTATAAGTCGAATATAAGAATTTGAGTCAAATCGGTGAACATGAATTTGACAGCTAATACCCCTTTAAAACTTTCAAGCAAAGGCACAATTATATTAATCATTTTCAAAATACAGTTGTATGGACCTGAAATTTAGGACTGATTCTTCAACTGAAGCCATTTTTTAAAATAGAAAATTGATCTATATTATTTTCGGATATATATTTTGCAAGAAGAAATGTCAGGTTTAGTATTCTGGTTAAACAAAAGACAACTTGTGTCTTTTTAATGAAAAAAAAAAAACATTTTCTTTTAGTGTCAAACAATGACTTTTATCTATGAAACAGTGAATTTGAATAGGATATTGGATTGTTCTCATGAAACACTAAGGAACACAATCATAGTAATAGCACAAATACTGAAGTCTTCAAACTTGATCTGAAATTTTGAATACAATAAAACAAGGTCAAAACCTTGATAACTTCACTCTTTCTGTCTTTTGTATGATACAAATCATTATTCCATCCATCTACAGCACCAACATAGGGTGAACCAGTAAAGTTACAAATGTTGGAATACAATATATACTTGACCACTTCACTCTCCCTATCTAATTTATGATACAAACCATTACTCCATCCATCTACAGCACCAACATAGGGTGATCCAGTAAAGTGACAAATGTTGGAATACAATATATACTTGACTACTACACTCTCCCTGTCTGATACAAACCATTTTTCCATCCATCTACAGCACCAACATATGGTGATCCAGTAAAGCTACAAATGTTGAAATACAATATATACTTGACTACTACACTCTCCCTGTCTGATACAAACCATTTTTCCATCCATCTACAGCACCAACATAGGGTGAACCAGTAAAGTTACAAATGTTGGAATACAATATATACTTGACCACTTCACTCTCCCTATCTAATTTATGATACAAACCATTACTCCATCCATCTACAGCACCAACATAGGGTGATCCAGTAAAGTGACAAATGTTGGAATACAATATATACTTGACTACTACACTCTCCCTGTCTGATACAAACCATTTTTCCATCCATCTACAGCACCAACATAGGGTGATCCAGTAAAGTTACAAATGTTGGAATACAATATATACTTGACCACTTCACTCTCCCTATCTAATTTATGATACAAACCATTACTCCATCCATCTACAGCACCGACATAGGGTGATCCAGTAAAGTGACAAATGTTGGAATACAATATATACTTGACTACTACACTCTCCACGTCTGATACAAACCATTTTTCCATCCATCTACAGCACCAACATATGGTGATCCAGTAAAGCTACAAATGTTGGAATACAATATATACTTGACTACTACACTCTCCCTGTCTGATACAAACCATTATTCCATCCATCTACAGCACCAACATATGGTGATCCAGTAAAGTTACAAATGTTGGAATAATCCATAAAATCATCTATCTGCAGTAACTGTAATAAATCATCAGCATCCACTATTGACATAGTTGTTAATCCTAAACTTCTATCTGCTAACCATGTGGATAGAGAGAATCCTGCAAAGAAAACACAGAAACTGTAATAAATCATCAGCATCTACTATTGACATATTTGTTAATCCTATACTTCTTTCTGTTAACCATGTGGATAGGGAAAATCCTGCCAAAAAAACTCAGAGAGTATGTAGATATATATGAAATCTACAATTTTTACCTATGTGCAGAAAATCAACATTATTATGGATACCACAATTTAGGGTAACATTAACTTTAGCTTGCAAATTTAATAACCTGTTTTGTTGATGACTTTAAGCTGAGCATAGTTTTGATTCCTTTCATCTTCTTCCAAGCTTAATTTTTCTTTTTCTTACCAGTAATCTAACTCTTTAAAATTTCCCTTGAAAGACGACAACTTAAACCTATCTGCTTCTTATCTGAATCTTTGACGCCTGTATTGTAATTACAGATTACTTTATCAATGATTGTCTTATCAAAGATGGTGTATTTGTAACAGCCACTATGTTCCGTCAGTTACTTTGTTCCGGCGGAACTTCTCAACTAGTTATTTCGTTCCGATGGAACTTTCCAACTAGTTGTTTTATTCCGAGTGCAGTCGAAAAGTTCCGGAAAAAAGTAATTTTAAGTTGTTAAAAATTTAAGTTGTATTTCATAGCTCACATAAAACGAAATAATATAAGTTATCTACGTTCATATCCGTAGAAATGGATATTTTAACACCCTGAAGTATCCAAGTACACCCTGAGGCGCAGCCGAAGGGTGTACAGGGTACTGAAGGGTGTTAAAATATCCATATCTACGGATATGAATGTAGATAACGAATTTATCCCCAGTCTTAGTCTAAATCTGGCGATTTTTAGAGAAATTCGACCACAAAGTTAAACGTGAAAGCAACGTTTTTTTCATTTTTTAAATATCTTTTATTGAAATTTGGGAATTTGACATATTTTTAACGGGGTGTAGGGTACTACCTTTGGTAGAACCCTACAGGTAGACAAATATAAGACGTTTTTAAACTAGAGACAGAGAAACTGAAATGGGTCGAATTTGGCGCGCAATGTTGTGAGAGTTACATCATAAACGGTGTGACGTCAACGTGGGTCATTTGCATAGCTAGGTCAGTAGTACCATTCATTGACAATGTGGCTGCATAGTGATGCATTTACTAAAATGAGTGCAAATAATCGATATAATAAGATAAAATCGTTAGTGGATTAAATATTTAATTATACAGACATCATGGAAAATCTACAGAATTCGATATTTCATAAGGAACAACCATGGAACTAAGGAAAACGCGCATGAAATTCCCCGATGTAATGGGTAGCAACGTCCGGGGATATGGGTTAGCAACACCCAGGGGCTATGGGTTTTGTAACGACGTGCGTTAACCAATCAGAATCCTAGAAATATACTAAGCCGGGGATAAGTTGCATTATCATGCAAATTTAGTATTCATAGTACCCTCAAGAGAGGGAAGAATACCCCTCTCCTCATGTGGTTCTTTGCATCAATTCTCCAAATGGAGCTTTGTGACTGGTTGATAAGTTCCTTTGGAACTTTTGGGCTAGTTTGTTAGTTCCGGTTTTGACTTATTTGCCAAAGAGGAACTTTGTGGCTAATTGATAAGTTCCTTTTGACTTTTGTAATCAGTATCTTGGTTTCCCTTTGAAAGGTTCAAATATAATATGTTGCGCTTTTACTTTGCATCAATTCTCCAAATGGAACTTTCTGCCTGGTTGATAAGTTCCGTTGGAACATTTGGGCTAGTTTCTTAGTTCCTGTTTGACTAATTTGGCAAAAAGGAACTTTCTAACTAGTTGATATGTTCCATTGGAACTTTTCAACTAGTCACTTTGTTCCGGTGGAACTTTTAAACCAGAGGAAGAACAAAGTAACTAGTTAATAAGTTCCTCCGTAACTTTTCGGCTAGTTAGTTCTTTCCGCCCGGAACTTTCCAACGTCGGAACAAAAGAGCATTTACATATTCCTGGTCACACACCAATGAAGACAACTTAAAACAGTCTACATCTTACCTGAATCTTTGATGCCTGTATTGTAATCACAGCTTTATTTATCAATGATTGTCTTATTAAAGATGGCATATTCCTGGTCACACACCAATGAAGACAACTTAAACCAGTCTACTTCTTACCTGAATCTTTGAAGCCTGTATTGTAATCACAGCTTTCCTTATCAATGATTGTCTTATTAAAGATGGTATATTCCTGGTCACACACCAATGAAGACAACTTAAACCAGTCTACTTCTTACCTGAATCTTTGAAGCCTGTGTTGCAATTACAGATTTCTTTATCAATGATTGTCTTATTAAATATGGTATATTCCTGGTCACACACCAATGAAGACATCATAAACCAGTCTATTTCTTACCTGAATCTTTGAGGCTTGTATTGTAATCACAGCTTTCTTTATCAATGATTGTCTTATTAAAGATGGTATATTCCTGGTCACACACCAATGAAGACAACTTAAACTAGTCTATATCTTACCTGAATCTTTGAGGCTTGTATTGTAATCACAGCTTTCTTTATCAATGATTGTCTTATTAAAGATGGTATATTCCTGGTCACACACTAATGAAGATAACTTAAACCAGTCTATTTCTTACCTGAATCTTTGAAGCCTGTATTGTAATCACAGCTTTCTTTATCAATGATTGTCTTATTAAAGATGGTATATTCCTGGTCACACACTAATGAAGATAACTTAAACCAGTCTATATCTTACCTGAATCTTTGAAGCCTGTATTGTAATCACAGCTTGTTTTATTAAAGATTGTCTTATTAAAGATGGTGTATTCCTGGTCACATGCCAATGAGGTATCAGCATTCAGGCAGAATTTTATTGACATTGTAACTTCATACTCGTTACTTAGCAACAGATTGCTTACTAGGTAACTATAAAAGAGAAATATGGCAATACTGTAAATAAGGCAAGTCACATATTCAAGAGTGATTCTATAGACATCTATGTCCTTCTATATGCTAGAACTATTAAAATGATAGAATGTAACCTTTAGCTTGTCACATTATATCTTCTGAAATAAAATTATTCAGTAAAATGGCTACTTAATCTATATCAATAAAAATTTGTGCTCCTACATTTTCAAACAGTGTAACACAAAACAATTAACTATCAGGCCCAAGACCACAATTTATGACCCCGCTTTTCGTTGTCCATGAATATAGTTCCCTTTAATTAAAGTGCATTTTTTCTTTATTTTTTTTCTTTCCCTTTCTCATTCATTTCTTAGTTTTTATGGGGTGGAAATGAAAGAAGAGAGCGGAAAAAAAAATTTGGATGTTGTATTTTAACTGATTTTGATATGGAAAGAGTGACTAGGCCAATGCAAAAAGGTAATATTTACAGTTTTCGGAACATCTCTTGACTTGTCCATGAGGGTATGGATGTGATTTGGCTAAATTTGTAAGATGTAAAAGTGCAATCTTTCTGAATGTTGGATATAATTTTGGACTAGTACTGTACATTACACACACAAAAGATTTGACAAACAGACTTGGTGCAATTTTTTTTAATGAGAAAAAACGTTATAAAGAACTAATAGAGGATATTAATTGTGGTATGTGGCCATCAAATGGAATATTTTTAGTTAAAAAAAACAAGAAAGAAGCCGTATTTGGAAAAATATAAATAACTTACTTTATTTCAGCCAAGCCATATATGGAGAATTTACCACTAGATTCAAAGTCATAATCATGTAATGATATGTCCGTTTCCAGTTTGTCTACTTTAAGACGTAGTCTGTTGCCACATGTATCCACAATCAATTTATATTCCAGAGATGTGGCTAGCTGTGGCACATCAACACAGCATCGTACCCCATTACAGTCTGTTGGGATACTACACACGATGCTATCAGTTGATGTAAATGTCTCATGTGCAATTGTTGAAACACATTCTAAATAACAAGAAAATAAAATGCCTTTTTGTTTACATTTTGCAATATATGTTAATGAAATCTTATTATTATGAAGGGAGGTATAAACAATGTGTTTAACACAAGACATTCTCTATATAACCTTTTTCAGTGACAAAAATAGGTATTGTAAATTCAGAAATTAATACAAGCATTTATTATTGCGAATCCTTCACCTTTGGCAACAATATCTAATTATTGCGATTGCAAAAATTTAATGAAGGAAAATCATTAATGAAATTATGAATGCAAGTTCTTATTCCTGCAAACATGATACTGTCACATTTTTAGCTTTAATAAAAAACAACCTAATAATTTCTGAATTGACAGTATATTTGCACTGATCACAACTCTCTCCATTTCGTTTTATTTTTTCATATTTTGACAGTAAAAAAAAATTGTTACAACTGAAATTAAATTGAAGTAATTGAAGAAACCTGATTCAGGAAACCTTACTTATGATTCACCAAAGGTCAAGCTCATATGTCAGTTTAAGCTAAAACATGATCTTATTATTGAATTCAATTATTTAGTTTCTTCTATCATGTTATCTGTGCACTTAATTTAAAACCACTGAATCTTTCACAATACTAGCAGATACTTAAATTATATCACAGTTTACTGATCTTCTACATAATAGATATAAGAAGATGTGGTATGAGTGCCAATGAGACAACTCTCCATCCAAGTCAAAATTTATAAAAGTAAACCATTATAGGTCACAGTACGGTCTTCAACACGGAGCCTTGGCTCACACCGAACAGTAAGCTATAAAGGGCCCCAAAAACATTACTGGCTACAAAATTCCTTTAATATTTAAATGTTTTCAAACATACTACATACCATTGTTGAAGCCATCTGTTGCAGTTCCTGTCATAAATACAGTTGTAACATTGTAACACTTGTTCTCAAGACCAAAGTAATTATTCACATCAAGGTCATTGATCAGTTGTAGTCTAGCCCATTCTGGTAGGGGTGAAGTATTGGCTGGTAGACCAACTGATGACAGCCAGGAACTATATGAAACTGTAATAAAATATTTTTCGCTATTATAATATGGTAAGGTATTCAGCCAATACACAACTGTTGAAAAAATTACAGGTAAGTCTTGCAGACAATGTATTTGACATTTTTACCTGAGAATAGGGTTAAAGATTTCTAATATCATAAGCATGATAATTCACATGAAGATGGACTTTTGCACAAAACTTATGAAGTAACAAAAACATATCCTTGAATTTTTTTTTTTAATGTAGAAAAGATAGATACAAACTGGAAATGGCAACAACAAAAAATGAAAAAGATAAAAAAAGAAAACAAGCAAAGAGACCCAGAAAAAAATATACAAAAGTTGTGCACACTCACACTGAGAATTAATAAATCCTGTTGATCTATCACAAACTTGCTTCGATAATTCAAAGTCAGTGAAGATGGTTTCTAGTAAAGCACAGGCACCATTGGCCTCATAACATGCCATCAGGTCCATGTTCACTAAGTACTTATTACTTGTCATCAGATTGTTCACAGTAAACCTACAATATCATGTTTAATTCTTATACAATTGTTCAGTTTGTACTTACTTACTGTGGCAAATTGAGTTTACCTGGCGACGAGTAGCGGAAACAGGTAAACGGTTATTTGCGACAGTAAAAACTACTGATGGACGTCCGTAAAGCTTCAAATACAATACAGTTATCTCTATTCTAATGCAAAACAAACAAATCATTCAATTTTAGTCATTATTTCATTGTAAAATTTTCATTAAACAAAAATCCCTGGAAATGATGTTATCTTCTTTGGTGCCTGAACTAGGTGAGGTCATAGGTATGCTTTCGGCGTCAAATGTAAACACCGGGCATTTTCTGGCTTCTTGTCCACCTCAAAATGTAATAAAAATTGATAAAAAGAAGATTTTTAGGTGCAAAATGTGAGTTTTTTTGCTTATTATTGGAGAAATTACATGTCAATACATTCCAGAATTCAAAATGTCGGCTTCCTTACTTACAGACACAGAGATAGAGAATTTTACGCTTATAGTCATCCAATCAAAACCATTGATACAAAATAACTGCATTAGAATAAACATATCTTTATCGGGAGACAGATAAATTATTTGAAAAAAAAACTTACTGTTTTTTCTTTCTCATGTAATTTATTATTTAAATAATCATATACTGCCTTCAAAGTATAAATTGTATGTGCTGTTGACTTATTGTGAAAATAAGTGTAAGATGAAGAACAGCAATAAAAGTCCTGAACTCATTCCTATACTGTTTTATTTTATTTTCTCATTTATTCCTATATCCTTCCTTTAATCTCTATAGACGACAAAGCATAGGAAACCAAAAATAATAAATCATATGGTTCTGTTTGCATTTTTAAGCTGTAACACAGTGCAGTAATTTCTAAGCTTATAATAGTCAGTGTTCTAATATAAAGTATTTTAACTTACCTAAGGCCATAAACTCCATTTAACTTGTACACTTCCTCGGTTCCTAAAATATCAATATTAAAATTGAGAATGGAAACGGGAATGTGTCAAAGAAACAACAACTCAAACAAAGAGCAGAAAACAGCTCAAGGCCACCATTACCATTTTTAATCTTTCTCATAATTCATGACAATGTCTTATCATAATTGAGACATACAGTCTTTTTTTTTTTTAATGTTAGCTAAAAAAGATATTCTGTGATTGATCTATTGCTTATTAATTTTACAGTTACCCTGCTAAATATTGTTGACACTATTTTGCAGTTTATAAGTAAATCTATCAAATTTTAAAATTGGTGTCATGTAGCGGGAAGTTGTGACTGGTATTTCCTGAAAAAAAGGTGAAATAAATGTTTGTCATGACTTTATAACATATTTAAAGATACAAGTTTTTGGCAAACTAGAAGAAGACCATTAAAGAAATTGAAGACATGTCATACAGTATGGTATATATATTCAGATAAATCTTGTTAAGTCATATACCAGGAAGTTATTATTGTAGTTGTAGAGGAAAATGCGACAGAAATGTGTTACTGTCAGACAAATGCATAGACAGAAGTACACAGGTATACCTTCTTAGGAGTGAGGGTATATAAATCTTTGAATAATTACCCCAAACATAGCCAACCAACGATATAGTTCTGGTCATTCTCTCATGTGTGACAATCAGCTCTCCTTTACATGAATCTATCTGAACACTGGCCTCAATACTTCGTCCTACTTCTGTTTCCTCAAAACAGCATGTAACCTTTTCACAAGAGATGTCAAAATTACATGAAACTGTATCGGCAAGCGCTGGCAAGGTACTTGTAGGAAGTACAGAACAACCTGAAAAAAAATTTTAAATTTAAAATTAAAAAAAATTGGCAAGTGAATTTTTATAAATTATGGCACTAAAATCTGAACAACTGAATTTATTTAGTTTGCAATAAAAAGTTTTATTTAGTATGTGATGTTTCATCAAGTTAACTATAAACAAGTAGTTTCAAAGAAGATTTACTCATTCAAATACTTATTCTATTGCTGTGGATTCTGTTATTTTTGTGGATTTAGGAAAAATTGAATTTTGGTGGATATTTTATTTCTTGGTTCTGCCAAAGTGTGCATACAAGCCTATACAAAATGCATACTTCGTTGAACATTTAAAAATTTGTGGATCACCTTTACCCAGGAAATCCAAGAAAATTGGTATTCAGAAAAAATAATGAATCCACAGTAGTCTTACCCAGTGAACAGAAAATTGTTAACAAAGCATCAAATTTGTCTCATCTATATAATCTTAGCACAAACTTTAAGGACTAATTATATTGCTGCACTGGAAACTGCATGTCACAATCTAAATTTCAAGGTGGGGAGACAAAATACATGTAACAGAAATAGAAATTGTGTGAAAACCTTTGACAACAAAGAAAATTAAATAAGTTCCTGCATGTTTATAAAAACTCGTAAAAAACCTAATTTGTGCAAAAGTTTTTCTTCAATTTGCTTTGATAGGCACATAATTTTTCATAATTTGGCATATGGAGATAAGGTCATACAAAAAAATGAAAATCTTAATAACAAGTTATATCATCATACAAATCAGTGTAAGATGAGATTAACTATCTGTATGTTGGCCCCTAGATGTTTTTTTCTTATTTGTGATGTTAGGTTACTGTCTCAATCATGTATATCCCACATTTCTTTTTACATGTAGTCAACTATGTATTTAATGATCCTAATGTATATTCTGATTCACCTACCTGATGTCCATCCATTTACTGCAGATGAATACAAATCACTGCTTCTATCACATGGTGTAGCTAATAGATAATAAGATATCAAGGCTTCTTTCAAAAACCGAGAGGCATCATAGCTTTCCAAGTTCCCTGAGATCTGATTATCGGTCTTAAACTGGATTAAAGAGACATCTGAAAAATTTTTAAAAATAGGCAATAACAAATTGTGTAATATACCCTCGTAATATTTTTTCTGTCTTTGTATATTTCTTTCCTTGTTTGTGCATACAAATGTCAACTGATTTTTTCACTGATTGTTGTCTGGCATCTAATTTCTGACATAGATGTATCTTCATTATTATATCGTGTTCTGTAACAAATTTTTAAATATTCAAACCCACCATCATGACCAAAAGCTTGCTTATATTATGTATAATGAAGATATATTTAAAAATCTTCCAATATGTATGTACTTTGCCTTTCAGACATATATAGAATACAGGGAAATTATCGCTATGTTTGCAGTTGGCATTTTACAGCAGAGTTTAACCCTACATGAACAATTCATTGTCCATTTAAATGAATTATACAAGGCAATGAAACGCAAAAAATTACCAGAGTGAAGATTTCACTGCCCTCTCTAAGATTCAAAACCCAATGAAAATTACTCTATATACAGTTTGTGCATTATTTCAAAACATGTTCAAGAATCTACTCGAATGATGTACTTTCACTTTAATAAATGTATGTACAGACAGACAGTGTGATCAATATACATTGACCACTTCAGAGAGCAGCGGGCATAATATATCTTAGAACAAAAAAAAAATGTTTCTTCTAAGAAACAGCCCTAATTAATTTTTTATCTCCAGAATCTTTTTGCTTTCTAGTTTAATAACTTGTGTTTATAGTATAAAATAGATTTCTCAGTAACATCATTACATAAGAGACATCAAATAATCATTTCCTACAGCCAAATAACAAATTTACATTTTTTTCTTACTAGACATTGATGTTTGAATATTTGCAATAACCTTTTTCCTGAAAAGACCTAAAAGTGACTGTTGATATGGAGGAAGTAATGAAAGAGAGATTTCCTTGATAATAAATTATTATTTTCATGTTCCGTGTGATATTTGTTGCATGTTCCCACTGTACAAACAATTAGTATTATGTGTAATTGACTTACTCTGATTAACAAATCCTCCATCCCATGTGCATTGTTTTTTGGGCAGAAGAACATTTTCTGCTATCACATAATCTTGCTCACATGCCTGGGCACTCTCAGTACATACAGAAACGTTCATATCTATTAGGTAGGCATTTTCTGACTCAATATCATACACAGTAAACCTATAAAACAGAAAAAATGAATTAATTATAATAAAATAAAGAGGAAAAGGAATACAATAATCAGAAATGCTCTTTACTATATCTATCAATAATAGGCCATTTAATTTTCTTTTAAATTAAATTTATTGTTTTTCCTTAGTTTTAAATGAAAAGAAATTAGTTGAATGGTTTGGCATTGTTCAGGCATACTATAAACTGTTGTATTCATTTACATGTCCATAAACTAAATAGCTTCAAGTCCTTACACTGCAAAAAAAAAGTCAAAAACATTTAAACTGAATCCTAAAACTCCATTTGTGAACTCTCAAACATGTAGAATGATAATTAATACAAGTCTAGAACATACAAACTATCATATTTTTTAACATCCAACTGTGTAGTTTCATACTGTAAAATCTTGAAAAATGAAGAAGACCAAAAAGGCTGGCACATCTTTAAAGTTGAAAGATTATTATAGAATAAACACACCAGAAATTTTTTTTAATCTCGAGTGTCAAGTTTCTAAGAGCATTTTCTTTCTATATGACTTACTGTGTTTTCACTATTCCTCCCAAGGAGAAGTTCCTCTGTTCACCTAAAATAGAAGTTTTATCAAAACCATGATATTGTGAACCCAAACATTAATATGTCACAAATATGTTTCTGATTTTAAATGAGAACCATTATTTGTATAATTATATACTACTATCCAAAAAAGTGGTTGGGTCTACTAGGAATGAAGTGTGGATCCTGCTGTATCTAATAATTTGAACAAAAATGGCTGAGTCCATGTTTCGGCACAGGTAACCCCAAACATAATTCAGATCAAAAATTAAAATACCGGTGTACAATTCAAGTCTGGAAGAATCTGTGCAAGTTTAGTTAAATTCTGTCACACCATTTTCAAGAAGTTGGAGATAAACAACCAATTATAAGTTAAATTTTGTCTATTTCGCTTATATATCAGTATTTTAAAAGGATAGATTGATTCAATGGTTGTTGTTAGCTTAAAGTCTAGTGGTAAATATTCTATGCATTTGAAAGACGATATTTCAAAATGTAAATTTAGAAACAACTTACCAAATGTATAGTCTGCCATGGCCAATATGAATTGAAAGTTTTCGATTCCTACATTGATGACAAACTTGCATGGATCTAATTTGACAACCACATGGAAAGGTTTACGAAGTTTCACAGAGTCAACACAACACTCAATTTCCGTACAGCTTGATGTCACATGACATGTTATATCACTGTAACTGCTAGGTAGATCCTGTATGGTGGTATCCAAGCTACATTCTTAAAAACAATAACACAATCATTTTATTCTGCCATATTTTTGCTGTACCAGAAAATCAGAAACATGTGTGATGTTTTCATTAATGTGAAAAATGTGATAACAGAGTGACCATTACACGACCCACATCACATAAATTAAAACATATAAAAAGTTGTGAAACTATTATATGTTCTTCCTAAACATTCACAGGGATTTCATTAAATGATCTATTAATATTTTTTTTATTTTTTAATATTTGTATAATAAGTAGTGCACAAAACAACTCCAACTAATAGTTTACATTCTAAGGATACAATTCTAAGTAAATTCAATAAGTTGATGAAATTACTATACTTCTTGATCAGACTGATATTTAAAACAAATGTAAAAGTTAATTATTCTTCCAAATATATTATTAATTATTCTATTACACATAAGGTACATAGTATCTTTTATATTTTTTTCAAATATTGAAGGAGCAATCAAATTTTCTTTTACCTATAAGGGTTTACTATCAAAAGTTCAACAGGGCATGACATTTATTACTTAACAGATACCTTAAAATATAAATGACAACACCTACCATTAATCCATCCACCAGCAATAGATGAGTTAAACTTGGCACTGTTTCTACTACATTGAAACATACTATCTTGTAAATAAGGAGACAGACCAGTTTGTTCGTATAATAAAAGTTCTGCCCACATCGACAAAGGGTCACCTATTATCAATCCTTGATCTCCTTGCCATGTTTCAAATGAGAAATCTGTAAACAAAAATAATAAATGTAGTGGATAAAAATTTTACAATACTAATTATAATGTGACAAAACTCTGTATAATCCAAATAAACTATTCACCAAATATTGATAAGTTAAAGAATTAAACCGTTAGTAAGCAAGCTCACATACTCCCTACCCTAGATTTAAAGGGAGGATCTTAATGTGACTTGCTGGCATAGTTTTTCAGTCTATTTGTAGATATGATTCTTTTCTGTTACGATTCTGAGACAATAATTTTGTTGAATGAAATATTGTAAAATGTACATAATGATTAACATTAATAATCAGTAAGCACCTAACATTTGACTTACTTGGAATATGGTAGTCAGTTTTCCATTCACACAGATCTTTAGGTAATCTGGTATTGTCAAACACTGTAGTGACCATATAACATGGCTGTCTATCCTCGTAACAGTAAGATATATTCATACTGACCAGGTACATACTCTCTCCTGGTATATCTTCTATCACGTAGCTAGAAATATATAATGAGATGTAAAATTTAAGTACTTATTACACAAATGTATCATTAAATGATACCTCAAAGCCATTTTTTAAATATTCTATAACATGAATCAAATATAAGAGTCAGTGAAAGTATAGTAAATTGATATTAAACAAAACTAGAGACTTAAATCAAAAGAAGTCTATAAAGACACAAAAAAAAAAGTCTATAAAGACACCAAATAAAACATAATTTTCAAGAAAACACTAACAGATCCTTAGAGAGAACATGTTTTCTATGAATTTTTGTAAAAACAGCCTTTTTTTATGGTAGTGAACAACAAAGATTGTTATAATTTAACACAACACTCACTCAATCATAACTGATCCAACAAGTGCAAACTGTTTCTTGGTTCCTAAAACAAACACATGTCAATGTTTTACTTATAATTATCTAGAATTGTAATAAAATGTGGAAAAAAAAAACATATGGTGTATCAATTCATGACACAAAAATGATATCATGTACTTGAAAAATTTAAAGACAACGGAACACTGCATTTATTGCAGTTGTTCCTCGCAAAGTCAAAGTGATTGATAGTACTGACATTGAATTAAGTAAGTTACAAAAAACGATTTTCTGATTTTAAGTTTGTAATCATTAGGCTTAGCATTGATTACCTATCATGAACTTGTCTGTGAATAACTAAGACATTAAGTAAGTATTTCTTCTGCATGATTTTTATCGCAATCAATTCCATTAGAAAAATAAGGCAACAGTTCAAATTCAAATTATAAAATTTGAAAAAATAAAGTTAACTGAATTGGGACAATTACATTCAACTTAGAAGGCACAGTGAATTACAGTAAATTTAGAAATCATTGTGATTTTTAAAGATTGGACAAAAAAGCGATATTAGTTATTGCGATTTCAGGAAAATCTGCATATAGATATATGTATCAGATATCAGAATGCAAGTTCTTATAATTGCATACTCACCCAGTCACATTATTCACAAAAATAAAATAAAACCTCCAATAATTTCTGAATTTACAATATTACCCTGAACAAATAACATCATTGTGCTTACCATCCATGTAACCAATTAAAGAAACATTTCTATTGAAACGTTCAATTTCAAGATACAATATTTGTGTACAGGGGTCAATATGTAGATATAGCCTGAATGACCTTGAAAGGAAGTCGATTACAGTACAACATTCTACTGCAGTACAAGCTGAGGTCAGGTGACATTTTGTGGAATCTGTGATGTTAGGTAAACTGACAGTCTTTGTACAACCTGCAAAACATTTGTATATCAAATATATTTGGTTCTACTCATATAAAGGTCCTCAAACCTTACAGAAAACTTCAAGGTAAGGAGTTAAGGTAATGCTAAATAAAAGTATCATATATACAACTGTACTCATTAGATTTGAGGCATCCAAATTTAAAGACATTGGAGACAAAATCTGTCTGTTAAACAGCTACTTTGATAATTCAATGATTCAATAAATCTTAACTAGTTTTTTTTTTATTCAAGTTTGATTTGATGAGTCTCCTCATGGGGTTTTTGATTATGTGATTATTGGACCGTTCTTATAGTGATTATTTGATAACCAGACCAAATACTTCATGATTATTTGATTATTTGATAATCTTGGACTGAATTTTTGATTATTTGATTATCTTATTTAAAAAAATAATTAATGATTACGTTTATATTGGCAAAAAAATTGTGATTATGCGATTACTTGGACACCCCCATGAGGAGCCTCTTTGATGTTTAGCAATCATCAATCAAGTTTGCTGTGATAAAACCATCATTTGTTTTTAAGGTTACCAATTTTCATGGATTGAGGAAAAATTAATTTAAATGGATATTTGATTTTGTGATTTCCAAAAGTCTGCATAACAGCCAATAGAAAATTTATAGACGAAAACCATGAAATTGGTATCCTCAGATATTAATGAATACAGAGTAGTCCTAATTTCAATAGTGAGATATCATCAATCAATTTCAGTAAAATATTTCAAATGAAAACCATTAAAAAAATATTTATAATTCTATAGTCTCCATATTTTCCTAAAAGTTATTAACACTGAGTCTTTGTGGCTAAACAATTATGTTTAGATCTTTTCTAGAAGTATAGACAAATGTATATAAAAATAAACAAATTCAAAAACTCACCAAGATTCCATCCATCTGTATATTGAAGATCAGTCTGACCACATTGTTCTGTCTGTAAATAAGCAGCAATGTGAAGGTCATTCAGGAATGATGATGCTGCCCAGTCAGGCAGAACTTGTCCGTCTGGTATTCCATTGTCTGCATACCACTGGGTCTTAGAGAAACCTGAAAATAATGGAAATAAGTTTGCAAATCATACAAATTGATCATATATGACTTTGGATTAACATTTCACAAATATAAACCTTCATTTAGTTCCTGCCTTGACCCTTACATTTTCATTTAAACATATATCACTTATAAGTTCTTAAGGGGGTTACTCACTTTATACAAACTATATTTATACACAGTCTGAAATTTACAACAATAGCAGCGAATATTACAACTTCAAAAGTCCTCTTCAAAAAACAGATATTGAAAAAAAAGTTAATCAAAATAGTTTAAATGGTGTATCCATACCTGAGGTTTTGAATCCCTGATCCCAGCTACATATTCTTTTAGGTAACTTGGTGTTCTCAAAGATTGTAAAGGTGTTCTCAGGTGTATAGGAACTATATGTCTCATAGGAAAAATAGACAACCACATTTAACAGATAATAACCTTCTGTATGCAGATCCTCTATATTATATCTGAAATAAAGGTTTTATGTGAACATCAGAGATTTCAAAGTTATGTTGGACATTGGCAAAAGTATGGTTATTTTTGGACTGGTCCATTAATTTTCTGTTGCTTCTTGGACCAGGTGTAAACTATAAATTTTTTCAATAAAATAATTCTAAATTAATCTGTCAATAGACTTTTTTTTTTTATTTATTTTGTCTTATTGCATAGGTTACAAATGGTCTGACAGATGACAGTCCAAAAATAAAAACATTGATGTGTCTTGCATCATTTCTACCTACAATTAAGGTAGAAAAGTGAAAAAATTAAGCCTGGGTAACTGTCAGCATCCTCATCACCCTTTTAAAGAAGAATGATTAATTCTGATGAAAGTGCTGATTTTAACATTGATCCATGTAAACAAAAACATGACGAGCCACACACATAGATAAACAATATTTGGTCTGAAATTCATCTAGGGGGCAGTGAAAAAAATGGATTTTGTGTTATGTGAAAAAGATGAACATAGTGAACAATGGTTAAGTGAAATGGATAGAAGGAATAGAATTTTTAAATTTTTTTTCAGTCCAGTAACATTTTAGCTTATCCAGTTACTCCAACATTACTGGATCAAATGTCTAGTAAATGCCATCAGAACTAGGGAACCACTGCTGGAACATACAAGATATTTCAGACTGATCTTTTGTAAGCTAAGACTTATCACTGGGTTTGAACTTATATGTGCAACAGATAGGTGCAACATGTGCAGCAGGATTTACTTACCCTTTTGGAGCACCTAAAATTACCCCTGGTGTTTGGTGGGGTTCATGTTGTTCATAGACATAGGAAGATGTGGTATGAGTGCCAATGAGACAACTCTCCATACAAGTTACAGTTTATAAAAGTAAACCATTATAGGTCAAGGTACGGCCTTCAACACGGAGCATTGGCTCACACTGAACAGCAAGCTATAAAGGGCCCCAAAAATTACTAGTGTAAAACCATTCAAACTGGAAAACCAACGGTCTAATCTATATTAAAACGAAAAACAAGAAACAAGTATGAACTACATAAACAGACGACAACTACTGTACATCAGATTCCTGACTTAGGACAGGTGCAAACATTTGCAGTGGGATTAAACGTTTTTACATATAAATAAATAAGAAGAAATGGTATGAGTGCCAATGAGACAACTCTCCATCCAAGTCACAATAAGTTAAAAGTAAACAATCATAGGTCAAAGTACCGCCCTCAGTTTTCTAAATAGTGTTTTGTTTACTGTTGTTTGTCTTTTTGTTTCTTTTTTAGCCATGGTATTGTCAGTTAATGTTGGACTAATGAGATTGAATGTCCATTTGGTATCTTTAGCCTCTCTTCATAAGTAAGGCCATAATAAAACAAAGCCCTAGATTCTCATTCTACACACCATATCTATTTCTAGCAAAACAAATTTCTGTCTATTTTCTTTAATTTTGCTATAAAAGACACAAATGACATCTGTGTGCACAACACATGTATATGTGTCTGCAGTAATCTTCATCCAGTAGACTCTTGTCTAAAAGTGAAGAAAGCCAATATAAAAGGTTTGAGAGCATAAAAACCAAAAGGGGCGTAAATACCAAACACTAAATGCCCTTTAAAGTTTTCTACCCTCACTCCTAAATAGCCTTGGTTGTATTTCGCAAAATTTTTCAGTATTAGTGGTTTTCAATTGTCATAAATTTCTTATGTTTCATTTGGCTTTCCTACTGCTACTTATGAGTTTTATAGAGACGAAACATGTGTCTGGCGTACTAAATCAAAGGGATGATATCTTTGATGTTTTTACAACCATTGGATCCATGCCACTTGTTACAACCATATTGGTCCATGCAACTGCTGGTGGAAATTTTCTCCCAGAGAGTAACACCAGCATAGTGATGCAGCACTTATATATGCATAAAAATATAAAATACCTTGATACATTCATTTCCTGTAAATGAACTGTTTATGAAATGTTAAATAATTTGACACACAACTATTTTTTTATCCCAAAGACATAAATAGCCTACCAAATTATAAGCCTGGTATCTTTGATGAGTTATTATATATCAACCTGTTTTTCTAGCACTTTTCCTAAATCATTATATTACACACTTACTTGAGACGGACAATTCCTTGTAGATTGTAGTAATGATCTTCCCCTACAAAAAGAAAAGATTGAACATGAAATATGAAGTCACAACAAATATTTACTCGGTATATGGAATTATTTTTACACTTGATTTTTCAAAAAAGAAATTATCATTATTTTATGGAATATTCTGTTGTAAACATTTCTAAAGAAAATCTTGCTTGTTATTTCTTCACATATTTTCCGATTTTAACTTATTCTTAAAAAATATATTCATTATTTTTTATGTTTTATAATAATACATCTGGTTTTGTACAAATATGGTCATGGTAAACCCCTTTTCTTGAATAAGCCATTACATTAGAATAAAACATATGAACAACCGTTCTGGATTAGGAAGGACAACACTACCTCTAAATCTTTCTTATTTTTGATTATATTCTGCAACAATATTCAAGTTTTGAATACCTGTCTTTAAATGAATAGAACAAAATTGTCACAGGCTTATGCTTGAATGAAAATAACATATACCAACCTTTTATAATTCGAAAATATATAAGCAAACAGAAACAATAGTTATTTGTAAATGTTTTATTTGAATATTACAGCCAAACCTTTTTAAATCAAACCACTTCAGGACTTTAAATTCTAATTTGCCAGAAACCTTAGCCACATTGGTTTTGAAAATAATAGAATTTTCAGTGTATGTCTTGTATTTCAGTTTACAATACTCCTTATTACTATTTGGAAATCTGCCCCGGTTGCTCTGAGAATCTGCGCCGCTTGAAATTTTGACGTCATACAACAATCACTTTTTCATTTTTGCCTCAGATTTTTCTATTGTGACCTCAAACTTTGACAGGAACCTGTATGATGTCAAGGTATGGCGGACAAATAGCGATAAGGTGTATAGCAACCAACTTCTCTATATTTGCATGTTGGTTTTTAAGGACAAGAGAACCTAAATGTTTTCAATACTATGATTCTGAATGATTAAACTCCCTTTTGAGTGCCTGTCTTAAAGTTAACACCTGTCATAGGGTAAATTCTCCATGAATCAGATAAAATGCTTTGCTGAGCGCAGCCTGATACGACCGCAGAGGTCGAACCCTGAACAGTTGGAGCAAATTTTGACACAATATTCAAACTTGATACTGTCTGAATTTGGATTGTCATCAAATTTTCGACATAATCAAGGTTTCTGAGACAAAATAAATGTTGTCAAAGATCTTAAAAATCTATTCAAAAAAATTTAAATTGGAAAAAAAATTTCCCCCCCCCCCCCCCCCAACTTTTTGACCCCCCCCTGAAGCAATTACCCCAAAACTCAAGCCCAGCCTTTCCTTTGTAGTATGGAACCTTGTAGTACAATTTTAGAGAGATCAGTACACTTAAACACAAGTTATTGTCTGGAAACTAGAAAAATGCTTGTTTTGCCCCTTTTTTTGCCCCTAATTCCTGCATGTAAGCCTTCCCTTTGTGATATGGAACATAGTGGTACAATGTCAGAGAGATCCATACACTTACAGACAAGTAATTGTCCAGAAACTACAAAAATACTTATTTTTGGCCCCTTTTTGGCCTTTAATTCCTAAATGGTTGGTACAATAACCCCCAAAACCAATCCCAACCTTCCTTTTGTGGTATTGAACCTTCTTGTAAAATTTAATAGAGATGCATTCACTTTAACTAAAATTATTGTACGGAAACCAAATATATCTTCGGACGACGACGACAACATCATAGCATTATAAGAACCCCAAAAAATATTTACTACACTGAGATTTAGATAAATGCAGAGTTTGGTTTAGACAGGTTTCCAATATTTTTTCAAAAATTCTGTGTTATCATTATTTGTTTAAAAATATTTTGTCAAATATTTCAATAATTCAAATATCACATACCATATTCAAAATCATCGAGTGTTCTGTTGTATCTTGCTCTCTCTATACTGATACTGAGTCTGTTTGAACAGGGATCCAGTAGAAGGGAGAATTGGATTGACCTCTTAATCAAATCATTCTCTATACAACCTTCCACACCTGTACACATAGTAGTTATGTGGCCATTAACTTTGTCTGATAAAGTTGGCAATGCAAGGTTAGCAGCACAATCTGAAAAAAGAAAGGAATAGTTCATATTCTTTTTAACTATTTTGAAATCTGCATAACTTGAACCAAGTATTAACAACAATTACATGAACATTGACTCCATTCAGACGAAAGTTTTGCTATGTGGCATCAAACATTTTCTCTTAAGACATGGGAACATCTGGGATATTCAGTATTGACAGATAAACAAGAAGTTGCATGTGTTTTCACTCTACGTGTAACCCCATTTGCAATTCAAAGTATTGATTGAAAGAACAAAATTGCTGGAAAAGGCATTTTTCATATAGTACTATATACTCATACTTTTGAAGATTTGCCATAACATAAAAGTAGGTATAAAAATCAATGATTTATAAAAAAAACCTATTTTTTTCCATACTTCATTTGTCAATTGAACATGTTAATATGTGCAACAACTGTTCAAAATCTCATCAGGGTCCTACCTTTACTTTTGGAGACAAACAGACAGACAGACAAACAGACAGACAGAGAAAAAAAAATAAAAATCATTTAAAAAAATGTCTTAAAACAAGTACAATTTCAACCAAATGTAAATGAACAATCTTTCCTTTTTCAAAACGTGAAACGAAACTCGATACTTTATTTACTGGTGTAATGAATACCGAACATATGTTCAAATGTTAAACATGCAATATCATCATTATGACCTAGAATAGCAGGAATTCTGAAAGTATAATATAGCTAAACTGCATGGTTCACATCACAGTTCCAAAAGCTCAACATGATAAATTTACAAATGTTTGTGTTTAGTACCTGTCTGCTGTTGACTTCAATGCTTGCCAAAGAAGTGGAAAGTGGATCATGCCCAAAACTTGGTAAGTTTCCATATGTATAGTAAAAACTCTTATATGTGTCAACTAATTATTTTGTTAGTGTTCAGTTCAAATTCAATAAAAACAAAAATATTTAAAATTAAATGCAAAGGTTGAAACTCGACAGAAAGTAGGATAATCATAAGGGAAAACAGCAATCAAATAAAAACCAATAGACAGCAGCAGATAGACATACAGTCTTCAAAAATAAACAGCTGCCTTTACAATATTTCAAACTTTAAATCATGTCTATTTTAGAGGATCAGAAGGACCTTTTTGGAGAATTCAGAATTGAGATGCCTCATTCACAGAAATCGGCAATAGCCAGTTAAATCTTCAATTCAGGGACAGACGAATTTTTTCTAGGGAATTCAGGATCAGACATCCTATTAAAACACCCCACTCTAGTCTCTAAATTGTATATTCCAGTTTGATTTTTTTTCTATTATAATGAGTGTTAGAGTGTTGACATGTGAAAACTCAAGATTAATTACATACATTTAAGGTTACTTCAAAATAAATAAAATTTTAATTTGAACTTTTATTTTCAGAAAACAAGATATTTGACAACTTAGTGGATATGATGGTTGCCATTAAATCTGGATCTCAAATATCAGGTAAATAGTTAATTTCATTTATATTAGTCAACATCTCTAAGTTTATGTCTGCCACAAATATAGAAAGTAACTCATGACATACTCCACTGATTTGAAATTAAAAAAAAACTCTAAGTAATTCATTTGTTTTTCATGATTTTCATATAATATAGAGGGTGGTAAAAGGAGAAAAACGAAGCACGAGAAATAAAATCGTAAATATTAAGGAAAAAGGTACTAGAAGTTATTACTCAGTCGTTCTTAGAGATCATGCAGTCATTATTAATGGACATGAATACCCTGCAGTCACCTTTTAGCGTCCGCTAGTTGAATTTGAGTTGAAAAAATATTATTCATAGTAATTTGATGGACTTTATTACATACCATACATATACAATAGAATTGCAAAAGTAGAATGGTAACAATGTACATCAAGTTCTATTAGATTACACAAGTTTTACTTTTTAGTCAAATGCGGGACAAGCACGAGAAATTAAGAGTACCGACATGAAACACGGAAAATAAATAAGGGGAAACACGAAGCACGCACATCGAACCAAACACGAGAAAACGAGAAATAAAACATCAAAACACGAAAACACGTGAAATAAAAAGGCAGAAAACATTGCACGAAAATAACCCTTTACCACCCTCAATATAATTTCTCTAATTTACAACCATTTTATCTTTTTAGGGACAAGTAATGAAAAAGACAGACCCGCTTTTACAGCAACACTGAAAAGCCACTTAACTTTATCTAAAGATGCTACTATTAAATATGACACAGTAATTTTGAACCAAGGTAAAGGATATAGTCCTAAAACAGGAATATTTACAGCAACAAAGGCAGGGCTATATCTTATTTCTGCAACAGTCATGTCTAGTGGTGGTACTGCCTTAGGAGCTTCCATCAGTAAAAATGGAGCTAACCTCATGAACTTGTACGGCCCAAAGATCCATGGGGGAACTGAAACTGCCAATCCTGTGCTAGACCTTGAGAAAGGAGATCAAGTTTCAGTGAGAAGCCATGGTTCATATACAACCTATGGAAACAATCATTCCTATTTTTCAGCAGTTTATATCGCTTAGTTAGTAAAATGAAAATTACAAATAAATCAAAGTGATAACTTCTGTTTTTTGTTCTATTAGGTCTTTCCACTTTTCATGGAAAGACCTTTTATATTTGTCCTGATAATTTTTTTTCTGCGTCTGAGACATTGTTGTTTTATTTCAAGACACATCAAAAGGATTTTTGGCCAATGACATAAGGATTACGGTATCACCATTAACTCTACCTAGCTGAACACCTACTCTAGGATTTATCTCCCAACACTTTCTTTTTCTTGTTCTCTTTATTCTTTTGTAACCATACAGGAAATTAATTTTTTTGTTCCAAATTGTTTGGATGCTTCAGTCAAATTAGACAGAAGTGATCCAATGACATCTTACGTAGTTCTTGGACCATTAGGAGAAAAGTGAGGTCAAGGTCATGTTCTTAATTTTGAACTTCACATGTTATTTTTATTCAACAGAAACATTAGCCATAATTAAAATAAATTAGTTATATCAAAGTGTTTCTGTGATCTTCAATAAGAGTTTATCCCCTCATATATTTGAAATCAGTATAACTTCTTCACCATACATGTGAAAGATCAAGAGGTCAAGGTCTAAGGTCTATTTGATTATCAAGATTTTTATCTTTGCTATAACTTCATGCTGGTGATAAATCGATTATATCTTTTGCTATAGGTTGGAAGGTCAACCAGATGTGAGATTATTTAAACAGGAATTATTATTTTGGCACTTATTAAATGTAAAAGTACCAAGAAACCATATATTTCTATAATAACTAAGAAATTGTAAGCTTTCATTTGACACCAGAAGTGGCATTTTGTAGAAGTATCCAATTGTGTCCTCTTTATACACAAAAAATGCATAGAAACCATATATTTTCGGAATCAGTGAAAAAGTCATCTATCAGTTGACACCCAAAGATATTTTGATTCAGGAAGCAGTAATCATCTCCAGGAATTTAAAAGAAAAATAAAGAGCTCTGCCATGACACAGACCCATACCATACATTTGTTTGAGTTCTTCAAATATGTGGCATATATTTTCTTTTTCTATTTTAATTGCTTCTGTAAGTAATATATTAATTTGAAATTACGACGACAGACACATACAGATTATACCGTTAACAATATTTCAGAGTTTAACATTGCACAAATCAAAGCAGAATAGTCAAGAACGTTATAGTTGTCCAATGAAAAATTAGTATGAAAAAGTACAGGAAATATGTTTATCAAACTATTGACCAAGGTAATAGTCTTTGAAACTATTGACTGGCAAATAGTCTGTGGAATGAAATAACACAAATATTTAATTCTTTTTTATATAGAATAAAATGCTCCGCTGGGCGCAGCTTGATACGACCGCAGAGGTCGAACCCTGAACAGTTGGGGCAAGTATGGACACAACATTCAAGCTTGATACAGCACTGAATTTGGATTGTGATTAAATATTTGACACAGTATAGGTTTCTGACACAGAATGAATGTGGTCTAAGAACTTAAAAATTTTTAATTTCCCTATTCAAACCATATCATTATTATTTGCTTTTATATATAAATCAGAAATAACCAATTTAAAATGGAAAATTTTAAAGAAAAAAAAAGGAAAAAACTAGAGGCTCTCAAGAGCCTGTGTTGCTCACCTGTATTTACTGATGCTTTGGAAATCATGTAAAATAAGGTTAAAATCATAATTAATAGTATTAGATATTAGATATTATAATGATATCTAAGATAATAACAAAAAGATGCAAAATTTTATGTAAAATTAATAACTCAGGGGCAGCAACCCAACAACGGGTTGTCGGATTCGTCTGAAAATTTCAGGGCAGATAAATCTAAATCTGATGAACATTTTTGCCCCCTGTCAGATTTGCTCTAAATGCTTTAGTTTCAGAGATATAAACCAAAAACTGCATTTTACCCCTATGTTCTATTTTTAACCAAGTTGGTCATGATGGTTGGAAGGCGGGGTCATCGGACAATTTTTTTAAACTAAATACCCTAAAAATGATTATGGCCAAGTATGGTTAAATTTGTCTAAATAGTTTCAGAGAAGAAGATTTTTGTAAAAGATTACAAAAATTTATGAAAAATTGAAAAAAATTGACTATTAAGGGTAATAACTCCTTAAGGGGTCGACTGACCATTTTGGTCATGACAACTTATTTGTAGATCTTACCTTGCTGAACATTATTGCTGTTTACAGTTTATCTCTATCTATAATAATATTCAAGATAATAACCAAAAACTGCAAAATTTCCTTAAAATTATCATTCAGGGGCAGCAACCCAACAACAAGTTGTCAGATTTGTCTGAAAATTTCAGGGCAGATAGATCTTGACCTGATAATCAGTTTTATCCCTGTCAGATTTACTCTAAATGCTTTGGTTTCAGAGATATAAGCCAAAATCTACATTTTACCCCTATGTTCTATTTTTAACCAAGTTGGTCATGATGGTTGGAAGGCGGGGTCATCGGACAAATTTTTTAAACTAAATACCCTAAAAATGATTATGGCCAAGTATGGTTAAATTTGTCTCAGTAGTTTCAAAGAAGAAGATTTTTGTAAAAGATTACAAAAATTTATGAAAAATTGAAAAAAATTGACTATAATTTATAAAGGGCAATAACTCCTAAAGGGGTCAACTGACAATTTTGGTCATCACAACTTATTTGAAGATCTTACCTTGCTGAACATTATTGCTGTTTACAGTTTATCTCTATCTATAATAATATTCAAGATAATAACCAAAAACTGCAAAATTTCCTTAAAATTACCAATTCAGGGGCAGCAACCCAACAACAAGTTGTCAGATTTGTCTGAAAATTTCAGGGCAGATAGATCTTGACCTGATAATCAGTTTAACCCTGTCAGATTTACTCTAAATGCTTTGGTTTCAGAGATATAAGCCAAAATCTACATTTTACCCCTATGTTCTATTTTTAGCCATGGCAGCCATCTTGGTTGGTTCCTAGGGTCATCGGACACATTTTTTAAATTAAATACCCTAATGATGATTGTGGCCAAGTTTGGTTAAATTTGGCCCAGTGGTTTCAGAGGAGAAGATTTTTGTAAAAAGCTAACGACGACGGACGACGACAACGCCACCACCGGACGCCAAGTGATGAGAAAAGCTCACTTGGCCCTTCGGGCCAGGTGAGCTAAAAAGGAAAAATAATCCCTCCCCCAAATTTTTTGAACCCCTTATGATTCATCATCCCCAAACTCAATCCCAGCCTTTCCTTTGTGGTATGGTACCTTGCAGTACAATTTCAGAGAGATCCATACACTTGAACACAAGTTATTGTCTGGAAACTAGAAAAATGCTTGTTTTTAGGTCCCTTTTTGGCCCCAAATTCCTAAACGTTTAGGGCAATTACCCCCAAACTCAAACCCAGCTTTCCCTTTGTGATATGGAACCTTGTAGTACAATTTCATAAAGATCCATACACGTACACAGAAGTTATTGTCCTGAAACTAGAAAAATGCTTGTTTTTTGCCCCTAATTCCTAATATTTTGAGGCAATTACCCCCAACATCAATCCCAGCATTCCCTTTGTGATATGGAACCTTGTGGTACAATGTCAGAGAGATCCATACACTAACACACAAGTTATGTCTGGAAGTTACAAAAATGCTTATTTTGGCTCCTTTTTGGCCCCTAATTCCTTAACTGTTGGTACCATAACCCCCAAAATCAATCCCAACCATCCTTTTGTGGTATTGAACCTTATGGTAAAATTTCATAGAGATCCATTCACTTAAACTAAAGTTAGAATGCAAAAAACCAATGTGTCTTCGGACGACGACGACGACGCCAACGTCATACCAATATACGACTGCAAAATGTTTTTGCGGTCGTATAAAAAACATACTGAGGTATAATAATTACAAATAACACAAGAGTCAACTCTCCAAATATAACTGTGAGCTTCACTATTTTTTTTTAAACATTCAACATACATAGTTGCCAACTCACATGATATTCGCGTGTAATGCATGCTTTTTCAATGGTTTACACGCGAAGATTTTGTCACATTGCATGTACACGCTTTTCAACACTTTACATGCCATTACACGCTTTTTCGTTATTTTAAATTTTTGGTCGTTAGTGATATAGCGATTCTCAGGTTTTTTTCATAATTAGACGATAAATACAGAAAATTTGGAAGTATTTGTTGAGTCACCATTGTTTATTTTCATGGACATACAACAAAAGCCCTTCTAGTAAGTTTGTAAGTAGTTTCAAGGTTTTGTGTCTTTCTTTCATTCGAATTCACTTTGGGGAAATGTCCAACAGAATGAGGTCGCCTTCTGGACCTGTACCGACGTCTAAAGAACCGAGTGCTAAGCGAAAAAGATATGTATGTACTTACCAAAAAAGCTGAACTTGAGAGTCCGAGTTTAAATGGATCAAAAAAGTGATCGATATTTATTTTCCTAATCAAAGGGCAATAAAGGGATTATCATTTTCAAAGTATTATGCATCTTCAATTGATAAAGCATTCAATGGTATTCAAATTATAAAATTATTTTTCTTCTTCAGTTTCTAACCTAGCCAACAGATTTCTACAGGACATAGGGGATGGAAATATCACAGAACTGTTGGATCAGTTCTCAGAGTAACAGATGTCTTCTCCTGATGAACTACCCAGGTTTGATCAGGAAATAGCAACATTCTGCCAAATTATTTTTGGGGAGCAAAGGCAGACACAGATGACATTTTTAATGACAAAAAAAACGTTATGACATTCTTTCAAAGCTTGCTAAAGCTATTTTAGTTCTGCCAAAAAGCAATTCTGACTGTGAGAGAGCATTTTCAATTATAAAGAAGATTAACACTGAATTCAGATCAGAAGTCAACAATGATATATTGTGTGCCTTGTTATCATGTAAATGTAACCAAACTGGCAGTTGAATTGAATATGTACCTAGTTATGTTGTTTTGAAAGCAGCAAAACAGGCCACTGTTGAATGCAATAAAAGTTTACAGTAGAATATTGTTTTTTTATATTAACACATTTGTATAATGTTCATATTAAAAAGTCCGCATCTACGTCACGCTTTTTCACACGCTTTTTGACATGCCATATCATGTCATGACATGATTTGTCATTGTCAGAGGTTGGCAACTATGAACATATGACTTTGAAGACCTGTCTTCTGATATTTAGATTAAGTTCTCCCTTTTGAGATAAAAAATCTCTCAATTTTTCAATCTGTTACAATTTTTTTTTCTATTCTTGATGGTTTGTCTTGTAAAAATTACAATTTATTGTCAAAAGACTACTTAACCTTATAAAAAGTACCAAGGTCACCTGACATATTCTTTTAGTAATTTTATGTTGTGGTTCAATTAAATGTTCATTTTAAGAACTTTTTGAACATTACTTCCATTACTTCAAAATACCATAAAATGTCTATAAAAGGTTCTACTTCATATTTCGCATGATTTTATTCCTCAGAGGGAGATCTGAAACTTTATAGGTTTTAAAAGTTGACGATATGAAATAAGATACTGTAAATTCAGAAATTATTGCGATGCTTTTCTTATTGCGAAAAATGCGACAGGGTTATAATTGCAATAATTTAAACACGCTAAGGGAATTAAACTCGATTTTTCTCAATATCGCAATTATTAAAATCGCATTTTTGTCTAAAATGACAAAATCGCAATAATAAATGCTCGCAACAATTTCTGAATTTACAGTAAACAATTGTTTTATACCTTGTGTCCATGATTGATTGTTATACAGGGCACCAGTTTGATTACACATTTCATCCTGCATGAATGGTGCTAGGTTGGTATCTTCCATAAACTGTAGTAACAAGTTTGGTGTCAAAGGATCAGTAGGTCTGTGGTTTCTGTTTAACAAATACGTGTTCAGTGAAAAACCTGAAATATTTTTCTAAAATAATACACTTTTTCAAATTATCAAAGTGATATTATCAAAAGTTTATGAAAATTAACAATCTTATATATTGATAAAGAACCTTTAGGGGGCAAGCACACATACCCAAATGCTCCTCATATAAAGAGAAGAGCTTATATTGACCTAATAGCATAGTTTTTTCTGTTTACTTTTCTGTATGATTCTTTCCTGTTATGATTTCAGTCAGTAATTTTGCCCAACAAAAATATTTTTTTAATTAACTACGACCTTGACTTATGACTAAGTGACTTCAAAATGAATAGGGATCCTCATCTTATTAGATGTGACCACATATCAAAATATGGTTGTATTCTGAAATCAAATATTTGATTTTGTATCTGGATATCAAATTCCTGCATGCTTTTCAGTCTATTTTTAGTTACTTTAAGCTTGACCTTAGAGGCAAGGACCTCAAAATCACCAGGATACTTCCTCTTGTCATATGTGAATATAGATCAGCCTTGGAAGCAGAGACCTCAAAATGAATAGGCTTTTTTCTCTCATTATATGTAATCATATTTCCAAGATAAGTTGCAATTAGATATAAAGTTTTTGACTTATCATCTGGAATCCAAAATAGTATTTGGATGGACTTGAAAAGAACTTATACCCAAGCTACTTATCATTTTCTGAAAATTAGTCCCTTCTTTTTTTGGCATTGAAGGTAAAATCACAAAAATTTGAACTATACAATAAATCACTAAACAGTAGCAGGTTTAATATAATCTTAATTCAATCAACAAAATTGACAACTATTTTTTCAAACATTTAAGAATTTCAAAGCAAAATCATGAAAGTATTATAAAAAAAAATGCAAAGACCTTTATAATACTGGAACCCTGAAATGGCTTTTCAATACATTAATGCCTGAAACAACAGAAACTTATTTCTGTATTACTGTAAATAAGGATATGTTCATAACAATTCCTTATAGGTAAAAAGATAGGTTGAACAGATATAATTTTAGCAATGTCAAGAAAAAAAAGATGAAACAAAAAAGTAAACAAGGGATCTCTGAGCTATATCAAAAATATCATAAAATGAGTAATTTCTAAGTTATTCCAAGTTAACTGATAAATGTTGATGATATACATATATAAATACTAACCAGATATATGGAAGTCTGAGCTCCAATCACATTGCTTCTTAGATAGAAGGACCTTGTCCATTAGTATGTTAGCTGCTTCAACAGGTCCAGCAGATTCATAAGATAATGTCAGATTCATAGAAACCAAGAACTGTCTGGACTCATATAGATTCTCTATGGCAAAGCTGTAGGAAAAGTAGTTATTTTATTGTATATTTTCACTTGTGTTTATCACTGTCTATCAAGAAAGTATCATTAACACAAGTGCTTCTTTTTCTATACAGATACTGATTTTTTTCTTTTTTATTTATTTGATTCTTTATTTCACTAGTCAAGATTAATTGGAGGGTTAACTGCTGAGGCAAAACTAGTCCAACTCTGCCACATAAATACATACCTGCCAACCTCTGAAACCTTCAAAGAGGGAGATCTCCCCCTCAGCTATGACAGCTGAGGGGGAGATTTGGCGCGAACGACATTTTCAAGTTAAATATATGACCTGTTTATGTATTCATCAACAAACCATCAAAAAGAGTTAATAAATATACTTTATTTCTTCAATTCATGGTTATAATCTATACAAGGTGGGGGTTTATTTGACCTTTTTCAGTACCTCTGAGTCTCGTAACTCATAACATTCCATATTTTGATTTTGATGTGAGTCTCGCACTAAGCATGCTTTCAAACATCGTACAGACTACCAGAAGAAATCGAAAAGTTGATTGAACATGATGTGCAAAAAGATTCATTACCCAGTGAACTTGGTCATAAATATTGAAAATCTTTCATTCAAAATTATCTGCTTGACATTTTTATTTGCAGTTATCTATTTCTTCCTTTTATACTGTCGCTTGGTCCAGACAAAGACCTCTATCTTGTTGGAGTTGGCAGAAATGAATTGCGATTACTTATGTATCGAACATAAAAACTACTGATCAAAGTTTTCAAATGACGGCCTGTTTATTTATTTCTATTGAAAGTAATGAAAAAGCCAGAGAATTATGAACACGGGTTATTCCAGGTAAAAATATCGAAAGTGGGAGATTCTATACTCCCGCGTGGGAGAGAACCAGCAAATTTGGTCGTTTGCACGTGAGACTTCCGCTCAAAACGGGAGGGTTGGCAGGTATGTAAATAGATCTCAAATCATGAGCCTCATAAATGAATGCCTTTAATTATATCTGTGTGTTTGTCCTATAGGGAAATTGGTTTGATTGACCATTCCTAAGTAGTGTACCAAATTTATTTATAAATTTTTAAGACTCGTAACAATTTAGAGCTTAGTATGCTTTTAAAAACTTGTTTATTATTGATGATCCTTTGTTGGCCCCTTGATGTCTTTTGATTTTACGTGATTACTTAAACTCACAACTTGAAGTCTACTGCTACTAATAAAACAAATTACAAATAGGATTTCAAATCAACTAATAATTTTAAAATTATACAACAGTAGGGTCTTTTGGTAGAAATATTGCATGGAACTTTTTGATAAATTAAAATAAGTTGGTACTTACTCCATCGTTAACAAACCAAACAGGTCCATACTTTGTACAACTCCTGTAAATTGAGAAAGACATTGTTAGTATGAGTCAGATATAAATGCAAATTCATAATATCACAAATTTTAAAGAACTTGTGTTAATATAAAGATGAAAGTACAAGTTTACTCCAAGGGAAGAAAAAGATTGGAAACAACCATTTCTTTGGAAAGAATATGGCTATGATAAACCAAAAACTTATTTTCCTCTTCCAATTGATTTTCGCATTTTGGCATATTTCTTGAGTTAACAGATTTTCAGTGTAAATATATCACCATAAAAAGCCTGAATTTCTCAATTTAAATTTGAATTTAAATTTTCAACATCAACATGTACTATAACAAAATGATTTGAATATCTACTTTTAATAACCCCCCCCCCCCCTAAAAAAAAATAAAAACAAATATCTCATTTGAATAGAATTATTGAAATCTTAGTGTCAAATGAACTGACTTCTAACTAGACCTTACCCCATTGGTAGTCATGGAAGGGAACTTTGAACTCCAGTTTTTCAATCCTGACAGACAGCTCAAAGTTACAAGAGTCAATTTCAAGCTCTGTTTCCATTGGTGTACCCAGCAAACTAACTTCATGACAACACCTGATAAAGCTACAAGTGGCAGGAATGTAGCACTTCATTGTATTTGACGGTAAATTCTCCAAATTAGAAGCTGAGCATTCTGAAATAAAGATAGTATGTATATCATTGAACCTATCAAACTTTTAACATTTAAGCCAATCTACTGCAGAATAGGGTTATTATCAGACAACTATACAATCTTGAAGATGAGCTTGTCAAGTTGACATTTCAACCCCCATGTATTTTTGTACAGCTATTCTAAGTACATTTCTTTTCCATGACAAAGGTTGGAGGTTTTCTCTGGGCACTTCATATTCCTTCACCAATAAAAACTGACCCCCACAAAATTGCCAATAGTGCTAAAAGTGGTATTAAGCACCAATCAATCAATCTAAGTACATTTGGATTACCAAACTATGCTAACACAGAGATATGTCATTCATTCACAAACTTTAACAATCATTGAAGTGCACGCTCAAAGTCTTTATTCTGCCACTTATTGCAGTGGAGATAAAAACACTTCATGTTATGCATAAAACCTACCATCTTTCCATCCATTAATAGCTCCTGTGTACGGTGAATTGTATCCCTGACAAGGTGTGGCTGACTGGTAAGGTCCAACATATAGAGCCTCAGTCAGTCTGGCTATGTCTACAGGGAACAGCTGGGCATCAGATGTAATGTTCATCTCATTTCTCCATCCAGACTCAGAAAAATCTGTAAAATATCAGTTTTATTTCCAAATATTTAGGTCACATTTCTTGTAAATTTTCATTTTTTTTTCTACATCAAGAAATATTTTGAATGGCTTTAAGTCTTCTTAATTCCTTTTATCTTCTGACAAGCATAAATAATTATAGCAAATACTAGTACAATATGTACCATGATTGCTTCTTTAAATTTAAATTTGTAAAGCTGCATGGAAACTTCTGTATCAATATTTTTCCTGGCAATATGAACTGAATTTTTTTCATAATTAATGCACACATAAGCAAAATATTATATTTCTTGACTTTTTATATTTTCCGAAATTTTTCAAAATTTAAACATGTCAAAAATAAAATATATAAGACTTAAAAACATATTGGGTAGACACCTGTGAAGATGTTGACCTCTAGTTTTTTAGTGTCTTTATTAAAGTTTCAAATTCATCGACCTATTTTCCACGTCTCATTTTATTCATATAAATCAGATAAAGACAAAAACTGACAATTCATAGATAACAATTGTTGGTTTCTTAACATCCAGTGGCAAATATTTTATGAATGTTCAAGAAGAAAAAATCAGATCATAGAAATCAGAGTACTGTAAATTCAGAAATTATTGCGAGGTTTTTATTATTGCGATTAATGCGACTTGTTGAGCATCACAATAATAAGAACTTGCATTCTGATATCTGATGCATATATCTGTATGCAGATTTTCCTGAATTAGCAATAATTAATCTCGCATTTATGTCCATTTTTCAAAAATCCCTATAACAAATGCATGCAATAATTTTTGAATTTACAGTATTATTAACTTACTAGGATCTCTGAAGCCTGTTTTCCACTGACAAGGCTTTTTATACAAGACGGAACTATGGAAAATCATTGATTCTAATTCACATGGTGCTGATGACTCATAGCAGATACTGACATTCATGTCAACAAGGTACTTGAATTCGTTGGTCAGATCGTATATCACATAACTGAAATATTGGTTGATAATATAAAGTATGGCAAGTTACAATATTATAATATATCTTAAAATGAAATTACTATTGTCACAAGAAAAGAAATTAAACAGCTGTGTCAAGAGCGCATGATATATTGAAGTTGTAATGAGAATAAATTATAATATTAAGAAGGCATCTAATAAGAAGTTTGTAAATTGGCTCTGTAGAAAAAATTGCATGGGGATAGGAGGGCAATTAAAATGCATCAAATATGACTGTTAAAAGACCCATTACTCTGGAAATACAAACTAGAAATGTTCAAAATCAAAAGTGAGTCTACATTCACTGTTCCCAACAACAGAGTAAAGTTTGTAGTAATTTGATCCAAGTATAATAGAGCTAGTGCATGATATGTAAAGAATTGTTGTTTTATTAAATCTGATGGTTAAGGTCCAATAACTCTAGAATGATGAATAAGAAAAATGAACAGTATCTTACTTTCACAAACTCCAACAACTAAGTAAAGTTTCCTATAAATCAATCCAACCATACTCAAGTTATGGTTCAAAATATGAAAACAATTACTTAAGTCTGATATTTAAAGTCCCATAACTCTGGAATGACAAACAAGAAATTTTCCAAATTAAAAGGGAGCTTCTTTTTGTCAATCTCAACAATAGAGTAAAGTTTTGAGGAAAACAATCCAAGCATACAGGTGTAAGTGTAAAAAATTGCCTTAAATCTAAGGGGTAAATTCCTGTAACTCTGGAACAATACAACTAAAAATTTTCAAAAAAGAAAGGGAGCTTTCTTCACACAATCCTAATGTTGTGTTAAAATTTTATGAAGATTGGTAAAAGCAAATTTGAGTTATCATACAAAATGTTGATGGACAGACAGACAAATATACACCAAAATACATTTATGACGGAAATATAGTAATGGTGAATAATAAACAAATAAAAGTAAAACCAAATGTTTATTAAAAATATTTATTTGCATGAAAAGGTTTGATTAAAATATTTCTCTTTTTTAACAGTTGCAGTATTTCATTTGAAGTCTGTTTATATATTATTTCAGTCATTTTGATATAGAAATCCAAAAATCACTTTGGTTTTAAGAGATTATTTCTCTTTGAATTTTTGTTCATATTATGATACTCACTCTACTCGTACAACATTTTCCATGTAGAACTTCTGTAAACTTCCTGTAATGGATTACAACATTCTATAGACCATACTTGTTCAATTGAGATTAATTAGTACATTCATTTTTTACTTGAAACACTTCAATGTCCCCTTTTGCATTAAAGTAAAGAATTTTTAGCATTAATTAATCTATTTTTTCAAATCTCCATCCTAGAAGAACCATTTTCTGAGCCTATCTAATTAATTCATTGTTCAACTTAAATCTGCATGCTTGAAATTTTAGTCATTAGATTTTAAGCAAACAAGTGAGAGTTTTAGCTAGCTATTAACCAGGTTTAATCCACCATTTTCTACATAAGGAAATGCCTGTACCAAGTAAGGAATATGACAGTTGTTTTCCATTCTTTTGATGTGTTTGAGCTTTTGATTTTGCCATTTGTTGAGGGACTTTCTGTTTTGAATTTTCCTTGAAGTTCGGTATTTTTATTATTTTACCTTTTATCTATCAACCTTAAATTAAATTACTTCTGCTAAATATCTTTGTTCGTTTACATAAGTTTACAAATTAAATTCATCTTAGGTTTCCATTCAAGTTCTTTTATATCCATCTCGATACAACTAATTTAACTTACCAAAGTCAAAGTCAAACAAACTTCTATTGTACTCGAGATAATCCATGGTTAGAGACAAACTTTGGTCACATGGGTTCAGAAGAAGGTGCACATCTATGTTACGGTGAAGTTCCTCTGTGTACAAACAACACTTAACACCAGTACAACTACTGGTAACTTGGCAGGTTACATTGTCATGGAGCATTGGCTTGTCAATGGTCAAAGGACAACCTGTAAAAACATTTTCAAAACAAGATATAGTTTTAAAACATTAATTGTGTTGTTAAACTTTGTTAAAAAGTCAAAAATGTCAAAATGTGATGTTGGTCATAACAGAAAATTAACGGTTAAACTGCTATTGAAAGAAAATTGATTAATATTCAGTGGATTTATTCATTTTCATTGATATCACTTTTCATTATCTGAGAAAATTTGTAACTTTGTTGTTTCCTTGCTTGAAGAAATACACATATTTTGTTATTATGATGGGAGCTAATGAGTATTTTGTCGTGTATTCTAATTTGTGATTATAAACTTTTCAAGAAATCCAGATATATTGCATTCCCATGAATATCAAAGAATTCACATTAACAGAGTTTGATAAAAACGTATAGTATTTTATTTTTACAAAAGCTTATTATTCAAAATTATTGTTTCATACCATTCCTTAATTTCAGAACAATGGTGTCAGTATTTCTGAATCAAGAAGGCAATAAGATTCATTTTGAGAATTTTGTAGGTTTAAATTACTGTTCTTCATCTTAAGGTTATTACCTCCTGATTGCCAGCCTGGTGATGCAATGGTACACTGTGGTTCCTTCATGTACTTACCTCCTGATTGCCAGCCTGGTGATGCAATGATACACTGTGGTTCCTTCATGTACTTGGCTATCTTCATATCACTCATGAGGAGAGAAGCAGCATACTCTGGCAGTTCATCTGATGTACCTAATCCTTTACTAGCCTTCCAATCTGTCACTGAAAATCCTGGAAATACAATTTTCATAAAAAGATAATGACACAAGAGATAGTGAACCAGTACAACACAACTTAACCAAAATTCTATATCAAAAGGTCATCATATGACCTTCAATGTGGGGCAAGTATCCAAAGCATTTATGCTGTAGCACAGTGTTACTTGCAGAGGTTTAGCTAGCTATTAAACCAGGTTTAATCCACAATTTTCTACAAAAGGAAATGTCTGTACCAAGTCAGGAATATGACAGTTGTTTGCCATTCGTTAGATGTGTTTGAGCTTTTGATTTTGCCATTTTATAAAGGACTTTCTGTTTTGAATTTCCCTTGGGGTTCAGTATTTTTGTTATTTTACTTTTTTGCATACTGACTGCGGTACATTGTATATAGTAAACCTACTTACTTTGCAGATAAATTTTTTCATGTTTAGTCATTCCTAGTGGCTTTTTGATAATATATTTTCCAGATTTTATAACTGTTTAAATGAAAATCTAAATTTGATAAATTTCGTGACAAATATAATTGCATTATTTTTGCACTTGTGAAAATGAATAGCTTCCAGAAATAAGTTCGTTTTCATTAACTTTCAAACTACAAGCTGGTTAAGCTTTAGACTACTTGCAACCATTCATTGAAGAAGTGAATCAATAGGTGAAATAAATATGACATTTGTACAATATTTCCCTATAGCAGTCAACAAGAAAAAGTAAATCAACAAAAATTAATGTATTTTTATCATTAAAATTCCAAAATTTGCACTTAAGTCACTTTCAGATTTTAAAAAAGAACTCAGCCCATTCAACTTTACCCGCTATAAATTTATATATTACCTGGAATGGCAAACTGGCCAGTAGATGTACATGTAGGTTTGTCTAACTTGAGACTACTAGCTACTACTCTCTGTACAGCACAATCAGCATTGGCCTCTAAACATACACTCAGTGTTACAGTCAGCAAGTATGACCCATCTATTGGTAATTCCTCTATCTGGTAGCTGAAATGTACACAATTTTAATATGTATCCACACTCTTCTAATTCCTTTTTTTAGTATCATATTCTACTATGTATTTCAAACAGCCCATACAACTCTTTAAGTATAAATGTGAAAGTAATTTTTTCTTCATTGCTGTTATATGAAAAACTCTCCCCCCTCATTAGAATGTCACATCTTTAAACATATATCTTCATCAAGCATGGTGTAACATTCCCATTCAACAAACAATCTAATAGCATTAGAAACCCATACTTTCTTAATAAAATTAAAGATTTCATGTTATGATAAAGCTTTCTCTTTTGTGTTCATGTTGTAAATGTTTGTTGCAGTTTCATTTCTTTTAGCAAAATATGATATTTTTACCAAAAAAAGTTAACTTACTCCATTTTGAAGACACCATTTATGTAGAACTTATCTTGTGTACCTGAAATGTATCAAGAAACATCGTTTATATATACAGGAGATATCATCTGTTTACTTAACTGAAAAAGAAACTGCAATTAAAGGAATTATAGCATAATTAATATAGAAACTGATCTCTATAAATAGCTTGTGTGGCAAAGTTTGTAAGTAGGGATAGATAGTTTTATAATAAAATACACATTTGAAATCCTGATTAACTGAAAAAATTCTGCCTTTCTCTTTTTGCTTATTCATTTGCATATCTTTTTATCATTTAATTTTTCAATTATTCATCAATCCTATTTCTAACAGTCATTTGAACTCACCAAACTTGTAAGTCAAGAGATTCTGTTCATATTCCAGCCCTTCAATGGCGACAGTCAATTTGTATTTACAAGCATCAACAGATATTTTGTACAAGAAGGACCTTCCAATGACAGAGGCATCTACACAACACTGGAACCCTGTACAATCTGGTAACGTATAACAGGTTGTCTCTGTTGGTTTAATATATTCCAGTGTCAAGGACTGAGTAGTACAACCTATTAACAATATAAAGCAGAATTTACAATCAACAGTCTCACTGTATTCATTTACTGTTTCATATTCTAAAGGATTATGGATGATTTCTGTGATCATATACAGAAGTGAAAATAAAGTTACCATATTGGATTGATATCCATTATTTAAAAGGTAGTTGACCAATCACAACATTTTGGTGTGCCCTTAGTGGCTGAAATGGAGAATTTAACATTTCACTAAATTTCCCTCTCTCGATTTGATTATTAAGATTTTTACTTTTTTTTCTAAGACTTTTAATATGTGTGAAAAAAAACCTTAAGAAATAAAGAAATGTAATTTTTATTTGTCTACATAAAAAAAAATTTGCATAAAGAAATATTTAGTAACCTTAATATTTGATGAGATTAAATTGGTAGGTACATACAATATCAAAAATAAGGTTTAACTTGTAAATGCATTAAAATTTTGTACTATGTCAGTTCAAAATCCTTTCTTTTAACAGCCATCTTTGCTAAATTTGTTTCAATATTAATGTAAAATGTTAGTAGACACTACAAATTTTTAAAACAAAATGCCTTTCCTGACAGGGGATCAAAAATAAAAAATTAAATAAAAACCTTTTACCTTTCATCCATCCGTCGTAAGTCGTACCAAATGGTGAAGTCAATCTGTTACAAGACTGCTCCAGTAGATACTGTGACACACTGGCTGTGTTCAAAACCTGCTGTACAAAATAGCTAGGTAGTGTGGTAACTTCAGTTAAATGATAAGTATGTATCATTGCTTCCAAGGAGAACCCTAAAAAAATAACAATGGAATTAATTGCACACGATTAACCTTATGATATCACAAGGTTGGTGACTTTCTACATGGACTTTATTTCCTCTAACAATAATGATTGTGCAACATGATACTACCACATTATGTCAAACAGGACACTTAAACATTTGTAAAACCAACTGTGGACACAGAATTGTGATTAACACAAATATGGTTAAAAATTGGGCTTATAAATAGACAATAATGATGCTTTAGACACTTTCATTTAGTGGTGGTATAAAAATGACTTCCAAATCAATGAAAAAAAAATGTTACTGCAATGAGTTATGTCCTTTTGTTGAATATTTCTTAAAAATATTTCAGTTGAACTTAATATTCATTTTTTATTATTTTATAATCCTATCACATATTTCCTGTATACTGAAAAATCCTTATAAACTTATAAATATTACCATTTCTTAGCATTAGTGATATAAATCAATCCAAAATGCATGATTACATTGCAAACTAAAGCTTATCATTCTAGCTCACTGATTTTTCTTTCCCATTGTAAACCTTCCTCATACAATATATACCATACAGATCTTAAATTGATTGTCTGATTCTTAATCTAATCAAGAGCTTCTTCTAAATCATCATTGAAATTGGTCGTCAACAGAACTTCATCAAAATTTCATATTCCATCTGAGATTCAGTTTCAATGATAGAAATTATTTTGTTTTTATTCATAATAAATCAAAAAGAGGATTTACCACATGCAAGAAACCTGGTTAACACATGAATGGGTTAGGCTGTAAAGCATATTTTTTCTGCATACCTGTTACAACAAAGTCACTGGAGAAATCACAAGTTTTCTTGGGCAGTAAAGTGTTGACAAATATGTTCACAGGTCCAACTTCACATGCCCCTGACGACTCAAAACACACACTCAAGTTCATGTTTACTAAGTACATGTTCTCACTCAGTAAGTTATTGATGGTGAAGCTAAAATGTATAAAAAATCAAATATAAATTTCATATATTTTCACCCAAAGCCAATAATTTTGTATTGATGAAATCATTTTGTCAAAGGATTACATGTTAATTAATAGTATGATGATGACATTGCATAGTGAAAATGACGATCTCAGTTTAAATTTTGCTGGTTAAAATGTCATAAACTAACAAAAAAGTTAGCACATACAGTTTACATGACCTATTCAAAATCAGGTAATTATGCATTCACAAATTGGAAAATAATTACAAAACAGTGATAAAAAAAGACAACTTACTCTATTCTAACAATTCCTCTAAGCCAAACTTGCCACAAATCTCCTAAAATATAATTTAAACATGAAGAGCATATCAATACCATATCATAACCAAACACTTACAATTTTAATATTCTATTAATATAACATAAGCACATTCCTATTTTTCATGATTTCAGTATCACAGAGGTACACATAACATGACAGTATTTGGCTGCATTTTCTAGATAAAAAATCAGTTTGTAGGTCTAATTGTTCATATCATTTACTTCAGGTCTAGCTAAACTAACTGCAAGTTTAGATATCAGACTTTGTAAATCTAATTTTCCAAGACTATACTTCATAAAATTTCATCAATTACAATGATCCGACTTACATAACAATGATATGGCAATCGTTACAAACAAATAAAGATGTAATGGATTCAAAACAAAACAAATACAAATTTATTTAGAAGGTAATACTTATTTGATTAACAGTAGCTGGTGAAAATTGATCCTCTCCTAAAAGAGGATCCCTTAATTATGTAACTGTTTAAGTCATTCCCAGTCAGTAGTATATAAATAACACATAGCTGAGAGGGTGATAGATCAGATTGTTACCCCGAGAGAAACATTGTCAACTGAGGTGAAGCCAAGGTTGACAAAGTCTTTTCGAGGGGTAACAATCTGCTCTATCACCCCCTCAAATATGTGTTATTTAATTTATTATACTGAATGTTCTGTTATTACTGTCGATTAAATTTCAAATTCAAAGTTATAAACTATGACGTCTTGTACATAACAACCATCCGTATTTAATAAACCGCACACTTGATCAAGAGTCTCCATGAAGGGTAATAGAGTAAATTAACACTCTCGTATTAGCCAATCAAAATATGGCATTTTAATGTGATGTATTATTAAAAAATAATTGGTGTAGTCCGTAACTTTGGCATTCTTCCTGTATTTAGTCATTTTGCTCTACATTTCTTACCATATTGTTTTTCCAGAAGTCCCACATTGAAGTTCATTTTTTCTATCTGCACCATCATACGAGCATGACAAGGATCGATATCTACAGCAGCATGGAAACTCCTGCCAAGTCTTGGTGAGAAAATACTACAGTCTATAGCAGTACAATGTGGCTGAAGAGTACAATTTGCTGCAGGAGAAATGTCTGGTAACTCTACCATGCCCAATTCACATTCTGAAATTATGAAAAAATATAATGGATTTCAACATATTTTTCATTTCACTGTTAAAATATAATTGCTTATAATGTATAACATTAAATATGAAGACTTTTATAAAATAATCAAACAATTCATAGTGTAAACAAAGGTATGACCTAAAACTTTAATCGTGTAAAAAGCAATGATGAATCTAGATATCTAGAGCGTAAAAATCTGTCTGAAGCACTCTTAAATCCTTTATGAAAGCTTCTCCATCATACAATCAAATTTCCAAGAGGGCATGAACAGTGACCTATTTCACTCTCTTTTTATTAAACATTAAAAAGACTTCTAACAAATAGCAACTTCCACAACTTGACCATTGTATACACAAGTGGAGCAAATAGTGTGAAACAAAAGCCTGTTCTCTTGATAAATTTAAAATCTTCTAATCTATTTGTTCAGGGGACATAACTCTGATATAGTATGTGATATTCCTATGGAAACATATGTGTATGCACTTACCATCATTCCAGCCATTACTACTGACATTAACTACAGTATAACCAGTAGATTCATAGAACTTGACTATGTCAAGGACTTCTTCAAGGTCATCTAAGGCATCACTAACCAGTGGTGTGGCATCTGTATATCCAGTGTCATTAAGCCAGCTGATATAACTAAATCCTGAAAAATACAGATAAAACCAATTAGTTTCTTTTTCACATCAGGCATACAAGATGAGGTATATTGAATAAATACTAATGAAAAAAGGTATAAATAGTACTGTCAAATGCTCCTTCTGTTCATCTTGACAACTTTCCATCTATTTTCCCTTTATTTTGACATTCCATTACAAGAACTGGATTATTTTGAGTCCATTTTTTAAAGGAGTAATTGATCAACAATATAGATTTCTAAATTATTCTTTCTTTTTTACTGTTTGAGTTAAACTTCTCTATGTAAGTCGTTACAAAGCTGGTTTGGACTATGTGACAATTTACCACTTTAAACCAAATAAAGCAAATCAGTTTAGTCTGAATTACCACACAATTTACATTATATGTCTGCAAGGTACTTAACAAAAAATTAAACAGTCATATATTTCATACAAATAAAAAGATATACTTGTCAATGAGACAGCAACCAAGTAACACTTAAACAGAAATGGTTAATTTACAGTCATAATATAGTTTTCAAAGACAGACATGCATCCATAACATATCAACCTACAAGAGTTTTTAATTCATAAAGTCAGGAAACCAATTTCATGTTAAACTTCCCAATAAGTTCATTTATTTGATTGTAATCCTGCTGCTTGTTTTAAAATAAAATCCTACCATTGAATTCCATTGTTAGTTAAGCTGAAATGTTCATTACTTGTGAGTACTTTTAACTAAGGTGAAATCAATTGTTGTCTTTTTAGTTACCTGATTGAGCAAAATCTGTCTGTGTATCACATGTATGTTTAGGTAACAATGTATTCTGGAAAACTTGTGACACAAACTGACAATCTTGTCCACTACTCCAACAGATACTGACCGTCATGTTGACCACATACATTCCACTGTACATCAGGTCATCCACAGAGAAGCTATCAATACAAATCAATTATATATATATATATATATATATACTGACAGTCATGTTGACAACATACATTCCACTATACATCATATCCACAGAGAAGCTATCAATACAAATCAATTATATATATATATATAATGACAGTCATGTTGACTACATACATTCCACTGTACATCAGATAATTCACAGAGAAGCTATAAAAACAAATCAGTTATATATATATATACGGATCATATAAACCCGAAGGCAAATTTAATACAAGCCTAAACGAAAAAATATAAACAAGTCTAAATTGAAAACAACGTTCAAACCTATGATTGCGTTGGGTAAAAACCGCAATTTTTATACTTGTGCATGCAAAAAAATTTCTTGGTAGAAGGGTCTAAATACAGCACAAACAACATTTTCCAAAAGACCTAAAAAGTGAAAAAGTATATTTTAACAAAACACATTTGACTAGCAGGTCGAACAACGGATGTTTTTAAACCCTGCTGACTGCCATTGGCAATTGTCAAATAAACAGATCACCAAATGTAACAAAATGGATCTTAACTATTAATTTAATACCAAACAGAAAACAATAAACTTGCGGAAAAGATGGTATACCCCAATCAACAGGTGCAAAATTTAGTACACCATATCCGGATTTCGACAATTAATGTCTCTTCAGTGATGTTAGGAATTGAAACGGCATTTGGGAGGCCATATAATTTACCTCAATTTAGGATAGACTCTTGTATTTTGAAGAGTCAAAATAGGATGAACGGATCATATAGACCCGAAGGCAAATATAATACAAGCCTAAACGAAAAAATATAAACAAGTCTAAATTGAAAACGTTCAAACCTATGATTGCGTTGGATAAAAACCGCAATTTTTATACGTGTGCATGCAAAACAAATTTCTTGGTAGAAGGGTCTAAATACAGCACAAACAAAATTTTCCAAAAGACCTAAAAAGTGAAAAAGTATATTTTAACAAAACACATTTGACTAGTAGGTTTAACAATGGATGTTTTTAAACCCTGCTAACTGCCATTGGCAATTGTCAAATAAACAGATCACCAATTGAACAAAATGGATCTTAACTATTAATTTAACACCAAACAGAAAACAATAAACTTGCGGAAAAGATGGTATACCGCAAACAAAAGGTGCAAACATGTGTACACAATATCCTGATTTCGACAATTAATGTCTCTTCAGTGATGTTAGGAATCAAAGCGGTATTTGGAAGGCCATATAATATACCACGATTTAGGATAGATTCTTGAATTTTGAAGAGTCGAAATAGGATGAACGGATCATATAAACCTGAAGGCAAACATAATACAAGCCCAAACGAAAAAATATAAACAAGTCTAAATTGAAAACAACATTCAAACCTATAATTGCGTTGAATTAAAATCGCAATTTTTATGCGTGTGCATGCAAAACAAATTTCTTGGTAGAGGGGTCTAAATACAGCACAAACAACATTTTCCAAAAGACCTAAAAAGTGGAAAAGTATATTTTAACAAAACGCATTTGACTAGCAGGTCGAACAACGGATGTTCTTAAACCCTCCTGACTGCCATTGGCGATTGCCAAATAAACGGATCACCAGATGTAACAAAATGGATCTTAACTATTAATTTAATACCAAACAAAAAACAACTAGATATCATTGAGATGGGAGCCATCTCTGTGGGTACCGCTGTGAATAATGTGTGGCAAAAAATTTGTATCTTTATCATTGGACATGGGGTTGTCAACTGAAACCAAAGTTTTTGACCTTGACCTTTGACCTAGGAAGTTGTACATAAATTTTGACACACCCTCTGGTGATGGTTTATAGACATGTCAAGTATAAACTTTGAAATCATAACGGTTCTCAAGATATAGATCGGACCAATCTTTACCATAGGACATAGGGTTGTCAACTAAAACAAAAGTTTTTGACCTTGACCTTTGACATAGGAAGTTGTACATACATTATGACACACCCTCTGGTATTGGTTAATATACATGTCAAGTATTAACTTTGAAATCATAACGGTTCTCTAGATATAGAGCGGACACAATTTGTTACGGACAGACGGACAGATGGACGGACAGACTGATCACTATAGAGCGTCCGCCATTCGGCGAAAAAGACAGTATACCGCAAACAAAATATATATATATATATACTGACAGTCATGTTGACCACATACATTCTATTGTACATCAGGTCATCCACAGAGGTGCATCAGGTCACCCACAGAGAAGTTATAAATACAAATCATATATATATATATATATATATATATACATATATACTGACAGTCATGTTGACAACATACATTCCACTGTACATAAGATCCACAGAGAAGCTATAAATACAAATCAATTATATATATATGTACTGACAGTCATGTGGACCACTTACATTCCACTATACATAAGATCCACAGAGAAGCTATCAATACAAATCAATTATATATATATATACTGACAGTCATGTTGACAACATACATTCCACTGTACATCAGATAATTCACAGAGAAGCTATAAATACAAATCAAGTATAATGGGTTATACTAGCTAGAATATTCAACATTGGTTTAAGTTTTCATTTTGTGTCTAGAATCATTCTAGAAATATCAGAAAAAATACAGGGGTTAAAAATAAGATAATTCTAAAATAAAAGTAATTTTTAAAAAGTTTGAAGGAACTTTACATTTTAACAAGAAAAAAAAATGTTCTTCTTTGTTCTCACATTTTTTAGTAAAATGTACACAAACCAGGAATTTCATAACAATACACTATGTACTTCTGTACCCCCATTCAATGTTGGTGACTAATTGTGAATAAAATTTCATCTCATATATATGTGTATGAAATTTTAAAATTTCGGCATACAGGAAGAAGAACATCGAAGGAACTAAAAACGTGACACATGAAATTGAATAAAAAGATGAAGCTTGGTGTCATTTATTAAAAATCTATGACAAATAGCTGCTGAGAAAAATGCAACAGAAAAGTGATACAGACAGATTGATGCATTGACAGAGATAAACCTGTATACCCATCCCTTTAGTAAGAGTATAATTAACAATAAGCAAAACTTGACCTGGCAGGAGTTCTCTGGAACTAATATGAAATTTTAATTGTAAAGTCCTTGATTTTGGAAAATGTCTTACTATTTTGAATCCTTGAATTAGGAAACTAGATAGAACTAGATAGAACTTTATATATAAAAAGACATCTGTCAACAGTCAGAATGTGTATTGCTAATTATCAAACATTCATTTCAATTTATTTCAATAATATGAAAGACTAGCATTTTAATAATCTCCCCCTCCCCTTTCATCAGAAATGTTTCACAACTTTCAGTAACATGATCTACACTAAAGACTGAAGGAAGAAAACTTTTATTTTCTATGTTCCTTAGACGTAAAGTCAAAAGTACATAAATCAGATTAAAACACACATATGATATGCTTCGATACATGTACTTCTAATTCTACAATTACAAACCAAATATCAGCATAATACTCTTATAATGGTTAAAATCTTAATTTCAAAAGTGAATTTTGTATACAGAATTTATATCTTCTCCAAACAAAGCCTACATCCACAAGAGTGCATATACATGTACTGAGATGTACCACCTGCTTTTCTGATTATGGTTGAATTTTACGTTAAAAGTCTTTAAGATCAAGCTTTAACTACAGATATCTTATAAAATTGACATTATCAAGATCCATGAAAATAAGGTCAAAGTAATAAAGACCCTTGCAATTATAATTATTCTCATAATAAGTGAGAAATTCACATGATAAAAAACCTATAGATTTTTTAAGCAATCACTGAACCATGAAAATGAGGTCAAAGACATTGATAGTATGACAGACCAAAACTCCATAACATAAGGCATCTGTATACAAATTAAGAATCATCAAGGTCTTCTACCTTCTCAAATATAAAGCTGTATACAAAAAGTTTAAGTCGTTACCTCAGGATTCCTATGTCGAGACAAGAATCAAAAGCAAATTTCTATTTTCTTATGTATTCTTAACAAAATAGAATATTTATAAGACTTCTAACCATGTATCAGCTAATCCACAATTCTTTACTTAATAGACTTTTGAATTTTATTCTGCAAAATCAAATGTAATAAAAAGGGTGTTTTATAAACAGACAGATCCAGGAAGTTTTTCTCACGAAATTTCCAAAAACACTTAATTTTAAGAAAACCTAAACTCCTTCAAGCATTTTCCTGTGTTTGAATAACAAAATACTTCACTTCCATCATTTTAGTGGTATCTTATGCAATATGTTTCCTTAATATCCACTCCCTTTATAAAGATGAAAGTTAAGTACAATGCACTGGGAATTTCCAATAAGCATTATAAGTGAGATACTTTAAGATTGTAAAAAGTTTCAAGTATCAATATTAATTTTACTTAATTCAGTCATTTTTTTTTATAGTTTTATGAACTAAGCTTGAACAATGATGGATTTTCTTCTTAGGTTATGGTTTTTTTTTTGTAGTACTGAAAGTAGTTCCATCAAAGTCTATTCAAAATGAAACAGTTGCTGATAGCAGAATGGACTTAATGGAAAACTCCTTGGAGAAAATGGAGCAGAGGATTTTAAATCTGACCAATGAAGTTACAAAGTTATCTAAAAGTAAGTTCTTCTTTTGTGTCTTTAAATCACTGGCACAATGACATAATATACCTAACATTTCAGCTTCTTAATATTTCTTTACTAATGTCTAGGACTGAAGACATGAATAAGAATAAACACATATAGTGTGTTTTGCCAGTAATAAATTTATTTTCTGCAGAATTTGTCACATGTGGCAGAGATAAATTTGTCTGCACTCATTGTCTAGCCTAAATTAATTTTGTGACATGCTCTGAGAAAAGTTGAAAAAAAACATGCTGTAACTCAAGAAAGTTTTCAACAGTAAAATAAAAAATAATGTTGTTACAACACTTAAAAGTTCATTTTTTCCCTTGTTCATTCATTTTGACTAATTGTTTTCCAAGTGTAGTTTTATGTTCATTCTATGCAAACACATTTGGTGTGACAATTATGGTGAAAAGTGCTGTAGACTAGTTTATGCATTTGAAAATACTGATGGTATTTTTTAACTTCACGAATTTTTAATGTTAATATAAATATTCTTTTTATGCTATTTTCAGGAAAGAAGGATGAACATGTAATGTTTTATGTGACTTTGTCATCGGATACTGTACTAAACATAAATTCTATCGTGAAATTCAACGAGATTCAGTTTGATGAAGGAGCAAACTTCAACTCTGGAGATGGTGTATTTGTATCAACTGTATCTGGTGTCTTTATGTTCGCTTGGACAATATGCACATACCAAGGGAAAATTATTGATACAGAACTCAGAGTTGATAATGTTGTAAAAGCTGAGCAAATCCTAAACTTAGGATCAGCAGCTGGGTACATTCAAACTTCTCAGTTTGTTATTTGCCAAGTGAATGAAGGTGATCATGTTTGGATTCAAACAGGACAAGATTATACCAGTGAAAATACCTTTGATGAAAAACATGGCAGTAAAAGTTCATTTATGAGCATTTTGATTCACAAGATTTAATCAAGTGGCAAAAACTTTCAAAGACTACAATCAATATTGTGACAATCCGTTAATTTGAGGATGGCTTCTAATCGTTTTTTAATAAAACATCATTTATATTCTATTATCATTACAATCACATTAAGTAAAAAGAATAATAACAATGAAAGTAAGAAACTGGAAAATATTTAATCAAACTCATTTGAATATTTCAAATTTTAGCAAGATTTATTGGTAAACATATGCTATAAATAACCAGAAAGTTGCATCATTCTACAGGTACCAGTCTTGTATTACAACTCCAGTTTCCGGTGCATGTCAAAACATGGCGCGAAATAAAATAGTCCATTTTTTCTGAATTTTTTTCTGGACTCAATTTTTTCTGTTTGATTAAAAGTTTATGCTGAGTTGATTTAAAAAATCTTGCATCTTTTTGGGGATATCTAACCAGGAAAGTGGAAGGATATCATGTTTACTGGAAGTGGTGCGGCCTAGTAAAAACAGCAAACAGAAAGTAGAAAAAAATAGTTTTGATTTCAGGGTTACATAACTTTTTATTCTTTGTGGCATGACCCACTTTTTTTTCGATTAAATCACAATTTCACATTACTACATACATGATATGCACATGAAAAAAATTTTCTATGTACGTAGCATTTTATTTTAAAAAATTTTCAAAGATCAGCTGTTTTGCATGTAAGCCTACGGAGCAGTCAATTACAAGACTGCAACCTACAGAAACAATTCAAATCTTAACACAGTGACCTTCACATATCGTTACTTACTACATTTAAATATTCAAATCTCAACCTTGCGACTTTTACAATATCCTTACATTCTACATTTAATTATTCAAATATGAATTAAAGGATAAATGCCAATGAGTCAACAAACCAATAATATCAAAACCAGTTTACAAAATATCTACTGTACAAAACTATCAAAACCATCTGATAAAAGAATGCTTTAATTTTCATAATTGTTTTGTTATAAATTTGGCAGTTAGTTTTCTCAATTGAAAAGTTTCATATTTTTTATGTCTGGGTCTTTTATAGCCGACTATACAGTATTGGTTTTTCTTATTGTTGAAGGCCGTAGGGTGGCCTATAATTGCTTTCAACCACTTCATTTGAACTTTGGTGGATAGTTGTCTCATTGGCAATCATACCTCATCTCCTTATTTTTATATTATCCAAGATATTTGAATTTTGTCTCTTATAAAAGGCATAAAACAAATATCATGCTTCTTAAATCATAACAAAAATATTCTATAAACCTTTGTTTTGACACTTGCCTATTAGAATAGAATAGTTTTTGCAGAGTAGCAATTCTCGCCATTACATCTGCTTTAGCTGAATAAGTGTAAAAACTCATCAATGATACCAGGCATTTAAGTTGGTAGGCTAGGCACGCATTTCATCTGCTTAAGACTTGTCAATGGTGCTTGATTCAAAACAGTTGAATGGCAAAATCAAAAACAAAATTGTAAATTAGGATATGATATTAGTAAGTGTTGTGCAAACTAAATAAAGAAAAGGAACGTCTTCCTTCTGGATTTTTTTCCATATATTAGTCAAATCATTGACTACTACATATGTAATAAAAAAATAAGGAGATGTGGTATGATTGCCAATGAGACAACTATCCACCAAAGTTCAAATGAAGTGGGTGTAAGCAATTATAGGCAACCGTACTGCCTTCAACAATGAGAAAAAACCCTACAATATAGTCAGCTATAAAAGGCCCTGACAATAAGCCCTTTTATATTTAATTAGAAGAATTCCAAGAAATAAATAACAGTTTCATTAAAAAATAAAGGGTAATTTCATTGAAAAGTAAAGATTAATTTCATTCACAGATATATACAAAAATATTGCATATGCTATGCTATGCAGATCGTTGCTTTAAATTTCATGACACAATGGGTTTGCTTATTTGTTTAATTCTAATTTATTACCTAACTCTGTATATACCACCAAGGTCCAGCTCATAACTCTTCTCTGAAAGTATAAAATACACAAATATTTTTATCTCAATAAATAATAATGAACATAAAAAGTTATCTTTTCTTTTCTTTATTTCTTTGGATTTAGAAGTCTAAGACTAGAACATTACTTTATAACAAAAATGTGAGACCATACCAAATTTTCACATAATGAAATCCGATAAACATGAGTAAATCTATATTCACAATCTACTTTGAATGGCAAAGGATATAGACATTTCTCCAAATGCAAACCAATAGATTACAATGCATTAAATATAAAGAAATATAATCAACAATTAAATATAGAACAGTAACCCATACTCACCAAAATCAAAACCAATGAGAGAGACTTCGAAGCTGTATTTCTCTACTCCAATTAGTAAGGTGAATTCACATGGATCCAGACTTAGGTAGGCATTGAAGTCACTCATGGTCTCAGGGTCATTGACACAGCAGGACACTTCAGAACATTTACTACCAATCAAACAAACAATATCTCCATCCAAGACACCAGGGGATACTCCTAGTGTACAGTCTGTAAACAAACATAGATATAAGGTTTTAAACAAACAATATCTCCATCAAAGACACCAGGGGATACTCCTAGTGTACTGTCTGTAAACAAACATAGATATAAGGTTTTAAACAAACAATATTTCCATCCAAGACACCAGGAGATACTCCTAGTGTACAGTCTGTAAAAAAACATAGACATAAGGTTTTAAACAAACAATATCTCCATCCAAGACACCAGGGGATACTCCTAGTGTACAGTCTGTAAACAAACATAGACATAAGGTTTTAAACAAACAATATCTCCATCCAAGATACCAGGGGATACTCCTAGTGTACAGTCTGTAAACAAACATAGACATAAGGTTTTAAACAAACAATATCTCCATCCAAGACACCAGGGGATACTCCTAGTGTACTGTCTGTAAACAAACATAGACATAAGGTTTTAAACAAACAATATCTCCATCCAAGACACCAGGGGATACTCCTAGTGTACAGTCTGTAAACAAACATAGATATAAGGTTTTAAACAAACAATATCTCCATCCAAGACACCAGGGGATACTCCTAGTGTACAGTCTGTAAAAAAACATAGACATAAGGTTTTAAACAAACAATATCTCCATCCAAGACACCAGGGGATACTCCTAGTGTACTGTCTGTAAACAAACATAGATATAAGGTTTTAAACAAACAATATCTCCATCCAAGACACCAGGGGATACTCCTAATGTACAGTCTGTAAACAAACATGTCATAATTACATTTGAAATTAAGCTAATTTTAATTTTCAATTTTACAATTATTTGCAATCTATATGGCTGGTTGATGAATAATGAATTTGAATTCCTGCTCTTTTTTTTTCTTATTTTGTTGTTGGTTATTGACTTATTTTACATCATTTTTTAAATAAAGCAACTGTAAAAAGGATGAAACCTGAATTTATCTTGTGTTTAAATTTGTTGCATACTATGGTTACTTGAGTGAGTAAAACTTATGGTGATTCATTTTTGATTATTTGCAAAAAAAGTTCTTTTCATTTAAAATAAGGGAAAAGATCTTTTCATAAAAAACACTTTAATACAAAAATAAGCTTTCATTCAGCATGGAGTCTTACTTTTATTCTACATTTTGTTGAAGAATTTTTCCTCCATACTTATAATATTGCAAGCTTGATTAAATAATGGGACTATTTGATATTTACTGTTAACCCAGCCATCTTGAGATCCTTGGTAGTCTCCCATTGTACGATTACAGCGAGGTTTGTTTTGGTAAAGAGCTAATTCTGTTTCTTCCAATAACTTGGAAATCTGCCAGGAGTTTAGTGTAGCATCATCTTCAAGGCCTCGGCTTGTCTTCCACTGTTCCTTTGTAAAACCTGAAACAAATGAAAGGTTAACTAATTCACATGAAAAGAGGAGGAATTGTTGTATCTCTATTTCCTTCAAGTTTCATAAAAAGCGAAAAACTCTTCATTAAATATTGAGGCCTGAAGGTTCTTTGACCAAAATAAATAATATCATAGAAATATTGTGACACATCCTTTTAAGTCCTTATCATGCTTTCCCCTAAATCTTACAAAAGTAAAACATGTGAAGAATCCATTATATATACTTTACCCCAAAACGTAGCATAAAATCAGGGGCGGAAAGACCTTTTTCAGGATGTTTAGATTGGGCCTTTATTTTGGCAGGAATTCAGGATTGGGCCTATATTTTCAACGGAATTTAGGATTTACACCTATCGTGACTCAGGAATTATTGATTTATTTTTCGGATCAAGGGAAAGAATACTTCATTTTTTCTGGAATTCGGGAGGACACCCCCTTTTACCGCCACTCTGATATGACTGACATCAAATGAATATCAATGAAAATGATGTAAGTAAACCTACCAACTTCAGCATATCCATAACTCCAATGTGGGAGACATGATGGTCTAGGTAATTCAATGCTGTCCATTACTGTGAGGCTGTACTCACATGGTGCACCATTGGTGGTACACACCTCAAACATAACAGATACTCTGTACAGATTCTGGTCTGGCAAATCATCTATTGTGTACCTGGATAGAAAAATAATCATAACATTTATCCTGTGTTAAAGTATCTTGCAGTCATCCTTTATAAATTAATCCTGTTAGAGTGGCTTTAGCTGCCAATACATATGCATCTTACAATCGGTTTTGATAACTTTTTTAAGTTTAGATTTTCCAGTAACAATAAAATTGTAAAATCTAAATAGTATATATTAAGATCACAAAGGAGTAAGTTCTGTAGTGGTCTTACTAGTAATTTGCCTGGAAAGGCCATCATTTCAAAATAACAGGTGTTTAAAATTGATGAAAAGACATGTAAGAAATAGAAATAGAAGTGGTATTGTCAGCTCATCTTATTAAGCTTCAACATTTACTGCATATATAGGCCAAAAGTAGGGATTTTGGTGAAAGTCCAGAAAATCATCTAGATTTCAACAACATTTAGGTCTAGGCAACATAAAAAGCTGGGTTCAACAAACTAAATAATCAATCAGATAAATAATTTGTTATAAAAACATAATGTTAGAAGACCTTTTTTGGCAATGCATGCACATTATATTTCTGGTCCTAAAACAAAATGGGATTTTATCAGTTTTCATGGAATTTCATGGAAAATCAAATTTTTGCTATTGTGCTTGGTTTGAAGTTATTTTAGAAAAAACACCTACTTGAGTCTCAATACTCCTTTAATCCACAGATAATTCTCCACTCCAAAAGTATAGTCCCTCAACATGAGTTGTTCCTTGTAATTCTCCAAACTTATCTCCATGAACTGTGTACATCCATCCAAATTAAGTGAGAAATCAAATGTATGGTTACCCAATAATGGTACAGAAACACAGCATCTTACATCTGTACATACATCAGATATATAACATGAAGTACCACTGGATAACATGGGTAAGTTGTTAATGGTTGAACTACAAGCTGAAACAAAATATATTATTAGCGACTTATTATAAAAAAGAAAAAGTTCAGCCAAAATAAAGAAAAAAAAACCTTTAAGAATTTAAATACATATACAATGATTAAGTGATTGATTCTTTTATTAACATGGACACATATATGTTATGCAATTCAGCACAAGATAATGTTGATAAACTTAACTGACATAGAGCTCGAACTTCTTGATGTTAAACCATAACAAATGGTATTAAAATAGTGGAGAATTGGTTATTGTCACCTAGCATTTAGTGCAATAATGCTAAATTGTGTCAATAATAATGTAAAATGCAGATAACGTAAGACAAATATGCTAATTATTTTAAAGTATCTTTGGAAGATACTGTGTAGTGACTAGACATCTCTGGTTTACAAATCTTTAAATTTTTAAACAAACCAGTATCAGAGATTGTTCTATACAATGCATTCACAACTTTGCTGGAAAACATTTTATCTATCTCCCCATCCCCCTTCTCACATCTTAAAATCAGACCTTTCACTTCACTCCATAAGATTTTTTGTCCTAGTATAGAAGATCTTAATCATATTGCCAGGCCTCAAAGGTGTTTCCAACTACGTGTTACAATCAAATTTAATATATAAAACTGTAAACAAGGAATTAATACTTACTATTATTCCATCCATTAGCTATAAACGGTGACATTTCAAAGTCACATGTGTTCTTTAGATACCAAGCAATGTCCAGTTCATCGTAGAGTCGTGTAAGGTCCGTTTTAGTCATAGCATCCTTGTCAATGCTTCTACTTGTAGCCCATGTTGTCAGAGAGAAGCCTGAAATCAAATTAAATTTGTCTTCATACATCTAGTCTTAATTTGTATGTTTGGAATTGCCTACACAAATGATCAGCAATCATGTCTGGGTACATTTTTTTTTCATATTTGAAAATTATCTGATGTAAAAAGAGTGGGAAGCTTTGTAAAATAAAGTAGCCACTTGTACTAGAAATCATTCAAATTACTTAAATTCATCTACAAACCAAAACATAATGTGGCATCTTAAGCAAAACAACTTTTAATTTTTGAGCGTATTAAGAATCAACTGTTAGTTGGTGATTTTTTTTTATCATTTTCTAAATTACAATCACACAGTTCATTTAAAAAAAAAATTAATTAACAAATATAATGTGTACAAAGTCATTTAAAAAGTAACTAAGTAATACAAATTCGTTTTCAATTTTTTTTTACCAATAAATTACTACTAAATATGTATTATGTAATTATACCATTGTCAATTCATACCTGCATTCTGGTATGCCATTTGTGAAGCACACATCTGCTTTTTAAACCTTGCATAGTCCAGTACAGATTGGGTCCAAGCACAACTACCATACCTCTCCCAGCAGGACGATATCTCCAAGGACACCATATATACTCCTTCACTCCATAGATTATATACATTGTACCTAAAGTTAAATTCATTCTATCATTAAAATTCTTGTTTCCACTTTTTTCTGTCTAATGTAAACCTGGTTCTGATTCTCAAAGGAAGTGGTCAAAATATTATTTAACATACCACATCTCCTTAAATATATTTATTCTTGAAAATTAAAACATGAGAACAAATCATTTTAAAATAAATCCACAAAAAAAAAACATTTCTTCTGAAACCAATTTTTTATTATCAGAAATTTGCTATCTTTAGAAATTGATTGCTCTCTTTCCTATTCATCAATGACAGAATATCAATAAATGCAGATTTCTTTATCAATGAGTCAACAACCTATTTTCAGTAACTACCTATAGCTCACCTTATGCGGATTGTCTTTACTAAACTGAATTCATGCCATGTATCTGTAAGAAAATAAGTAGACACAAGTATCAAAATCTATAGGCTTGGGTGGTTATAGACTATGGTTAGATCCAATTATTTCTGAATACTTGATAACCTAAGTCATTTTAAAAGCTTGGTTGGATTTTAAAATTGATTATTTCAATAAATCTTAGAAATTTTAGAAAACAAAATTTGACTTCATGAGAGGTATTTTTGAAATCATTCATTAAACACCTTACAAAATTTTTACAAAAAATGGGGAAAAATTTATGAATAATAATACTAAAGTCCAAATGTGTGTCTTCTTTTATTCACACAAATCTTACCAAATTCAAAGTCATGTAGAGGAATATAGAACTTCAGTTTTTCTATTCCAATGTATATCTTTCTCTCACAGTCATCTATCTCAAAGACCACTACAAAGGTCTTGCTGATAAATTTCTCATCTAAACAACAGCTGATAGCAGCACAGTCTGACTTCAGTCGACATGTCATTGGATTGGTAGAAATAGGTACGACTTCTGTGTCATTACAATCTGAAATCAAATCATTTTGTTTATAGGTGTAATACCACCAAATCATAGTACGTCACATCCGGTTGCATACGAAAATAGGTTGAAAAAAAATATTCCCTTGAATTTAACAGTTGAAGGTAATTAATCCTACATTTCATTGCAGTTAAACATTTCTGGGTCATATACATGTATCTTGGGTATTTAAAAGCACCATTATTTTTTTATTTGGGGTTTCTATAGAATATTTTGGAAACTTGAGGTTACATGGTTACTAAAGCTTGTACACAGGTTAATAAAAGGGGGAAATTTGATTGGTTCATTTCCAGTGATGGTTATTTTCTTATATGCAATGAAATGTTATGTGAAATTTTTTCTATAGTACTGGACAGGATAAAACTTTACTCATGCCAAGTATTTCTTTATTTGAAGCAAAGATAAATTTTGCACAATTTTTTGAAAAGTGCAAATTTAACAAAGACTAATAGGGGAAAATCAATGTTGGTATTACACCTAATATGGGAAGCTGTACATGCACTTTTGACCTTGTGAGTACTCTCATGTGTTAAAATTTCTTGCTATTCAAGTGGAATATTACAAAAAATGAAATATTTTGAGTGGATTAAGTCTCCAAAACACATTTTATGAGAAAATTTCCTTGAACTAGGACTCAACCATGAATATTAGTTGACAGAACAAGCCATACTTAGTGTTTTGGGGAGCTTTTTCTCCTTATTTCTTATATTCTGCTATAATAGAAAATTTTTCCTAAGAAATACTTTAATAAATATATAGTTATAAGTAAATGAAATTATTTTTAAAGCAGTAACAACAAATTATTCACTAGAAGAGAAGCTTTTATGTCCCTCTCTGGAACATGGCGTAAATTTAAGTTTTACGTAAGGACTTATTGAAACCTCCTTGGAGACTGTAAACTTTTATATTGATAGTTCATTCAGCTTGAATACTTTAATTATTCATTTATTATAACATTTCTATCATAAATGAGTGAAAGTTACCCCAAAATTTTAATTTATTGACCTAAAAAGTTGAAATTTTGAGGAAATGAGAGGTATAAATGGACCAAAACAGACCTTATAAGGAAGACAAAGAGGTCCATTAGTGGTATTTATCATCCTAAAGTCATCGTTTGTACCATATTCAACTGTTTGTAGGCAGATGAGATAAATATTTCATAATTTATTGGTCCACACTATATTCTATCATGATGCGGCTTGGTTTGGATCTTTCGAAGAAATTTTGCTCGAATCGCTGTAGATGTCATCTTACATTATACTAGATTTTTCTCAAACTATTGAACTGATTATGACAAAACTTGACAGGAATGCTTGAAATAACCAGTATTACAAAGGAAAAAAGTCACATTCAGTTTATTCAACAAAAAAGTCTTCTTTAGGTGTAATACCACCAAATCATAGTACGTCACATCCGGTTGCATACGAAAATAGGTCGAAAAAAAATATTCCCTTGAATTTAACAGTTGTAGGTAATTAATCCTACATTTCATTGCAGTAAAACATTTCTGGGTCATAAACATATACATGTATCTTGGGTATTTAAAAGCACCATTATTTTTTTATTTGGGGTTTCTATAGAATATTTTGGAAACTTGAGGTTACATGGTTACTAAAGCTTGTACTCAGGTTAATAAAAGGGGGAAATTTGATTGGTTCATTTCCAGTGATGGTTGTTTTCTTATATGCAATGAAATGTTATGTGAAATTTTTTCTATAGTACTGGACAGGATAAAACTTTACTCATGCCAAGTATTTCTTTAATTGAAGCAAAGATAAATTCTGCACAATTTTTTGAAAAGTGCAAATTTAACAAAGACTAATAGGGGAAAATCAATGGTGGTATTACACCTAATATGGGAAGCTGTACATGCACTTTTGACCTTGTGAGTACTCTCATGTGTTAAAATTTCTTGCTATTCAAGTGGAAAATCCTGCTACATATCGATTGTCTGATGCTTACATCCACTACTTTTGTAATTTGGTGGATAGTTGTCTCATTGGCAATCATACCACATTCAAACTCAATAAACACCTAAATCAATTCTTTACATCATGAATCTGTTACGAATGAGTCATTGAGAATTTTACTACCTTTTATCACCACCCTTCTTTTCTTCAAGTTGATTTTTTTTTTGTTCAATCATTTTTAGAATTTTATAGATGGATGCTTTAATTCCAGTCAAAAGTATTTCAGACATATTAAGGACATTGTTTTAAGGCAAATCATATATCAACAATTTGCAAATGCCATGCTTAAATGTTTTACATGTCCAAGGTCCCTTGAAAGTGTGAAAATTATTTACTTTGCAAAATTTGAAACAAAACAAACATACTAAAAATAAGAATGCACACATTGTTGTGCTAAGCATACCACCATTCCTAATTCAAAGTTTTGGAAAACAGGAAGAAGGTGTCTACTTACAGATGCAAAAAGCGCTTTATTGTTATGACTCATCGCTGCCAAAATCGTCTTACCTTTTATCCAGCCATTGATTGGTGAATCATATGTAGCAGAAGATCGGTTACATTGTGGTAATTGAAAGTATCTGGTTAAGTCCAAGTTCTGTAGAAGTTCTGAGATGTAATAAGCTGGGTAAACTTGGGTTGTATCAATAGATCTCTCCCTACTCCATTGATCCAGTGAAAAGTCTGAAATCAAATATCACATGTAAAAATACTATCAATTATTGTTGAATTTTAAATTACTAACTGATTTTCTTTTACTTAATAACATGTTTAGAAGAAACAATCTAAGTATCATAATTTGTTCAGTCAGTCAAGAAACAAGTGCAACTTAAAAGCAGAAAAACAAGGAAATTTTCAATCAAAATTGAGTAAAATATAAGGCCAAATAAGGACCTTATCACACCATGTCTTTTAACAGAAACAAACAGAGATCTGTTGTCAACATCCACCAAAAAACATTTTAAACTATGAAATATGACATCTAATCACAAAGTTGCTCATTTGGGACAACAGTTACACAGAAATATTCTTTGATAGAATGTGTCTTCCTTTCAAGTTTGGTTCTCTCCTCTGTCACATAGTTAACTTGCCACAGTGGTTGACAAGGTTTGGAAATTACCAACAGTAAGAGTCAGAATCCTAATTCAAACAATCATTCATACATTCTGTATAAATACATAAATGAATGTGTGATTAATGTCAATAAGAAATCAACCAAACAACACAAAAGAACAGAAAAAAACATTTAAAGATTAAACATATGGTTTCAACAACTGATAAGTGACATAAAATCAAGCTCTAAATTACATGGAGGGCGGGCTGAACATAAATTCCTTTCATCCAACTAGATGAAACAATTATCTGACATCAGAGTTTCAATTGAGGATGTTTCAAATAGTTCACTGCAGATTTAGAAGTTTTTTCAACAACATTTTATATCCTTATATCTATTAAATCCAAAAAATATATAGAGGATACAGGTCCGCCCCTTAAGCATTAACAGTGTCTCAATGGCAAACAGTCTGATATTTCATTACAATAAATTATCTTTACCTTTCACCCTATATGTATCATCCAATGTACATTTCTTTTTAGGGAACTTGACACCCTGGATGACAGTCTCTATAAATTATCTTTACCTTTCAGCCTATATGTATCATCCCATGTACATTTCTTTTTAGGGAACTTGACACCCTGGATGATAGTCTATAAATTATCTTTACCTTTCACCCTATATGTATCATCCCATGTACATATCTTTTTAGGGAACTTGACATCCTGGATGATAGTCTCTATAAATTATCTTTACCTTTCACCCTATATGTATCATCCCATGTACATTTCTTTTTAGGGAACTTGACACCCTGGATGATAGTCTATAAATTATCTTTACCTTTCACCCTATATGTATCATCCCATGTAAATTTCTTTTTAGGGAACTTGACACCCTGGATGATAGTCTCTATAAATTATCTTTACCTTTCAGCCTATATGTATCATCCCATGTACATTTCTTTTTAGGGAACTTGACACCCTGGATGCTAGTCTCTATAAATTATCTTTACCTTTCAGCCTATATGTATCATCCAATGTACATTCCTTTTTAGGGAACTTGACACCCTGGATGCTAGTCTCTATAAATTATCTTTACCTTTCAGCCTATATGTATCATCCCATGTACATTTCTTTTTAGGGAACTTGACACCCTGGATGATAGTCTATAAATTATCTTTACCTTTCACCCTATATGTATCATCCCATGTACATTTCTTTTTTAGGGAACTTGACACCCTGGATGATAGTCTCTATAAATTATCGTTACCTTTCACCCTATATGTATCATCCCATGTACATTTCTTTTTAGGGAACTTGACACCCTGGATGATTGTCTCTATAAATTATCTTTACCTTTCAGCCTATATGTATCATCCCATGTACATGTCTTTTTAGGGAACTTGACACCCTGGATGATAGTCTCTGTAAATTATTTTTACCTTTCACCCTATATGTATCATCCCATGTACATTTCTTTTTAGGGAACTTGACACCCTGGATGCTAGTCTCTGTAAATTATTTTTACCATTCACCCTATATGTATCATCCCATGTACATTTCTTTTTAGGGAACTTGACACCCTGGATGATAGTCTATAAATTATCTTTACCTTTCAGCCTATATGTATCATCCCATGTACATATCTTTTTAGGGAACTTGACACCCTGGATGATTGTCTCTATAAATTATCTTTACCTTTCACCCTATATGTATCATCCCATGTACATTTCTTTTTAGGGAACTTGACACCCTGGATGCTAGTCTCTATAAATTATCGTTACCTTTCACCCTATATGTATCATCCCATGTACATTTCTTTTTAGGGAACTTGACACCCTGGATGATTGTCTCTATAAATTATCTTTACCTTTCAGCCTATATGTATCATCCCATGTACATGTCTTTTTAGGGAACTTGACACCCTGGATGATAGTCTCTGTAAATTATTTTTACCTTTCACCCTATATGTATCATCCCATGTACATTTCTTTTTAGGGAACTTGACACCCTGGATGCTAGTCTCTGTAAATTATTTTTACCATTCACCCTATATGTATCATCCCATGTACATTTCTTTTTAGGGAACTTGACACCCTGGATGATAGTCTATAAATTATCTTTACCTTACAGCCTATATGTATCATCCCATGTACATTTCTTTTTAGGGAACTTGACACCCTGGATGATAGTCTCTATAAATTATCTTTACCTTTCAGCCTATATGTATCATCCCATGTACATATCTTTTTAGGGAACTTGACACCCTGGATGATTGTCTCTATAAATTATCTTTACCTTTCACCCTATATGTATCATCCCATGTACATTTCTTTTTAGGGAACTTGACACCCTGGATGATAATCTCTATAAATTATCTTTACCTTTCACTCTATATGTATCATCCCATGTAAATTTCTTTTTAGGGAACTTGACACCCTGAATGATGGTCTGTAAATTATCTTTACCTTTCACCCTATATGTATCATCCCATGTAAATTTCTTTTTAGGGAACTTGACACCCTGGATGCTAGTCTCTATAAATTATCTTTACCTTTCAGCCTATATGTATCATCCCATGTACATTTCTTTTTAGGGAACTTGACACCCTGGATGATAGTCTCTATAAATTATCTTTACCTTTCAGCCTATATGTATCATCCCATGTACATTTCTTTTTAGGGAACTTGACACCCTGGATGATAGTCTATAAATTATCTTTACCTTTCACCCTATATGTATCATCCCATGTACATATCTTTTTAGGGAACTTGACACCCTGGATGATAGTTTCTGTAAATTCACAACTTCCTGTCTCTAAACAGAATGAAAAGCTGATGTCTATCAAGTAAGCTCCCTCACCAATGAAGTCCTCTATTTTGTATCTGAAAATGAAATATCAAATCTGTTGCACTATCCTACTTTATTAAAGGATCTCAGATTTACACATTTTTAACATTTCCTTAATATCTTTAAACTCCTCTGGACTTTTGAAGTCAATGTATTAAAATATTTAACCCATTAATCCCTGTGTTATTTTCGACATTTCTTAAGATTTAAACATTCATTTCTCTCCATATTTTAAGTGTCTGATGAGTCAGTTACTTACATTAAACAGAAATAAGAACAATTCTCCAGACACTTTTATTATGTATCTGAACTATCATATCTGCTTCGTATACCCGCATTCTAGATATTGTCTTTTTCACAATAAATTTCAACATGGTAAAGATATACTGTAAACTCAGAAATGTTAGTGTGCATTTATTTTTTGTGATTGTTGAACAATTGACTGAAATACAAGATTTATTATTGTGATTTTCAACACTAGTGCATACAAAATATGATATTAAAAGGACAAGGTACGATAAGGCCTGTTTTCTGGCCCCCCTATTTTCTCATTTTTTAAATTCTGTTTTGGAAAGCTACTTATTATGTTAAAATATTCCCTGAGGTTTGAAGTTTGTTTGGATGAACTTCAAAACCACTAATTTTAGCAACTGGGTGAGGTGAGGGGGGTAAACTTTCTGTTATTATTCAAATATTGTAATTATTATTCACTTTGCAGGTGTTCCGTACAACTAATTTTTAGTTTTTTAGTGCCTGTGCCAACGTGACCCAGGATTATTTTTATTCCAAGGTCATGAGAATTGTTTTTGGTGTCTAAATCGCCATAACTTTCACCGGGTCACGTAGGCGCACGCTATTAAATCTTTAGAAACAATGGCCAAAAATCGTACTTTTTCCTTCTTTTGGCGTTTTTTATGCCCTTTTACCCCCCTCACCTCACCCATTTTCTGAAATTAATGGTTTTGAAGTTCATCCAAACAAACTTCAAACCTAAGGTAATATTTTAACGTGATATGTAGCTTTCCAAAACAAAATTTAAAAAATGAGAAAATAGGGGGGCCAAAATCAGGCCTTATCGTACCTTGTCCTGTATAATGCAAATTTTTATTTTTGCGTGACTTATCTAATCATAATATTCACAATAATAAAAACATCATAAAATTTCGAAATTGACTGTATTATTTCAGGGTTTACAAAAATTCCTACCATTTAGAACAAAAACTTACTCCATTTTTCCAACTCCTCTCAGGTTGAAATGTTCCATAGTTCCAAAAGTGTAATCCAGTAATTTGTATTCTCTGTACATTGATTCCAATCCAACAGTAATGTCCTGGTAACAATGGTTTATGTTAATACGGAAGTTCATCGTCTTGTTTGTTAGTGGAATGGTGATACAGCAGTCCAGACCAGTACATGTATCAGCGGAAACAGTACAAACAACTCCTGATGGTAGAACAGGGACAGAAACAGGTGTTCCACAATCTGTAATTAATTAAAAATATATTTTTGGGGTCAAATACAAATTGAAATTCAAATAAGAGTGCTTTAAAGCTACATTTAGATAAGATAAACAAATTAATATTGTTTCAAAAAACATTACCAAAAAGTTGCTTTATGCTTTATCTTGGTAAATGTGTGAATGAATTGTATAAGTTCATTTCAACAAATATGAACAATGCCTCCATCGGAAAAACCTGTCAACAAATATGATATAAATACACCTAACACACAGGAGTACATTTGACGGAACCTAAACTATACCACAGACATCTAGTACAAAAACCTTACCATTCTTGACACCTCCCACATTTCCAGAGTACATACTACCCTGTTGATCACATGATGGTTCATACAGATAAGATGCTATGCCAGAGTCAGACATTAATTTGGATGTTTCTGATCCCCTCAGAGGTTCTGTCTTGGTTACACTGTTGTCTGTCAGCCATGTTGTCAATCCTTGGAATTCTTAGAAAAAAAATTGAAATGTTATTTTTGGTCGTATCGGATCTTGATGCCTAATTCAAATAGACTTTATTACATAATTTTAGAAGTAAGATAGTTAATGATTATTTTAAAATTTCAAAACATAGGTATATTCCATCATAATAAAACAATATAGGCCTCTAATCTGCATTTTTAGGGAAAAAACTGGTTTAAATATCAAAGTCAAACGGTATTCTCTGAAGAGTTGTCAGCCCTTTTCACAAGAAACAGCATGCCTAAGTCGAGCTTCTGCTACTTTGTCAAAATTGCCAAATACCCTTATCTTTCTTTTGTACTGTCATCCAATTTATGTAAAAGTTTTCAATAAAAATACTAATTTCTACCTGAATATAGTCCTGAATTCCAGTCACATGACAATTTGGGAAGTCTGTATTTGTCAAAGATTATAATATCAACTCCACATGGTGTTGTTTCTGTATCTGACTCACGACAAATCTGAAGTTTCATATCAATCAAATAATCTCCCTCCATCTCTAAGTCTCTTACTGTGAACCTATTTAAAAATAAATTTCAATTTAATCATGTGTATGTTTATGATATGAGTTTAAAGACACAGTATTTTTTTAGCAATAAAAAGCTCTCTTAATTTATAGAAAACAAATATTTTTTGTTGAAGCTGTCAACTTAAATATGATTGTGCATGTGCAAAGCATTTTCTGTTATTGAAAATTAAAGAAATTTAACAGATTAATGAAATTTTTGTTATTACTAGGATCATTTAGCTAAATTATACTAACACAAGTTTGACTGTTTTACATAGTTGTCTGATGTAAACATGTTAAAATACTGAAGAACATTTATTGTTATACCCTAAACAACAGCTCAATATTATGATTTGCACAGTGTGTAATTGATTGGTTAATTGTTGATTGCTTAACATCCAGTGGCAACAATTTCACACAAATTCAGGACAAGAACACAATGTTAAATTGAGATAGTTTTTAATTTACAATGTTTTATTATAGAGTATATACTTACTCCATTCTGACATATCCAAAAAACCAAACTTCAGTCAGCTGACCCCATTCATAATCAAATAAGAGTGTACTGAATGTTAGTTTGTCTATTCCAACACTAAGTCTGAATAGACATGGTTCAAACTTCACAAATGTCTCAAAACTTTTGCCGATTCTGGTGTCTGGCAAACAACAGTAGACAGTTGTACAATCACTGCCAACATTACATACAGTGCCTGATACAGTGGGAAGAGTTGCCATAAACTGTCCACATACTGTCAATATAAAAAGACAAAATTAGCCTCTAAAATATATTTAAGAATTGAATGCTTCTTTTTGTAAATTCATTGGGGTGTAAAAGCATTGACTGAAGTACATGTTGTATGAAGCGCAGAAGCGCTTCATTTTAAAAATGTGCGCACGGTCAATGCTTTTACAACCCTATAAAATTACTAAAAGAAGCATTCAATACTTATAATTACATTTTTTTACTAGGATCATGAAAACACGATTTCTATCAAGGTTTTCTTTATTCACCTGTGTACTTTATTGTTACATTTCATTTTGAAAAGAAGGTTATTTTCAGAATTACGCGAGATTGCTGTCAGCCAATCAAAACAACGGTATACCATAATACGTCCCGTAAACGGGCGTATAAAAATGTGTTATTATGAAACATACATGTAATGTAATTATATGATTATGAATATATGATAATCCAATCACCAGTGATTATTACATGTTACACTGGAAAGTGAGGTTTATTTTTGTGAGCAGTTTATTTTTGCTAAGTACAATTCTGGGTTTGTTTGGCCTTGTATGATACAACTGCTAAACACAATTCTTAAGCATCAGAAGAAAAGCATTCAGACAATATGAATATTATCCTAACCTTGATGACACAATTTGACAGTGGCATCATTAAAATGACATCATAAGTGAGATTTTTCAGACTTGGTCGCAAGTGCATAGATAAACGCAAAATACACTAACTGTTTAAATATCTTTTTGGCGAACAGTTGTGCAGTATATTATTTCTTAGAATGTACAAGTAAAATAAATAGTCAAGATTTTGTATAATTTTTCTATTTTACTGAAATTATTGTCATTCTTGGATGAATAACCCATAAAAAGGATATATTTCAAACCAAAACTGCAATGTTTTATTATCAAAGTACAAAGATTCAACATTTGATTCTAAAAATCAGAGAAAATTTGAAATATATTTCATTAAAGGGGCAATTTTGCCCCAATTTGTACCAATTTTTGCCAGTTAAAAGACATTCCTTAGCACAGCTTTCAGCAGAATTCTTTGTTAAAATTCCAGAAAGCTACATCAAAATATTGATATAAACAGACACAAGTAAGTAATATCAACAAATTACATATTATGTAAAGCAGGAAAAAAATAATATAAAGGCCAATATAACATTCTATAAACACTTCTAAAATGTAAATATTCACAGGCTAACTTACAATTAGTCCATCCGTCTGAATGTCCGCTGTAGGGAGATGCAGAACTACTACATTGTGTGTCCATCAAGAAATCTCCAATGGCTAACCTCTCTATCAAGGCAGACAGTTGATTGGTATCCAGATTATCATTAACATCTATACCTTTCTCATTCAGGAAACCAAGGAATGAAAAATCTGAAACAAAAATAGATTCATTCATTAACAGGAAATTATAACTTTCAAACAACAATGACTGAGTAAAAACTAAAAGGTTTTCTCTTGGTAACAGCTCTGCTTTGTCATTTTTTTTTTTTTCTTTTCTACTGCATCACAAATAATTTCTTATATATTATAAGGCATTATTTAAAAAAACCTTTAACCTCACTTTGAGATGCAAATTGCAAAAACAATTTTAAATATCTGGATCTTTTTAAACATTTTCCTTGGGTTGAGAAGTCAAATAATTAATTTATTGGCTATTATTTCTTATGCCCTTTTTGTTTTTCATATGTTCTAAAACACTTTATAATATTTTGTTTTCCAATTCTTTGACCTTATATGTCGTAATGAGAGTTATTCCAGAAGCATGTGTCATGTTCACAGAAATTGATATCATTTATTTTTTACTTTCTATGCTTAATCATCCTCATTTCCACTTACCTGATTGAACATAATCATTCTTCCAATCACATGGTGCCTTTGGTAGGGCTGTACTTATCAAGACAGGGATAGTTATTTCACATGTTCCATTTGTCTCCATACATATACTCATCTCTAGGTCAACTATAAATTTCCTTTCTTCCTCAAGGTTTTCAATCTTGAATCTGAAACCAAAAACAAAATTTTGAAACATTTATGCACAACGAAAAAAAATATTTGTATACTGTATTGATAAAAAAACTGATATTTTCTTCATTTTCTTCTTTATTCTTTGCATATCATTTATACAGGCCAAGCTTTCAGATGCTTAAACAATTCAGTCAATGCTGAAGGTTCTTTAGTGAAAGAAACTTAAAATGCATTTTTCTGATACATAGGTTGCAATTCTGTAAATATAGATAATGCAATTTCCCATAGGAACTCCTTTTCTGGCTAAAACTACCACTTTTTCTATGAAGTTTCTTAAAAAATTATATCCTAGAATGGAAAGCACATATGCACTCCTTTTTTTTTCAAAGGTCAAAATATAGGGCTGGGCGTCATATTTTCAACATTTATATGCCCAGAATTTAACTTATACTAAAATTCTGTACTACCCCTCCCTTCACTTTGGGTCTTCCACAGATTTCAATATGACTGCTATGCATGTATAGTTATACTGGAAACATTCCAAAGTTATGTCTCTCCAAGATGAAACATAGAGATCATAGCTGGGAACCAGTAGGTAAACAAAAGTATTATATATCTCCCCAAAAGAGGCATGGTTTGTGAAACAGCTGTATTTACAAAGAAGAACCTATCCATTGTACCTCAAAAGTGATATATTTACTATATATTCTCTCCTATTTCCGCTAAGGGATTCTGGATCTGAATTTTACCTTTAAAAGTTCCATCTATTGGCATTTGTGTGATCTGTCCCTATATAACTAAGATGCTACTAATAGTATATTGACTATGAATGCTCATGAAATACTGGAACAGAATGAAATGTTGAAAAAGTTATCTAGCTGAATCAAACAACTCTATTTCTCCTGTACTATATGTACTTACTCAAGACCAATCACTCCATGCAATTTTACATTTTTGACTTCCCCATATGTATATCCAAACAAGCTGATGGTAATCTCAAACTTCTCAATACCAATGATCATTTTACTGTTACAGGGATCCAGTTTTAACTGTGTGTTAACATTCCTATTGATCCTTGGGAAGCTGCTACAACAAGTGACACCAGTACACGAACTGTACAGATGACAGATAGTACCAGATTGCAGCACTGGTAAATCTACATATTCTTCACAAGCTGCAGAAGTAAAAAACAGAAAATTAATTTCTTTATAAGGCCACAACAAATTAATTTCTAGTTCTTCGGACACTTTCTGTAAAAAAAGGTAGCGAGAGAGCGAAATTTTTTTATTTGTTTTTTTTTCAAAGTTTCATTTTTTGGCAGGCGAAAGGTTTTTTTACTAGCGAGCGATATTATTTTTGAAATATTAAAAAAAAATCTATGAAAAGCATTTTATGCAAGCGAGCGATCAGAAATTTACACAGTTTTGGTGCTTCATGTTTTTATATATCTTATATCCTACTTTTTATATTACCCTACTTTGCTTCTTAATATGTTCTCAGATACCCTGTTGAATCTTTTACCAACATTTCTAGTACACAAATGGTTAACTAGTAGCAAAGTGTAGACAACTTCATGTAGTCTGCTCAAATAAAGATCCAGCTGCACATGAAATAGTACAACAGCATTGAACAGGTACACATCCATGTTTGATGACAGTTATAATTGATGCATTATAAAAATAAAATGCTTCGCTGGGGCGCAGCTTGATACGACCGCAGAGGTCGAACCCTGAACAGTTGGGGCAAGTATGGACACAACATTCAAGCTTGATACAGCTCTGAATTTGGATTGTTATTAAATATTTGACACAGCATAAGTTTCTGACACAGAAAGAATGTGGTCTAAGAACTTGAATTTTTTTAATTTACCTATTATGGTCCAATGTCCAAAATCAAAATACATGGTTAGATTCAGCATATCAAAGAACCCCATATATTCAATTTTTGTTAAAATCAAACAAAGTTTAATTTTGGACCCCAACTTGGACAAACTTGAAAACTGGTCCCATAATCAAAAATCTAAACACATGTTAAGATTCAGCATATCAAAGTACCCCAAGAATTCAATTTTTGCTAAAAATCAAACTAAGTTTAATTTTGGACCCTTTGGACCTTAATGTAGACCAATTTAAAAAACGGGACTTAAAATTAAAAATCTAAATACACGGTTAGATTTGGAATATCATAGAACCCCAATAATTCAATTTTTGATGAAATCAAACAAAGTTTAATTTTGGACCCTTTTGACCTCAATATGAACCAATTTGATAGCGGGGCCCACAAATAAAAATTCTAAATTCATGGTTAGATTCAGCATATCAAAGAACCCCATATATTCAATTTTTGTTGAAATCAAAAAAAGTTTAATTTTGGACCCCAACTTGGACCAACTTGAAAACTGGGCCCATAATCAAAAATCTAAACACATGTTTAGATTCAGCATATCAAAGAACCCCAAGAATTCAATTTTTGTTAAAATCAAACTAAGTTTAATTTTGGACCCTTTGGACCTCAATGAAGACCAATTTAAAAAACGGGACCCAAATTAAAAATCTAAAAACACGGTTAGATTTGGCATATCAAAGAACCCCAATAATTCAATTATCGATGAAATCAAACAAAGTTTAATTTTGGACCCTTTTGACCTCAATATGAACCAATTTGATAGCGGGGCCTACAAATAAAAAATCTAAATACATGGTTAGATTCAGCATATCAAAGAACCTCATATATTCAATTTTTGTTGAAATCAAACAAAGTTTAATTTTGGACCCCAATTTGGACCAACTTGAAAACTGGGCCCATAATCAAAAATCTAAATACATGTTTAGATTCAGCATATCAAAGAACCCCATATATTCAATTTTTGTTGAAATCAAACAAAGTTTAAATACTGGACCCTATCTTGGACCAACTTGAAAACTGGGCCCATAATCAAAAATCTAAACACATGTTTAGATTCAGCAAATCAAAGAACCCCAAGAATTCAATTTTTGTTAAAATCAAACTAAGTTTAATTTTGGACCCTTTGGACCTCAATGTAGACCAATTTAAAAAACAGGACCCAAAATTAAAAACCTAAATACACGGTTAGATTTGGAATATCAAAGAACCCCAATAATTCAATTTTAGATGAAATCAAACAAAGTTTAATTTTGGACCCTTTTGACCTCAATATGAACCAATTAGATAACGGGGTCCACAAATAAAAAATCTAAATACATGGTTAGATTCAGCATATCAAAGAACCCCATATATTCAATTTTTGTTGAAATCAAACAAAGTTTAATTTTGGACCCCAATTTGGACCAACTTGAAAACTGGGCCAAAAATCAAAAATCTAAATACATGTTTAGATTCAGCATATCAAAGAACCTCATATATTCAATTTTTGCTAAAATCAAACAAAGTTTAATTTTGGACCCTTTGGACATTAATGTAGACCAATTTGAAAACTGGACCCAAAATTAAAAATCTAAATACACTGTTAGATTCGGCATAACAAATAAATAAATGTGATCAAAGATTTTACAAATCTAATGCGCCATACTGTGCAATTAAAGATTACTTCTTGAAATTTGAAAAAAAAATAATATTTGAAGAATAATTCTTTTTAATTTCTGAAATCTGAAATGAGAAAAAATTGGCCCCCCACAATTTCTTTTTATCCCCCCCCCCCCCCCCCTTTTTCCCCCAAAAAAATTCTTTCCCTCAAGATATGGTCATAATCTCAATTCAAATTTCCAATGGAGTTGGCAACCATAATTACCCATTTAAATTTACCATAGTGCTAACTTAATCTATTTTATAATAGAATTAATAAAAATATAGTGTCAAATCTTTCATATGGATTTTTTTGTAAAAAAAAAAGATGAAAACATTTGCAGATATTTTTACTGGTCTTCCTTTATAAATATGCATTTCTTTAAACATAATTTAAAAGCAGTGTAAGGGAAGTAACCAAAACGTTGTATTTGGATTACCTCCCTTACACTGTTTTAGATTATCTTTATTGTTCATTAACCATTACTTTATACATAATTTAAAAGCAGTGTAAGGGAGATAATTTCAATGATGTATTTGATTTATCTCCCTTACACTGCTTTAAATTATGTTTTGTACTAAAGTATTTGTCCATTAACCAGGACAACCTTGTTTTTCCCCTAATTCCTAAACGGTTTGAGCCATAACCCCCCAAAGCAAATCCTAACCATCCCTTTGTGGTATGGAAACTTGTAGTATAATTTCAGAGAGATCCATACACCGTTCCACAGTTATTGTCTGGAAACTAGAAAATGCTCATTTTTGGCCCCTTTTTGGCCCCTAATTCCTTAACTGTTGGTACCATAACCCCCAAAATCAATCCCAGCCTTCCTTTTGTGGTATTTAACCTTATGGTCAAATTTCAAAAAGATCCATTCACTTAAACTAAAGTTAGAGTGCAAAAACCAATATGTATTCGGACGACGACGCCGGACGACGACGACGACGACGACGACGCCGCCAACGTCATACCAATATACGACCACAAAATTTTTTTGCGGTCGTATAATAAGGAGATGTATGATTGCTAATGAAACAAATATCTTCCCAAGTTCAAATGAAATTGATATTTACAATTATATGCAACCATACAGCCTTCAAGAATGAGAAAAACCATACCGTATAGTCGGCTATGAAAGGCCCCAACATGAAAAATATGAAACAATTCATTTGAAAAAACTAACGGCCTAATTCATAACAAAACTATTTATGAAAAACAAATTTGACAGACATGAACCAACAACAAGTGAACTACAGGCTCCTGACTTGGGACAGGCACATATAGAATGGTATGTTGTTTCAAATAAAGGTATACAAAGCATGTATAAAGCTTTTATATACAACTATACATATTTGTGTATACAACAAGATGAAAATTTATTAAGGACTGTCCTTCGAAAACTACATCAATTTATACTATTACGTATTCAAATACATCACACCAGATGCTATATATATACTAATTAATTAAACAAAAGAAACATTTCAATGCATTCCACGTAATAGTCATGCTTTGCTGAAGAATTTAATATGATTAATTGATTGTTGGTTGCTTAACATCCAATGGCAAATATTTCATGCATCTTCAGGACAAGAAAAAATTAACAATAAACAAAATGGGTAGGTCCTGCAACAGAGGCAGTCTGGGACAAAGGTCAGTGAAATTTGGACCACTACGGGAAAATGAGGGTACATTGTACATTGGACAGGGACAGAAATTCAGCCTTGCAACAGGCCTCCTACTAACCCCTCAGAGTTGTAGCAAGGGTTTTTAATGCGCAAAGAGTTTTGCACTCTCCTTACACAAGGCATCAGATTTTCACAACACGCGGGAAATCCGACGAACGAGGTATTAATTTGGCGTGGCCTAATATCTAATATGACCAATGCATGAGGAGGAGCTGGTACCATATCTTTTTTTTATTATGCTGAATAATTACAAATCTTCCCCGCATTGCACATATTTCATCTGTCCAAAGGGTATTTATCTGTCCGAGGGCATTATTATATTTATATAAAATAGTTAATCAGCACTAATTTAGAAAATTGACCGAGACATTGCTGATATAAACCTTTGATATAAATTTCATAAATATCTGGCAAGATTGTACACATTAGAGTGCTTACAATGCAATTTTCTATAGAATTTACATTTCTTAGGGACATAACTCCTATAAAATACTTCATCAGGACTGATTTTCAAACTTGTCCCATACATTGCTGAGTTGAATCTTCAAATTTAATTTCATAACAGTTCTTCAAGAAATGTAGGCTTGAGAGTGCTTACAATGCAATTTTCCATCTTATTAATATTTCAAAGGGCATAACTCTTTTAAAAATAATTCATCAGCAATGATTTTCAAACTTGTCTGTGACATTGCTGATATAAACCTATGATATAAGTTTGATAAAAATCTGGTTAGAATTGTACATGTGAGAGTGCTTACAAGAATGGAAAGACACACGCACAGACAGGCACCTGGTATTTCTATGCCACCCCACAACGTGTTACACTGGGGACAAAAATCAGAAATAAGTTAATCATATAGTCTGATCTAACTGCAATATTTATTTTTATCTGTTCCATCCTTCATCACCATGGTTTTATAACAATACATATTATAATGATAAAGTTTGATCACATGACAATCATGTGATAACCACAAACTATTCTTACCTGT